TTGGTCTAAATCTAGTTTAATGCAGTAATATAGTTTTGGTTTTGAAGGTGTTGTGTTCTCTTGGATTAGGCCTGACATCCAAGCCCTTATTAGCTAAATCCATTTTTGTGTAGATTTTACTACCAAACATCTGAGCAAGCTGTACTTGTTGTATTTCAATAATACACTTAGTGCATAATTATTTATTCATTTGCAAAATTTTGTCTTCCAAATTGCTTTTTAAATATAAACACAAAGTGGAATGATTTGAAGGTCATCCTTTGGTGGGGTCACCGTGGTGCTAGCCACTTTCCTTTGTCTCTGTGGAGGACTTATTTCAGTTGCCTAGATGTAACCATGTGGAGCCATATCAGATGCCCCAGTTCATATTTAGGTGCTTTAATCACAAACCGAATCTCTTCTTAACTGACAGAAGAGCATTTTTCTGCTTAATGAGATAAGGGATTGTAATCAGCACCCTGTTTAATGGAGATAGGTCCTAATCTTCTGAAGTTACATTTGGCAGATGTTCAGAAGAAATGAGGCAGCCCCCAGTGCAGTGGACTAAGTGCTAAACCTTTACAGGCAGAGTTACAAGAGGCATTGGAGAGGCAGAGTGTGACTCTTCATGCAGTAACTCAAGAACAAGATGGAATATAAATCTGTGTAAGAAGGAGATATACTCCAGGGACATTAACAAGAGAGATCCTAACAGCTTGCCTTGGGAAAGCATTGGCAGCAGATTCACTAAATGCAGGAAGAGAAAGACTTGTAAAGTTTGATTTCCATATAAAGAAATGCAAGCTTTCCTCATCTCTAGCCTTGCTAATATTTGTAGAAATGTTTGTTTTCAGTGCTGAAAGTATTTGTGGTTTACTGTCCCTTATCTTGGCTTAAAAGTCATTTTAGTGGGATAAGCATATAACATTAAAACGTGTTTTGCACAGGTAATACTGAGTGCTTCCTCCTACCCCTCATCTCTTTTGCTATTGGGCATGAGCATTTGTTCACAGGAAAGGAACCATCTTTTCTGCTTCAGTTTTGGTTGACCCTCCGTTAGGGTGCTGTAAAAAAGTCTCATCTGCTCTCTGGCTTTATCCCTAAGAGCAGGTAACATGATAGTACAGCACAGTTAACAGTGAACAATTGCAAAAAGCCCCAAAAACTTATCTGCCAGAAACTTCTTGGATTAGAGCTAAGATTGCTGTGATTTCTCTCTCCTATGCTTGTTATTTCCTGGGGAGTCTGCCACTTTTCTTGAATGCGTGGATTCTGCCTCCAAAACTGGGAAGAAATATTTGATGCATTAATCTAAAAACAGGTGGGAGAGACAACGGAAATTCTATGGAACTTCCTTGATGTTTTTAGGTAGCTATTCTTATCTCAACAATACATGCCTTTGTCACCAGCAAGCCAAACTTTTATGCCCTGTTCTCTTGGGTGTTGATGGTCTCAGATGAGTCCTTGAAGCAGAACTCTGAGTCTTTGGGTGATACAGAGAAAAATGTGAAAGTGGAAGGATCTCATGAGAGCCCAATTTCTGTATTGCAGTCGTATTTAAAATTCAGTGAAAAGTACTTTTTGCACAAGATGTCATGCAGCACATGGATTGACCTCTGAATTCCTTTGCCTGTGAATGAACTTGTCCTTTAAATATGCAGAGGAAGGAAATAACAATTGCAAACAATGACAAAAGGAAGTAGTACATTTTGTTTTATATAAGTGTGAGGTTTTTTCTAATCTCTATTGGTATTATACAGTGTACAAGATAAATACATATTCTGAACTGTGAGGTATTCTCTACAATAAGTACCTTTTGGGGACCTTGTCTTCAGTGTGTGATCCTGTTCGTGACATGCAAATCTTGCCAGTTGCAGCAGTGAAACTCTGCTGTGGCTAGCAGAGACCTCAGAGACTTCTTAGTCATATTCCAACTCTTAGGCATCATATTCAGAGTATCTCTGCTGCTAATTAATGAACTACTTCAATAGCATTTTAAAGTAATGTGATACTGTTTTGACCATCTGTACAATCAGCTTTCTGTATAGTCAGGCTGAATCTTCTTCATGCCTTCCTGGCAGTTGCCACAGGTAAATAAAAACAGCCACTGTATTTTTCCAGACTTCTACATTTTAGTAAATTATTTTCCTATTTCCTCTCACTGTTCTCTGTTTTGGACTAGGCAAACCACCCCTTTCCTCTTGTGTTTTCTGTTGGTTATATATTAGGAGTCCCTAATCCATTCTAGGTGCCTTTCCTTTAGGAATTTTTATTTTCCTTTTTTTTTTTCAGCTTTGTGACCTATCAGTTCCCATGTTGGATTTTTATATACTAAGGTAAAGGTTACGCAGCTGGGAAAAAGTAAAACTTGTCTTGGTACATAATTTTTATAGGTTGCCTGAAACTGCCTAATCTTTGTTTTCCCATTATTTTCACTTTATTTAATCTTTGTCATTAGTCTGAACTTGAAAAAGAAATAATAAAATTCTGCAAAAGTTACTCTTCTAAAATATTTGTCTACAGCTGGATGCAATTCTGGGTACTTCTTGCAGCATTTCAGATATCTAAATTTTATACATTCCTCATGCAGTTACAAACCAGTACTTAGACTTCAACACAGGCAAAACAAAAGTGCTGTAACAGCTGTATCCAGGGAAAAAAATGTTTTTTCATGTTGTTATGGTCAAGGCTTTTAAGTAGTTGAATTTGTCGCAGCAGGTTTGGACACTATGTAGTTAATTATGTGGTGCCACTGTTTGCCAGTTACTGAACTAGGGGGACCTGCAGACTCCATCAAGGGTAGAGCGGCCTTACAGAGAGACCTGGATATATTAGAGAGCTGGGCCATCACCAGCAAAATCTAACAAAAGTGCTGGACAAAATCTAACAAGTGCTGGATTCTGTCCCTGGGATTGGATATTCCCACTTTTACACACTGACTGTGAGATAAGAGGCTGGAGAGGAGTGACGTGGAAAGAGATCAGGGGTCCTGGTCAGTGACAAGTTGAACACAAGTCAGCAGTGCCCTGGCAGCCAGGAGGGCCAACCCTGTCCTGGGGACATCAGGCACAGCCTGGCCAGCTGGGCAAGGGAGGGGATTGTCCTGCTCTGCTCTGAGCTGGGGCAGCCTCACCTCAAGCAGTGTATTTTGGGCACCTCAAGCAATCAGACTATTCAAGTACATCAAGAGGAGAGTGACCAAGTTAGTATGAGTGTCTTCCAGCTTGAGATGTTCTGTGATTCTATGATCCTACAGTTCTATGGTCCAGGTTAATTGGAGAGGATTTTCTGGCTTTAACATAACAATTAACTGTAGAGCTTCAGATGTGAGTTTTTATATACCTTTATCACTAATTGTTGATTAGTTATAAATTGATTATAAATAATAATTACTATAGAATTAATTATTATTGAATACTGGTTAGTGAATCAATGAATTTCTAGGCCTTAAATTCTGTAACCTTACCCTTTGAATTAGATTCATCATAAAATAATGAAGATGTTGACTTCTACTGCTCTCTGTTACTATGTGCAAAAGCACCCAGTATGATGAACAAGTATATCTTTGAGAATAATCAGATTATTCTCTTTGTAAAAGACTCGCAAATTTGCTCTGTGCTCAGCAGTAGGTATTGGAAGGGCAGAAGAATCCCTGTGATTGTAATATTCTCTGTGAGGAGGCTCACATTGCACTGAAGTATGAGGCAGATGCATTTAAAACCCAAAATGTAGCTCTTGCAGGATTTGATTTACTTATGCTACTTCCAATCAATTAACAGAAAACACTATTTCTGTGCTGAACTCTCATTCAAGTCTGCAGCTTTTGATTTGCATCATACTGCATTCCATTGTTAATGGAATGGCTTGTGTCAATGCCATGATTCTAGGGGCTAAAAGAGCATGGAAAAAATATATTGCCATGTTTCAAGAGCCTGGCCATTGACTTCTCACATTGTAGTCTGGGTCAAATTGAGTGAAAGGGCTGCAACATTCTTTTAAAGTAAATTTATTTGACTCTATCAGAGAAAATTCTTACTTTATTTTAGGTTACAGTTCATTCTAAGAAAAACATCACAGTCCTTTTTTTTTTTCTATTTTGGTAGTTTGCTCCATCAATGAAACTGAAGTTATTGAATTTTCTGTAGGTTGCTAAGGCTGCTGATACAGAGGCCAGCCTAAATGAGGACTGTATAACTGAACAAATGCACTGAAAGTCTAATGCAAGTATCTAGTGGAAATTTGTACAGATTTAATACCTGTTTCTGATTTCTCTGTTAGTCAGTGAGTTTAAGGAATTCACCACCTTTGACAGCTGTAATCCTCAGGGATCTGCATGTGGTTTTGCAGCACTAGAAATCTACTGATGCTCAAGAAAACTGCCCCCAGGTGGTTAAGGCCCATTTTCTTTTATTTAATTAGATATTTTTTTCTGTCTTTTTATTCCCCAGGTAGCAGGAACAAAAAGAGGAAGGGAATGTGGTCTTCTTTTTCAGATGTTTGGTGTGAAGTCTGGTGGTTGAGAACACAAAACAGAAGGGTGCACATACATTCAGCTAATTTCTAGTGTGAGAAAATGGATACACTTCTAAAAACTAAAACTGAAAACTTAAACTAAAAGCTTCAATATCTCAAGGAGTCTCTGGTATTATTGCAGTAGCTTAAGAAACTACAGTGCTTTCTGTTCATCAATGAGGAGATGAAATATTTGGTCGTTTGAGATTACACTTGGACATTCTTTCAGTAGATCTGTTCTTTTGCATCTCAGTATTATATGGATTTGCTTTTGCCTATGTAGAGCCACGCACCATGACACTAGGTTTTATCTGAGTAACCCAAACTTTCTTTTCCACTGCTTTTCAATTATATAAGGCAAGCCCATTTCAGACTTATGAAAAGTTAATATTATTCCTGATATTTGTTATTCTTTTAAAATATATTATTCAATAAATCATGCGCCCCAAAGGGCTTTTTTTCATTACTTTTTTCATGTTTAAATCTCTCTCTTTCATGGCTCTCTCTAGGGACGTGATTTGAAAATCAGCACTCCAAAAGGGATAATTCACCTGAAGCCTTCTGAAGAGCACACTGAAGAAGTTGTGTTGAAACCAGAATCTTTCTCAGTGCATGGCACCGATGTTCCAGTCAGCAGGAGGGAGTTCATGACTATCCTTGCAAACGTGAAGAGGATCCTCATAAGAGCCACATACAGCAATGGGATGAATGCCATCTACAGGTGAATGTGGGGAACGGGTCCCTTTGTTATAGGCAGCTTCTCAAAAGAGTTGTTTTCTCTCTTCAGAGAACAAGGCTGATATAATTTAAAGCACTCTAATTTATTATCATGAAATCCATACATTTATTTACACTTTCAAACTTTTGTTAGTATGTTTTTCATTTTGGGTAGACAGGAGGAGGAAGGCAAGAGAAAGAAGCAGCCTTTTAAGAAAATGAAATTACATGGACTATTAAGGCATGAATGACAGTTCTATAAATATGTTTATTTTGTGAACACAGTAATTCCCATGTATATGGTAAATCATGGAGAGCAGTAATAACATGTTGAAGTAGGAAATGATATATTTCCTATATATTGTTTTTCCATTTAATGACCATACAGGGCCACATTAACAGTGGACCAGAGAATAATATCCTGAGTCTCCAGGCTGGAAAAGTGCCTCAAGGGGAATTTTCTGTGTTTTTAATCAGTACCACATACAGAACTAGCTAATCCCAAAGCCTTTCCCTTGATTTATGTCAGGATGCTGCATGGACTGCTCAAATTCACTGATTTGATGTGAACTCCTCTGAGTCCTCTGATAAAATTAAAGACATATGAGATGATACAGTTGTTCTATTTCAGTTTCTGCAGTGTGTTTGAAACTGTAAAGCTCATCTTGCATTTCAAATTTTCCTAAGTGCATGAAGAAATACTCCAGATGGGCTAGAAGAAGACATCTCTCCTGATACTGTGTGATTAACATTAATAGTTAGGTGGCATAAGTAATATTTTTCAAATGTGTAATGGAATTGATTGCATAGTAGCTTTTTACTCACAAGGCATGAAACCTGAAATGCTTTCTAATCTACACATCAGTTGATTCAGTGGCATAAGCCAATTTGGAATGGAGGGAGCTGATAGCACATTTAGTGATTATTTGCTGAGAGCACAGACACAGTTTTTGCTGCTGTGAAATTTCTTAAGCAATCTAACTGTCATTTGAATACTTAGGTAATTAAAATATATCCTAAATTGAAAGGCAGGTTGTGTCAACAGCATGCAGTTTTCTGATTTGAGCTTTAGCAGTGTAAATTTTTTCCCTGCAAAAGAATTCATATCTCTGTCTTTTCCTGTGGTTAATTAGTATGTATTACATCTCTGTAAGTAAGTTTGTGAATCATAACTAGCTTGAGTTTGGGCCAAACTGCTTCCTAATTTGCTCATTCAGTCATCAACCTTGTATTCTTTTGTATCTCCTTGCATCTAGTTTGAAAGGATGGTCCTTTTCATGGTCCCTCAGCTTCCCACCCTGGTTTTTGAGGAGTGCCAAAACACCAGGCCAGAGCTCACATCTTATGCACTATGAGCCGACCATGAGAAGCTGTAAATTCACAGCTTACAGCTGAGACAGTGGGAGCTCATTGAGTGATGTCCTCTGCTCTCTTCTCATTCAAATAAAAAAACCCCAAACCATTACTCAGAATTTTCCAAACTAATGGCATGCAGGAGCAATTTTGGAGTGAACAGCAGAGGCTTTTGTGCTATTTTTAAAGCAGATATGTAAAGTCGAGTTTCTTTGGGCCAGAGATCTTCTTGAGTGGTATGAGAAATGCAAACTTTTAAAGGAGATATGTACAATCGACTTTGGCCAAAGGTGTTGCTAAATATAATAGGAAACACAAACATCAGTTATTAAATGTTTACATATATTTGAGTACTGACATTTGTACTAGTAGGAGAAGGGGGTCTCTCCTACAAAAAGCACTTTGGCTGGGCAGTTTTGAGGAAAGTGCAGTGCTGGATGTGTAAAGGCTGTATCTTGCCTATACTGGGGAGCAGTGTGGGGTGGGATGGCTGAGATCCCCTCCGGGCAGCAGTGGAGAGCTCAGGTAAGCACACACACGTAGAACTGGCACTATCTGCAGAATGTGCCTTGTAAGATATGGCAGAGCTGTCTGGCAAATGTGGAAGACTATCCATCACTGCCTACATCCCAGATTACTGCTTTAGCCATTTGGTCAGGTGTGGTGCCTCACTGTTTCACCGTCTTGTTCATATTCAGCCTTTGGGAACAGTTCAGTGGTATGTTATAGATAATTTTCTGAAAGCATTTTTTAAAAATACCCTTTGAGGAGAGCTCTGCAACACAAATATAATTTAGGGTTTGCTTGTTGGTAGCCATCAACTTCTAGGTATAGTGACATTACAGTTATGAAGGTTGGTCCCTTAAAGACAGTGAGTTAAAAGGAGGTTTAGGGGAAGGAACTGAAGGGATTTTGAAGAGGATCTTTTTTTGCTATATTGCTGGTACATTTGTAGCTGTCCATCTGATTTCTCTTAGCAGAGAAGAACACAGTGGCTGCTGTATTACTGTGTAATAAAGTAAACAATTTTATTCAATGCTCTCAGGCTGCTTATTATGGTTTATCATGACAGAAGAGAGGATATGAAATTTCAATCACAATTAAAGAAATTCAGTTTTTTCATCTTTGATTTAAGTGTGGCAATGATAGTTTCACCTGTTAGGATGGGTTTTACAGGGAGAGGTCTCCTCAGAATAGGATGGGTTTTACAGGGAGAGGTCTCCTCAGAATAGTTTGTGCTCCCAGGCACCTGTTGTAGCAGCAACAACATCTACTGTCATGCAGCCCAGCTTATGATCTGCTGTGTAGGGTTATTGCTGATTTTCAGGATGTGCCTCATTACTGACTGTTTTATACTCTCTTTGAGTTTCATTCATGCTAAAACATACTCGGTGCAAAGATGTGCTCAAAACTCTTAGGATCATGCAAAATAACCTTTTTGCCTACATTCTGCCTGTTTAGTTCTTCAGGGAAACTGTAGACCCAATGAGGAAGATTTTCTTTGTGATATCTAGTGCTTATAAAGGACTCCAAGGGAGTTGATGTTCTCCAAGGGAAGACATTTTTGAAAATAAATAGTGTAGAAAGCCTTAATAGATAAGTAGGTATGAACTAAAAGATTTTATTGTCTTTAAACAGGTATTTGCAGTAGATGGACGGATATTGCTCTTAGAGGGTTAAGAGGGTCTGGTGGAAAGAGAGAAATATTACAGGGTTATTAGATCTGTCATGAATGACAGTTTCTGCCTCAAAGCACTAGCAGAATTATGCAACATTCTAATTAGAGATTGCTATATTAAGCAACCTGTTCATTTAAGTACCGAAAGTTTTCAAAATGGATAATGTCACCACATGTGTGAGGAATCCAAGGGTGCTGTTATAATCTGTGCTTAAAAAGAGACCAGAATGGAGGCACAAAGTAACTTTCTTGCAGGCATGTAGAAAGAGACTTAAGAATTCAATGGCCCTATCTCCAGCTGGCAAGAACTTTAATTTAAAGATCCTATTTTTATCCTTGTTTAGCCTAACCTACTAGAAACATTAGTTAATTTGTTATGCTTTCAAGTATCCACTAAACAATATTAATGCAGTAATGCTGGGTTTGACTCAAGCATGGTTTTGTGTATGTTTTTTAGGTAATTTTAAGCTTGCAGTGTTATTGTTACTCTGGCATAATTAGGAAGCTTTCTTATATGAGTGGGCAATTAAATGATCAAGTAGGATAAAAACTGAGAATACAGAAATGCAGTAATCAATCTGAAAGTGAACCAAGCTTCTGGGTTTAAAACCTAATCCTCCTCCAACTTGAGAGATCTTCCAAACAGTTGCAGTTAAGTCCATCTGTGGTAGAAGCAATGGGCCAAGAAATGATAACTTTCTCATACTGTTTTGTTTCATCTGTTAGCTTTTGCTTCAAAGGAAGTTTAGTAGCTCTGTTTATTCAGTTTCAATTTTCAGAGTGGTCACTGATTGTAAGTGTTGCAAACATGCAGATAGGCACTGGAAACTGAAGTACTAAAGAGAATAGATTGCTTGCAGCCACGTAGAGAGGAGTCAGTGCTAGACACAAGGAGGGAAGAAGAGGCCAAGATTTTTTTTTTCCATATGCAGAATTGGCTCCAAGACAAATGAGCAATGATTGGGTCACTACTTCATGTGCCTTATGTAGCCAATATGATTCAGATGCCTGGCACAGCAGACAGTAAACTATGCTGATACTGCCTGAAATATCCCCTTCCTTTTTAGTCTTGTTTGTTTTTAGAAGTCAACAGTTGCCTGCTGACAGTAACAGTCAGCTTAAATATTTGGTCTTGATGTCTAATCTCAAATTGTTCATGCATCTCCAGGATCCAGTGCCCCATTACTGCCAGCATTATGTATTTTAATGAATGCAGAATGGCATCGAGGAATCAAAATTGCAACATCAAAATGGGAGAAAAGAAAATCACTGCAGCTTTCTTCACTGAGTAACTGTTAATGCTAAAAACTGTTAAACACATTAAAATCCCATTTAGCAAATAGCAGAATGTAATGAAAATTGGAACAATTCAGTGAATACAAATGTGGGATAATACTGGGAGGATTGTTTCTGTATGTAAGTGCTTCTCTTTGTTCCAAGATCAATGCTTAGAGGGAACTAGCTGTAGTTCAAAGGAGAAATAAAATTTGACCTTTTATTTAAAAATTGTTTCTTCATTAACAGATTTTTTTTCCTTAAAATTTTAGATTTTTTTTACTGGTAAAGTAATCACCATTTGACATTTAATATCCTAGAGATTTGTTACCTTATTGTAAAGAAAATTCAAATGAATGATTGCAAAATAAATGTACAGCAATGGAGCGAGGGGATATACTGAAAAGTGAGAGAGAATTTACTGAAGATATGGATAGGAATAAGCATCCTTCTCTTAAAACAATATCAAGAACCTTTTACAGAGGTTTTAGTATCACCAAATCAGATTGAAGTTTCTAACTGCATTATATACAAATGTAGTCTCTCCAAAGCCCAGTCATATTCTTAGTGGTGGTAAAATTTCTATTCTTCTGAAGCTTCTATCTTAATTTCAGAAATCTGCCCTTTTTTTTCCCCATTACCTTTCATGTTTAGCTTGTTTGGAGCAGTCATAAAATTGAGTGGAAAAATATTCTGTCATAAGCTTTCCTCCAACTGCTGTAATATCAACAAAATATTTTTCTTGGATGTTTTCTTGTCCAAGATCATCCAAATAATTTTCAGGATTTTTTTTGCAGCAAAAAAGATAAATGTCCTATTATGAATATGGAAAACCTTTTTAATAAAATGTATTTCATGAATGAAAGGTATTTTCTCCTGAAGACAACTTCAAAACAAACTCTCCAAGTAGCTCTAGTTATCACGCTGTTAAGATTATTGGGTGAAAATAGAAGTAATTTAGCCTGTGTAATATGTTAATGTTCCTTCAAATTCTCATAAGAGTTAGACTCCCAAATCCCAGTTTCTCTCCAAAAAAAGATACTCTTGAGGTAAATTACATCTGTTTCTGATAATAGCTCTAAGACTATCAAAAGGCTTCTGTGTTTTCTCTCATCATACTTCCATGCTTTTGAAATAAAAGTTATGGTCAGTGTTCACCAAAACAACAGCTGTTTAGTACTTTTTTCTCTGCCATTAGGGGAACCAGGCTATGTGGCAGAAGATTTCCTTTTTGTTTCATGTACATACGTTTTTCTCTCAAATACATAACACTTAGATCCTCAATCCTTCTGGACAGGGCTTATATCTTTTCCAGAGGTCAAATCTCCAGAGTAAAAATACCCTATATCCAAAACTTAGTAATGTATTATTTTAGAAAGCTGGGCTAGCGGTTCATAAATTTTGAAAACCCTGCTTAGTGTCAGATTTGCTCTATATGCAGCTGCAATGCAAGTTGGCACATGTGGCTTGCAGGCCAGGAATAGCCTTCTATCTCTTGGTACATTGCTGTAAGACTTTATTAATCTATTTTTATCAGTGAGTATCTGACCATAGTCTCCCTCACATGATGAACAAAAATAGTAACAAGCCTACAGACATAGAGTTTAGCAAAAAATAGATTAATATGAAAGCCTTCTTATTTTTAAGCAGGAAAACAGAAACAAGCCGCTGCCTGTCACTATAAAGTGTTTGTTGCATTCAGCTGCATACATCCATCTAATTTGCTGTTTTGCCTGTTTAATTTCTGTCCAGACTAAGAAGTGTTATTATGGAAGCTGCTGACCACACTTCAAGGGGGAAAAGGGTAGCATCTGCAGTGGAGTTGTGTGAATGTCCTCCAGGCTATGATGGTACCTCCTGTGAGGTGAGTGTCATGGTGCAGTCTAGTTCAACATTGCTAACTGTGATAGTTGGAAGCAGACAGTGGACCTGTGTTGGTAGAAAACAGTAAAAGATTTGTCCATTCTTGTTAGAAGTTTGCCATGGCTTGACTAGTTACCTTTATTTCCAGGTGATGGTTCATTATATCTGATAATTAAAATCTAGAATTTTACACCTCTGTGATGATTTCTAACTTATGAAAAGACATTTTGGTTCATAAAAAGGAAGTGGAAACAACCTTTGTACTCTTTAGCCAGTTGATAATACAAATGGATGAACACAATTACAAAGAAAATGGCAGTTAGCTGACATGTTAACAAAGACAAATCAATTTATTTGCATTAATGGGGTTGAGTTTCTTCTTTTGTTTTCCCAGGGCTATGCTATTTGCCTTGGATTTGTTGAGAATTGCACGTGCTCTTCTGAGGATTAGGTCACTTTATTTTGCTTCTGTAACAGATAATAATGTAGACACATGCTCAGAAAAACACCCACTTCCCTAACAAACTCATTAGTTCACACAGAATGTGTTCATACAAGTATACGTATGATTAACTACCTCATGTGGGCATCGCTTGGGGTAAATAAAAGCCAAAAAAACACTCTTCAAAAGCTTTGCCTTTAAGGAAATAGTTTCAAACACCAAGATGCTCTGCTTCACAAAACTATAAACAATATGCCATTTACACAGGCACTCTAGGCATTTGCTTGTCAACTCTCTTTTTCTTTAAAAATTTTCATGCATATATGTGATATTTAGGGTTTAGAGTCTAGTCTCATGCCAAGTGTGGTTGGTTGTTGCTGGGGCTAGATGAACTACTGCAGAAAGAAGGCCTGAAGGAATTAATGGATATTCCTATCACTTCCAAAATGGTACAGATGGAAAAATAACTAGAGAAGAATAGTTTTTGCCTTTGCTGAGAAATAATTTTAAAGCCTGGCCATTATCTATCTGTTAAATTATTTTAAGAAAAATGCCAGATGCAGTATCACTGTGTTTCACACTTTTTAAAACTTGTCCATTTATTCTCCAAATGCAGATTTAAGCATGATACCCAAGAGAGTAATTGGAAAAGCCCTGATTTCAGATATTTCAGTATTTACTTCTGTTGTAGAAGCTGAAAGGCTTGGGTAGAATTCCTGTCTTGGTGTTGCTGAAATTGTCTGTCCAACATTATGTCCTTCAGTGCTAAACCTTCTTTTCAGTCATAAACAGTCCCTGAAATTTGATACATTCTCCGTAAGTGATTTGATTCATACTCCACAAGAGAAAACACATATATAGAGAGCTGCAAATTTAAAGTTTTTATGCATGTAAAACTATGTATAGAGTATAGAAAAAAAAAAAAAAAGGTCATGTTCAAGATTTACAGATAGACAGTATTTAAGAAAGTATGGAAAGAGAAGTTGAAAACGTCTTTCATTTTTTTCCCAAGATACCAATTTTGTTTCTTCTTCTCAATACTTTCAGTATTGTTTAATGCTTTACTTCTGCCAGTTTCAACCAATCAGAGTGCCATTTTTACTGATTTTGTACAGTTTTTCAGTTCTCTTCATTATTTAATTTAATGTATGTGTTTGTCTACTGCATAATGATGATGTGGTGCCTGGCATAGATGCTGCTATGCCATATATGCCACACTAAAAGCAGCTATTATTTTCTCATTTTCATGCAATGAAAGTTTTGATGTGATCTGTCTTCCAAAGACAACCAATCCCGTTTAAATTATACTGTCTCTTCTAAGGTTTTCCATTATATAAATTTGAAATTTATTTTTACTAGTCTCTAGCCAAATAAAATTCTGTACATTTTTGTATGTGTAGGAACACAGAATTCCATAAGCACAGGTAAAGCAGATGAAATTTTAAATTCTAATACCAATTGGACCCCTTTGAGATAGTTACTTTGCTCCATGAATTTTCTTGCCTTTGTCAACATCTTCACATCTAATTGCTCTTCTCCCTCAGATTTGTTCCCATTCTCTGCTCTCTTTTACTTCTGCTCCAGAAGTTGTGTTTCACTTGCATCACTATGATGATCAAGAACTTTGCTGACTGTTGAATGTTACATAATTTCTTTTCTTGAGATCTCAATCTGTAATATTTTAGTTCTGAGCCCTGCTATTGATATTTTATGTCTAAGCTCTTAAAATTAGTGACTTTTGGAGCCTTGTCTTGAGCAATATCATGTGCATCTGTGCACAAGAGATTATTTTCAGTCACCAGAAGTGGGAAAAGATCTATAGATTTATGCAGAAAACACTTGCATCTCATGCCACAGAAAGAAAAATACAGCAATTTCTTTTAACCTCTTTTTAGGTATTGGATTTTATAACTCTAGATTTTTATTTTTTTTGTATTACAGGGTTTCCTTAGGAATGTGTAACCAAGAATGTAAAGAAGGAAAAATAAGGATAATATCTCAGGTTTAGGAATTTTTTTATAAAGAATAATTTCAATTAATCTTTAGATAACTTAAGTTTTCCAAGTGTAAGACAAAAAGGGATGCCTTTATTTTTATAAAGAAATGTCTGTTCATTACCTTTTTGGAGAGTGTATGTGAAGGGGAAAGTATTTTCTTTATTAAATGATACTTTTAGTATTCTGTCAGTGCAAAACTTTCTCTTTGTATTATCCAGATGGTTTTGAAGGTTATAAATCTGTCATGAGCTATTTTATCTTATGCAAAATTATTGGATCATATGAGCAGTCTTACTGTAGAAGGATAGTTTGCAAAAACCATAAAGCCATTTGTGAGATATATAGTAAAGAAGACTGCTGCTTGACATCTTATTATGAGCAAATGGAGTAGCTGAATTTTCACTGATGAATCACAGTTGTATGGTGCCACTTTACCTACAAAATTACCAGCCATGCATTTAATATTGATTTGAATTTTACATTTAAAAAAGAAAATTAAAAAATCAGAGCAGGTTCTTAAAGGGAACTTAGTACCCTTTAAGGAGCACTGTTTGTAAATAAAAGGATAGCCTTGTTTTCAGCCTGTGCTTTATATCAGTGTAGACTTCTGCTGGAGTCCTAACAAGACTAAATGGTATTTTAATTGCTCTTTGTGCCTGAACTTCTCAGAGAACATTTTTTGCTGTTTTGAGGGTGTTTTTTTCCTCCTTCTCTCTCCTTCAGTATTTCACCTTCTGGGTGTTTTTCAGTCTGTACCTCTTGCTTTCATGCTGTCATATTTCAGTTCTTCATTTCTCTGCTTTATTTTACCATTTCAGAAGAATGATCAAATTAACACTTCCTCTAATCTCACACCTGCTGCTAAGGCTAAGGTCAGTGCACAGCCACAGCACCAGAAAGAAGAATTTTCTAGGGAAATGTTGGTATTTTTATTCATTTGGCAAGTATGTTTGTTGTGTGTGCAAGCATCAAATCCAACAAAACTTTAAAAATGGGATTTTTAAAAATCCCATTCCTTCCTCTGTTCAAACGAGGATTTAAGTTTTTATCTGACTTCTCTTGCAGTCATGCTGGCCTCGACACCGGCGTGTGAATGGCACAATCTTTGGAGGAGTCTGTGCACCCTGCACGTGCTTTGGTCATGCAGATGAGTGTGATGACATCACAGGAGCATGCCTGGTAAGTGTCATTGCAGGAAACGATGGACATGGCCAACATCAATCCAGTATACCTGTGCAATTCGATTAGTGACCTCTGAGACCTGGGATAATCAAGAAGAAAGCCAGTGAGTAACAGAAGAGGTCTTCATGTTGAGGTAAAGGATCCCCTCATACCAAAATACAATATCTTTAACAGGTATGGCATGCAGAAGGCAGCAAATGTATGAATAACTTTTTCATGCAAGATTTATCTTCCCTTCCCATTTGTCTCCTGCAGTATATTCAATTTATAGTATGTAGCAGGTAACTTTGTAAATTCTGTTCAAGTTTGATGAGAAGATATTGTTAATGTCTTCCTTCTTCTAAATTCATAGTAAACCTTGAAAGAAAACTAAATTAATTGTACTTCCATGTGATATCGGCTAAATCAGATTCTTTTTTTTCTTGTAGACTTCGGAGATTTTTATGTAGTTACATACTAATTCAGCAGTTAAATCAGTGATATTATCCATAGTAAGCCTACCAGCACACCACTGTTTCCTGCCTGTTCAGTAGCCTTTTGGAATGGGTGAATTATGCTGAATATACTTTTCTGATTGACTCAAGGGCATTTTTAGTTTTATATTGTCTGACATGGCATGAAGCTTGAAACAACATGTCTAATTGCATTAGTCTTGCAGAAGCACAATTTAAGCCAGTGCCAGTTTAGTGGGATATACTCTCATTTCCCTGCAGAATTTCAAGCAGACTCTGTAATGTGCATGTTTCTAAATGTTCCCTTTTATTTCCTTAAGAAAAACCTGCTGGGAAAATGCCAAAATGAAAATTCAGGCTTTTTCCAATATAATTTGGCACTTAGAATTATTACTGTTCTTCCTGTTTTGCTCACAGAAGATGTTTAATTGCATTGCAGTGCAAAACAAGATATCCTTAATGTGTGGATCAGTGGATTTTTCAAATTGCTTTTTCATGAATAGAAGCTTAAAATTATTCTCAATTTAATTATACTGTAAGCCTCAAAGAAGAACCTAGAATGAAAAACATGTTTGATGTGACAGTCATGTTTTGAATCTTTCGCTTAATACTCAGTGAAAATGTTTATCACTAGGGTAATATGAATTTGTGTTTCCTGACAATTTTTTTTTTTTTTGCATTAATGACCATATTCTCTAGCAACAATATTTATAACGCCCATGTGGGATAAAATCAATTAACAGGAGAAAAAAGGAAGGAAGGGTCTTGTTTAAGATATGCCGTAACTGTTGGCTATTTTTCTTAGGGCTACATAACCAGATGTAACTTCCGAGGTTGTTGGCTTCTGTGTCTTCAAGTTTTAGTCCCTGCACAGCTTCCCTCTTTATTTTTGTCTGTAGCACCAGCCTGGATAAAAGAGAAGGCCACGTAGGCTGCATATTGCTTTTTGTGGTTTTTGGCTGATGTGAACTGTTGACTCAGGCCGTGGAGCTCCCCCTTCTGATGTTTCAAGGGTGCTGGTGTAAGATAACACAGCACTGACAAGGAAGTGGAAAATAACCAGCTGAAGACGCACTTTCATCTATTCACATTATCAAGCACTCTGTATTTTATGTGTTCTGTAGCTTACACTAGATCAGGCTATAGAGAAGAGGCGCACAGGGAGCTTAAAATCAGTTCTGGATTTTCTTACAACTTTGAAAGTGCTGTAAGTCAGATCGGTTAGTATCCATGCAGGCTATTAAATGCTGCTATTCAATTTGGATCATAAGCCTTTTGAAGTGAAAGAGAGAGAAGTCTGAATTCTGAAAAAGAGAAATGTTTCACATCAAAGGCATTCTTTCTATTGAGGTTTACACAGCCTTTCGGCCTCCTTATTATTATTCATGGTGTTTGTTCAGTAATACAACAGACAATTTAGGCACCTAATTTACTGATATGATACTTCTTTTTGCTCTTCCTTAGCTTTGAAATGTAGTTGAAAAGAAGCTGAACTGTGTTTTTGACTCATGATAAAAGCTCAAATCATCAGCTTCGACACAGACCTGTATAAAAAGCTCATTTTAACTTATATCTTCCAGTAACCTGCAAAGCCCTTTGATCCCCACAGCAGCCATAGAGAGCTGTACGATGCCTCGTTCTCGTTACCATTGTGATATACATAAGTGCTTTGGTACACAGGGAAATTTGGAACATTCAGAAATATTCTTTTGTACTATTACACACACACATTTACAGTAGCTTTAGGAGGTTGGATAAACCTAAACCTTCTGAAAAGCAAGCACATTTCAAGGTGTTTCATTCAATGAAGGATACTATGTTCCTGTTAGTAAGCCCAGAGGAGGTGGATCTTTCTCCCCAAAGTTATGCTCAAATTGCCCTGAATGGGCAGTCCCCAGTGGCATCCTTTTCAAACTGTATTCCTCTGTGTATAAACAGCATATACCATGTAGGATGAGGCTGGTGTCAGTGCTGGTGGACATGTGCTTTAGACAGTGTTCATCGCCAGAGTGACAAAATGTCTTTACCCATCTTCATATATGCCAAAACAAAATGATATGTCCTAGCTAAATGCAGTACAAGCTCTTGCTCAAGTGAAGATATGCAAAGCCTCTGCAACATCCTGATTACGTTTGTATTGTACCCAGGAATGGGAATTGTCTGTGTCATCTTGACATTACGGTAGTTTGAAAATTCTAGAAGAGCTTATTCATGCTTCCAAAGGCAAAATGCCTTTGTCTGGTCTAGACAACTTGGAAATATACTAAAATAGGCACCCAGGCTTACTTTATTTAGCTGTTTTTAACAGCTTCCCTGGTTGTCTCTGTAGCAGGTATCCTGAGGAAGGGCAGCAACATGCCAAATGTGCTGTCTTGGACTCTGTCATAATCCCTGTGTAAGGTTTTCTTTTCATCACTAGCATTCTATTCTAAATGTTTCCACGTTCATATGCATATGAACTGCATATGCAGGAGTGGTTTTCACTGTGAATTTAGGGTTCCCTGATATTGGACATAAAGAAGTTCATTTGGTTTCTTCCAAAAAAAGGAGAGCTGGCTCAGTAGGAAATGGTGGAAAACACTCTCCAGGACATCAGCAAGGAAGTTTGTAGGGAACAAGGTCTGAGTCATACATAAATTTTTGGACAGAAATAAATCCCACAGTTTTAATTATACAGAGTTTGTCTAACTGAAGTTTAAAGATGTTCAGAGGTAAAAGAGGTACAGAAAATTAATACATTCAAAATAGTGTGAGATACAACTGAATTCATTGTCTTGAATTGATTTTGGAATTGAAAGCATAAGTATTTGGACATAAAATTATTCCTGGCCTCAAAGTCTGTGAAAAAAAACATGGCTATAACCAAACCACTAGATCAATGTGTTGGAACAACCTCTATTTACACGGGAGTAAAAAGAAAGCAGATATAATGTACTGAGAAGGTTAGAAAAGTTGATCACGATCTATTTTATACTCAGTCTCATGACATGAAAAAAAACGGTACAGTTTTCCTATGAATGTGAAATTAAGATATCAGAGGCTTAAGCATGCTTTAAGGAAATAATCTCAGTATAATTAGACATTGCTCAAACCAGATGATGTTCAAAACCATTGCTGTACATTTGGCAAGTTTCAAACTGAGATTCAGCCAATTGATATCAAGAAAGCACAAATCTTTCATGAGTGTTGATATTTTTAGAAGGACTTGTCTACTTCAGTACTTAAAGTACTGGTCTGTAAATGTGACAGATTAGCAAGAAGTTTTATTCATCACTGAAGAGAACAGGCAGATCAGGTCACATCTACATACTACACAATCTTTGTTCTTTGTCCTGTAAGGTCCAAAATGGCTCATGGAGAAAAGTGTAGGATACACAAGATCATTATCTCTCAGATAAACTAACATGCACAGTACGGTACACTCAGATTTTGGTTCCATATATGTGGGGTTCTCTTTTTTTGTTTGTTTTTTTAAATATTTTTTTTGTTGGTTTTTAAATATAAATATTGATTCATTGCTTTTGAACATGCTGGGGACCATCAGTACTAGTCACTTTTTAAGCACTGCCTGCTAAGGGCACAGGAGCAGGCAATTCCAAAATGTCAGAAGTCAAACAGGCAGAAGGCCAGCTTGGCTGAGCAGGGATCTTCTTTTGGAGATAAGGCAAAAAAGGAAGGTGCATGCAGTGGAAACAAAGTCAGGTGATGTGGGAGGAGTACAGAAATGTTGCTTGCCACTGTAGGGGGAAAAGTGATGTGGTCAAAGCTCAGCTGGAGTTGAAGCTAGATGGAAATATGGAGGGCAATAATAAGTTTTTTTAAAAAGTTAATGGCAAAAGGTAGTGCAGAAATTACATTGGCCCCCTACAAGAGGAAGATAGTCCCCTCACAAACAGGGATATAGGCAAGGCAGAGATATTTAATTCTTTCGCTGCCTTTGTCTCCAGTATTGATGATGGGCTAAAGGGGTCCCAGTGCCTTCGGACCATGGCTGTGAGCATGATAAACTCCCAGTGTACCTGAACTAGTGTGGCATCTACTGGATACATATAAGTCTATGGGTCCTAATGGGATCCAGGAATACTCCAAGAGCAGGCTGATGTCATCCTGAGGCCTCTCTCAATGATTTCAGAACAGCCTTGGAAATATGGAAAGGCCCTTGTTGAGAGGAAGCTGGCTAACATTTGAATTTTCAAAAAGGACAAGAAGGATGTCATGGAAACTGTAGGCCTGTCAACCTCATTTCAGTGTTTGGTAAAATTATGGAGATTTTTCTGGGAGGTATTGAAAACCACCTGAAGGATGGTGCAGTCATTGGTCACAGCCAGAATGGCTTCATGAGGGGACAATCCATCTTATCAAATTTCATTTTCTTTTATGACAAGGTAACCCATCTAGGTGATTAGGGGCAGCCAGTTGATGTAATCTTTCTGGATTTCAGTAAAGCTTTTCATACTGCCTCACAGGATCCTTCTGGGCAAAATGTCCAGCACACAGCTGGATAAACATGTCATGAGATAGGTGAGCAGCTGGCTCATGGATCAGGCACAGAGGGTTGTAGTGGATGGGGTGACATCAGCCTGGCAATGTGTCTCTAGTGGGGTTCCACAGGGCTCCATCCTCAGCCCTGTGCTCTTCAACACCTTCTTACCAACTTGGATGCAGAACTCAAAAGAGTACTATGTAAGTTTGCCAGTGTTACAGAACTGGGTGAAACTATTGACACCCTTGAGGGCAGAGAGGACCTGCAGAGAGACCCAGAGAAATTGGTGAGATGAGCAATCACCAACCAAATGAAGCTTGACAAAGAAAAGTGCTGGATTCTGTACATGAGATGGGACAACCCTGGATGTATGTACAGACTGGGGATTGAGAGGGTGGAAAACTGCTGTGGAAAGGGACCTCAGGGTCCTGGCCCATGACAAATTGAACATGAGCCAGCAGTGCCCTGGCAGCCAGGAGGGCCAACCCTGTCCTGCGGGGCATCAGTATGGCCAGCTGGGCAAGGGAGGGGACTGTCCTGCTCTGCTCTGAGCTGGGGCAGCTTCATCTTGAATATTGTGTGGCACTTGCAGTGCCACAACATAAAAAGGACATTAAGCTATTAGAGAGTGTCCAAAGGAGGACTACAAAGACGGTGAAGGGCATTGAGGGGAAGGCATATGATGAGTGGCTGAAATCAATTGATCTGTTCAGCCTGGAGGAGACTGGGGGTAGAACCTCATGGCAGGTACAACTTCTCTTCAGGGGAAGACGAGGGGCAGGCACGGATCTCTTCTCTGTGGTGACCAGTGACAGGACTCAAATGAATGGCATGGAGTTGTGTCAGGAAAGGCGTAGGTTGGGTATTAGAAAAAGGTTCTTCACTCAGAGGTTTATTGGGCACTGGAACAGGCTCCCCAGAGAAGTGGTCACAGCACCCTTGACAGAACTCAAGAGGTGTTTGGACAACACTCTCAGGCACATGGTGTGACTCCTGGGGAGCCCTACACAGGGACAGGAGTTAGACCTGATGATCCTACCAGGTGTGGACATTCTATCATTCTGTGATTGTGAGGAATTAAACACAAGACTGGATTGAGTAGGAGTAGACACAGTACATGGAAATGACTGATGTTAAAGTGCCAGAAAGTACTTTGTCAGAGTGAAGGTGGTCAGGTCTTTGTAACAAGAAATATTTTCCTACAAAATGGAAGGTTTCAGGTGTTTCACTTTAAAAGAGCAGAACCTGCAAATACAACTCAGCAAGAGATGTAGAGTATTAGCTTCTCTCACTTTAATAACATCCTTGACATATAAACTGTTCATATTCTTCAAAACTGTTAAGATATGTCTGAGGATATTTAAAGCTAAACTTATCACAAAAGATGAATCCATTATTTTTCAGAAAAAGTACAAATAATTTGACACGATGTCTTTAAAAAGTTGAATTGCAGAGGATTTTTCTTTTGAAACACTTAAATTATCTTTGTCACATCTTCTTTTAAAAGCATATTGTTCCTGGCTACTTTTTTGGTATGGCTGGTAGATTCTTTTTGAATGTCAATGCTTGAAATACCAAACAAATGGATTAGTTAACTTATGGAAGTTGATTTTAACCCATCTGGCTTTCTAAAGCTGTAATTTTAATTGATGAAGTGTTTCAGTAATTTGGTATTAGCTCACAATCTACAAATTATGTCAAAATATAGTATTGTTGATTGAGGTTTTCATTTCAAATATATGCTGATTGTGTGCACTAGCAATAAGAATTCACCCTTTAAAACAACAAACAGTATTTCTGGAGGCAAATGCTTTTGATGGCAGTGCACTCATGACTAAAAAGGGCATTGTGTTTTTCAGCTGCCCCGGTGCAGAGCACAGTGCAAAAAATCTTTGTACAAATCATTGCAATCCTGGAAAGCTGTGAAAAAGGAATCAGTGTTCCTTAGAATACTGTCTGTTTCTTTATTGAGGATAAATTATGTCTTCCAGACAGGAAGGCTGTTAAATAGCAATCAGTACCATATGCGTGACTTACTAAAATGATAAAACAATTTTAAAGTGTTCTTAAAAAACTATTTTAAATTAAATCTTAGGTTTGAAAGCGCTTAAAAAGAAAACCAAAAAACAAACAAAAACAAACCTCCAGAGTTCTTAAGGTGTTGCTTGGGTGGAACATTCTAGATTTGATCTGGCCCATAGTCTAAAACACAGCAGAACGTACCCCATTAACAAAAATCTCTGTCATGGCTTTCATTTTGGCCTTTTGAAGTTGACATAGGCTTTTTCAGTCCTTTTTTCAGTCCGTACCAAGCACGTCAATATGGCATTTAACATTCAAAACCATTCCTACTGCTTTCTTTGTTTCTGCATTGTGAAAGGGCTACACTTGAGGGAAATATCTTGTGGGAAATAGCAGTAAAAGGAATAGTGTGGTGTGCTAGTAGTGTGGGGCAAAGAAAGGAAAGAGAGAAAGCCAGAAAAGTAATTTTCTGAATCTATTATGGATTCTGTGAAATTACATAGAATTTCTAGATTCTATGTGGTGAGAGGGAAGAAGAATAGAAAGGGTAATTACTCTTGAAAACTTGGTTCTTACAAAACATTATGAGAAGCTTTTTCTCTCAGGACCGATTTCCATTCTGCTGAAAGATTCTTTAATTTGAGATCAGCCAACAGCTATATACAAAGATGCAAATGTAGTACTGCCATTTTTATACTGCATGTTTCATATGCTCAGCTAATTTCTCTCCTATTATGCAGTCACATAGATGAACACAAACTGTTGGATAGCACCCTATACATGGTATACTTGTTCTTCCTTCTACTCACGAAATAGAGGCTGGATTCTATTCTAGGAAGTAAGAATTAAGTAATTCAGGCTTTGCTACTGTTTACAAATACTGATAGCCATATGCCTTGTAAAATGAACTAATGCACATATATGTCAAAAGTAATAATTAGTTTTTAAAAATTACATTGTCTGCATTATATTTTTTGAATCAGCATCTGAAAACTGTTTGTCGCAAAATATGGCCTATTGCAAGACTGCATTACTAAACCTGTCTTATGCTGCTTTGAAATTTGGTTTCCTTTAAACAAGCTAAAACAATAATACAGCTGTAGTGTGGTGTAAATGTAAAGGTTTTCTGTTAAATATTCTTTTTGTTTTACATGGAAAAAAGCTATCCACAAGAACATAACAAAGCGCTGATTGTGACAGCTAACCTGCAGAACTGTTTCTCAACAAGCAGCAGAAAATAGGGATAAATGTTGCAGACCTTTTTCCATATGCAAGTTGTCTAATTGTCAATTTGTACTTTACATCTTCTGTTTAGAACTGCAAACACAACACAGGTGGTGCATATTGTGATAGATGCCTGCCTGGCTTCTATGGTGATGCAACTAAGGGGACAGCTGAAGACTGTCAGTTGTGTGCTTGCCCCCTAAATATACCTTCTAACAAGTAAGTTGCATATTCATTGCATATTTCACTGTTCCCCTTAGTAAATTGCATAATTTCTTAATTTATATTTTTACATGTATGCTTTTTCCTTTCAATCAAATAATATATTCTGCAATATAAACTTTTATTTTTATGATTGTACAGAGTGCTTAACTAGGCAGATGAAGAAAAAACTGGATGAGAACAAGGTAGAAAGAACAACACAGAATTTGGATGACTGCTTTTCAAATTAATTACTAGCATTTGCTTTTCTGTCCTCCTTAAGCGTAGCTGTTTCTAGTTTTAAAGCTGAATTTGCAGATTTGATGTGTGTTTTTTCTGTTTTTACTTTTCCCTTTCTTCCAGTCTACATTATTTGATTCATTTGGAATTTGAATTCATCCCTAGATATTATAAGTGAAAATATTTTTTCAGCATATCTCAGAAAAAATATTGTACATTTGTTTTATTAAATAACAATAGAAGTGAAAAGTTATTCAAAATTCTGATCTAAGAACCAAAATTTCCTTCATTACAAAAGCTTGTCTGTGCTACTCTATCGCTTAACTTAATAGACCAAGTGGCTTGAACATTTTTTCATTGGTTTTGTCACAGACAGTGCCTGGAAAATAATAGTACCAAAAGCATTTTACATGATGTACCTGAACAAAACCGTTCTGAATTTTGTGTGTGGAATTGTATCCTATTAAAATTGCACTGATCAGAGCAGAAATAGTCTAAGCACTTATGAGTGGAAATTCCAGGGGATTGTAGCATGGGAGCCTGCCTTCCTGATAACACAGCTCTTGAGATGGTTTTATTAGATAGATATATATATACACATATACATATATATAGATATAGATATATAGATATATAGATATAGATATATATGAGTTTATTATATCTGCTGCTCAGGCATGGTTCTGCTGACATTCTCATTACCTGGTATTTCCTTGCCTCAGTAGTCAATTATCTTTCTCTTGTTTGAGAACACTGTGTCACACTTCGTGTGACAAAGAAGGAAAAACACTATCACATTTCTGTCTTGCACAGACATGCAACAAACCAAGTCAAATAGATTAAATTTAGGTTATGACTGGCAAAGTGCCTGGAGACCTCCATTATGTAATTGTTATAGTTCTGGGTGCTTTACTTTCCTATTTTGAAGTTAACAGTCCCCTTTTTAATGTTTAGGTTTTTTGAAAAAAATAACAGGAACAGAACAAACATGCAATATAAATGTTCTTTGAACTGTGAAACTGTGTGGGTCCTGAAGTCTACAAAGTTTAGCTTTGTAGAACTCACTATAAGGTTCAAGCTCTAATGATGTTACAGTCTAGACCAATTATTAAATTCGTTTATGAAGAAAAAAGAGGTTTTAAAGATTTAATGTGTTACTTGAAGGCTTTTAAAATATTAGTTGCCAATGAGTTTGTTGTGCAAGGGATAATATTTGCAAACAGTTCAGATACATTCATGTGAAAAATAAACTTTTGCCAAGTTCATGTCACTGTGCAGATGTAGTATATGTCATGTTCTTTCTGAGTAACTGAAAAAGTGACTAATTGTGTGTACAAATTATTATAAATAGCTGTGTATAGATTTTAATTCCTGAAGTATTTAATTCCTAACATGATATGACAGGACATTTGTAGGTTTCTAAGCTTAATACCTAATTTCTCACTGCATAGAGAATATTGTCCATGTGACAATATGAGCCTGTGACATATATTTCTATTAAGAAATAAGTTTTATATTTTACAGCAGTGTCACATTTATTTATGATGCTTATAGTGGTTCCCTTCACTGTTGTCACAGCACTTGACTCTTTCTTTGCAATGCCACATAAAGTGGCATGTAGAAATGATGTGGTGGTTGTGTTCTGTCGTTGACTTCAGTGCATTTAGCTGCTGCTAATTCCCTTTCCTGTTTCCTAATGGCAGGAGTTTCCATATGCAGTCACTGAAGCCAGTCATGTGCCTTCTGAAGCACAACAGTCATAAATGGCTTGCCATATGTCAGAAAAGAGCACTTGGCCAAATCAGGAAACAAAAATTAAGTTGTCTAAGCTTGTTTTCTACATCCTGGGTTGTATTTTCTTCTTTTTGCATGTATCTTCATATATGTGCTTATGTGATGCAGATGAAATCAATAGCCATGTTATAAATGGTCTTTGCAATGAACACATGACTCCTTCATCCTATGTCGTCTTGTAAATAAACCACTCTTAAAAACTGTTTGAACATTCTTAGTCCTCAAGCATTTTCAAAGGAAATTATTTTTTCCCCCCATAATTTCTAAAAAATACAGATGTTTGGGATAATTTCTGCTCTTGATGTAGACATAAATTTAATATGGGAATTTAATACAAGTAGAGAAGACTTTGACAGGAATGCTTTATCACTGGAAATGGGAGACAGAACATCTCTCATTTGCCCTGGGAAGGTTGGGAGTAAATTCACAGTACATGAACTAAGAATTTGGGTTGATCTCAGAATTTTAATTTTTTCTTGGAGAATTAGATAAAATCACAAGCATATTGTCAGGGGATGTTTTCTATAACACACTAGGAAGCTTTTAGGATGCCCTGTCTCCCAACACAGACTTACCACATGCATTCCCATACTGTATATTCATACTTGTCCTGTGTCCTGACTCGTATTAGTGTCATTACCATAAGGGAAAACTGTAAAAAGCAATGACAAATCAAGAGGGGGACTACAATTTTTTGAACCTTGTTTTGACAAATCAATAGTCACAGTTCATTAGTGTTTAGCATTAGTGAGTAATGAGATTCTCAATAATCAGGAAGAATAATCTTTTCTCAGCCTGCTATCATATATTTCCTTTACAGCACGCAGATGGGAATTTCTCAATATATTAATGTTTAGTGTTGAAATGTGGTCCAGCTAATAAGTCACAGAAAGAATCAAGGAGGCAAGGTCTGAGCATAATCCTTAAAACATAGAAATGCTACTATTCATCATTATTGCTTAGCAATGATAAGTATATTATCATTATTATTATCATTGTTATCATCCTTACAATTACTATTATTATTATATTTAAAATGTAGGCAGTTAAGTTCAGAGCTCTTGGTGGAACTTTAGTACAGTCAATTTTTTACAGTGCTGTAAAGAGCTGTGATAGCATCTCCACAAAATTTCCCATGAAGCTCTTAGAAAGAGTGAGGTTGGGACTGACAACCAGGAACTTACTTGAAATCAGGTGCTGCTGATTATATTAAAAAATAATGTGTGCCTTCATTGCTTTTAAAGAACACAATGAACAATTACTGTTTCTTCAACTGACTCTTCATACATTTGTCAATCTATTATTAAGTAAATGACATTGCAAAATAACACTAACATATCCTTATAGAAAAGAGAAAAATCCCAGCACCTCTCTATATTTATTGGACCTTACCATCCCACATTTTTCTTATTGATCTCTTATATTTGTGGGATAACACAGAATAAAGAATAACTGAGACAGATCACAGGATGGATGACTCCAGAGAAGTGGGGTCTAGTCACCAGAAGCTAATCACATTAAATGATGCTACTTAAGCTTTTCTGTCCTCCCTGGGCCTGTTACTTTCCAGAAACTGTCATGATATACCCTGCTTTAATATATCCAAGGTCAGATTATGTCTATTTGTTATTATTGTAGCATGCACTGCTACCTTGAATATACCTTCCTTCTGCTGTCTTTATTGGAGCAATTCTACTGCTTCTCAAATTCTATTTTCCTAGGTTATAAAAGATAATTTAGCATCTTTTTTTCACATAAGTGCTTTGTTTTCCCCTTTGAATGGTCACCCTGCTATGCACCTACTCACATTCTTTTATTTTTTTTTCTTTTTCTACTTTTCTATTTAGTCAATCAGAATTGATTACCATTATTTAGATGAGGCTTTATAAAGATGCTTGTATGTCTCTGTCTCTAATAATCATTACAGAATTACAGAAGAAAATATTACCTCTTCTTCTGTGTAGTATCCTTTAGTGTGTCAGAAAGTTTCTTCAGAAAAGTGTGTTAAGGGAGAAAGATTATGGAAAGCAAAATGCTAAAAGTGAAGGAACACAATTCAGAGTTAAACACAGGCATTGAGATGTGGAGCTTGCAAATGGCTACAGTATCCTTATTTACAAAAAGAGACAAAAAAACCCCAAAAAACCAAACCAGCCAAAAATAATTAGAGTATAACAAAGAGGTAAAGCTTTCTAGTCTGCAAGTTATTCTTAAACTTCAACATGCCTGTGTGGCCTGTTGCTTGAGGTCATTGGCTCGATTAACTCAAGTACGCTCCCTGGGAAGCTGTACCAGATATTTCCCATTTTGCCCCTCCCCTGTCTTGTTCATTGGGTTCCTTTCACAGCTGACTATACACAAAGTTAACTGAGCTTTTAATCGGTTGTCCTTCAGAAAGATTTATATAGGGGCCAGTTATGGCACAGATTGTTTTGCCAGTCCCTCAGGGGCACAAACAAACAGCTGTACATTCCTGCCTTTTTAATGGTATCCAGACCTCTCACTGGCAGGCTCAAGTCCTGTAATAACAGGCTATTGGGATGCTGCCATCCGCTGCTCTATATTCAGTGTCACAGAAATAGCAGAGTCATTCCAAATTCAATTTGCTGGAGTCAAACTTAAGCCCCATGTCCTAGACCAGAATCACTTTTCCTGGGCACTGTTTTGCAAATTAACAATCTCTGAAGTGGGAAGAGAGCTATGCTGCTAACCATGTTTTCTTTATGTTTCTTCCTTGTCCCTCTTCTTTCTCAATATCAACAACACAGCTTTAGCCCAACGTGTCATTTTGACCGACATCGTGGATTAATGTGTGATGAATGCCCAGCTGGCTATGTGGGACCACGCTGTGAAAGGTAAGCAGGCACCATGCTTTAAGTCATATGAGACCTGAAACAAAAGTATTGATCACATGGAGCTATTCTGCTTTTTATTGCCTCCCTTCTCATCCCCATTCCTCTTCTGAAACTCACTGAAAAAATTCCTGTGTATTTTCCTCTGATATTGGATCTATGAATTTGTATTTTTCTTATGCTTGTTTTATTGTTTTGTGGTAAAATGTGAGGTTTCCAAGAAGCTTCTTGGAATTCTTGATAAATAAGGGTCTTTGTTTAAAAAGTCTCTTCTAGCTTTTCTGTCACTCTTCTGAGATTTTTATAAAGCTTTTGTCTCTTTTGTCATTTGAATGTTTAGAGCATGGTGATTCAAATATGCAGTAAATTACTGATGCTTCACTTAGAGAAGTTATTATGCAGTGAAAATACAGCTCTTCTAATAAGTTATTTGTATATTTTTATTATTTTTTAAAGAATATTTTGCATTTTTGTTGCTTCTCATTTTCTGTTGCAGTCTTTATTTAGAAAGTGGAACAAACTGGGCTTTAATGACCAAAAAAGATAACTCTTCTATGTCAAATACATAAAAAAGTTCAATACGTATTTTCTACACTTATTGCTGGCTTTACAAAGGCATTATGCTGAAAGGATCATGTGGAGAATTTAAATGTAACAAAGAGTTAGTGTGAGTGCTAGTGCTAAGCTCCCAGGAACCCCCATCCAAAGGAGGTGAGACCACACAGGCGAGGGATATCACCACTGTGTCTACATGCCTTTGGTCCCTTGGGATTTCACATGGATGGAACAGATTTCAGGAGCAGTTAGTGTGCCAGGGGACCTCTGCTAGCTGTTTGGAGGTCATGATGAATCATTTTTGGCTTTGTCCCCATGATCTCAGTCCTCTGTGACCCTGCCAATGACACCTTTTTAAGAGGGGCTTGGGGAGCCAGATAACTGTGTAACACCTTCCTAGACAGTTAAGGGGCATGGAAACCTGGCCCTTGTGTTAGTAGGCTCTTGCCATTTGACACTTCCACGAGCTGCTTGAAGGATTTCTCAAGGCAAACCCTAAAAAAAGGTAAGGCTTCCGAATGAAAACTTAAAATATTCAGGCTGGGATGAGAAGAAGTAGGAATAAACCAAGAGCAAGAGACAACCAGAAAAGCAGAAACCTGACCATACACTGTGAATCTCCCTGTAGTCCCCTCTTTCCAATTTACAACTACTTCCTTTTAAATCCCCTGTTGTGCTATATCTGTCCTGAAGTGAGAGTGCAGGCTGTCACCTGTTTCCACCCATCATCACCGAGTCTGCTCCTGCTGCTGCTATTTCTGCCTGTCTTTTCCTGTCTGTCTGGGAAGTCATCACCTTCTTTCAGCTAGTGGGCTGTGAAGTTAATGACGGCAGGAATAAATGACATCAAGAGCACTTTGGTGGCAGTTTGTCAATGCAGGGTCATTGACAGCTTCCATTAGCAACAAGTGCTGTGTCTGAGCAGAGCACAGGCTGTAGATGCAGTAGGACAGAGTCTGAATAAATGGCTAAATTGGATTTTAGCCTGATCTCCTAAGGAAATGAGGCCCCTGTGATCTTTTTGTGCATGTCTCTCTGGCTGTCTGCGAAGTGTCTGCACTGGTTGGTCAATTTCAACCAAATTTGGCAGAAGGTAGGAGGCCTCAAAGATGGTAATTGTTCCCGAAGGTTTTATGAAAAGTGGCTGAATAGAGGTTAATAAATCAGGACATATCATAGCTAAGAGGAAGAATACTGTGTGAACTCACACCTGATTAAAAAGATAGAGAGAGAACAAGAGAGATTGCTAAATATTCTGCCCATAAGAAAACTTTCACAGGAAAAGGTAAAGGTGCTGCTGTAGCCTGAGGGATTACTCCCAGCTGAGTAGCAACATCCTGCAGCAAATAATCAGCCCTTAGCCTTGTAGCCATGAGATATAAATCCACTGGAAATTAGTCCATTAATTCCAAAGCTCACAGAACTATTTGCTTTTAATTGTAGCAAGTTGTTTTAAAATGTCTGCAGCTGTCAATAATAATGATCAGGAGAAAGCATGTTGCATTTTGCTATTAGCAGTGGTTGTATAATTGCTGAGAGAGTTTACATTAAAATCTCTTTCATTTTAGCAACTACAAAGTGACAAGTGATCTGAGCCACGTGATTCATTAGCTGAACAATGCTAAATTATCATGACATACTAAGTATCATGAAGTGAGAGTGTGCAGCACTGTACTTATTCAGCCTAAAAATATACCCTCTGTCCCCTAGGGAGATACATGTATCTGTCTGATTTGTAAAATGTCAAAAAAAAAAAATTGCTATGTTTTTCATTGAAAATCTCAGGAAAATGGTGCCATAATTGCTTAATATTCTAAAGGGTCCAGTTCATAACACCATCAAAATAATTGCAGATATAAACTGTATTGGGAGTTATCATATATCTATAATTATAGAGAGGGCTCAGCTTTCCCATGTAATGTTTTTCCCTAACAAATTAGACTTATGTTTTTTTTCTTTGCTCACTGCTCACTTTTCCAAAGGCATATGAGTTAGCATGGGCATTCTCTTAACTTCCTAGAAAGGATGTATGAGGCAAAAGGTTGTCTTTTTAGCCCAACACATTTACATGATGATGATATCCATTTTCCAAATGCAGTCTTGCTAGGGAAAAGAAACAAAATAGATGAGTCTAGCTTTTCCTGTAGGACTCCATGATTTATGTGCATGGATCCAGTGACTTTTTTCTCCTACAAGGAGGGTCAGTGTCCCTCATGTGTGAGGAGAAGGGTGAGCTGACCCATGTCCTTTCTTGTCCCCACCTCCCCCAGTCTTGACGCCTAGCACAGAGTGCCTCCATCCACAGCCTCTCATGAGTACTGTGGCTTCAAACTGCTGCTCATTGTAGCAAATAAAATTCTTAAAATTCTTCCACTAGTGCCAGAGCAGCGACTCTGTGGTGCAGTACTGATGGGAAAAGGGTCAAACATTTCAGGAGATTTGGTACAAAAAATGTGTTACACAAGAATGTCTGCAGCTTGCAGAGGCAGGCATTCTGACATTAGGAAATGCAAGATTTATAGTTGGTCACACAACAATAACATCTGTGCTGTGCACCTGAGTTAAGATATCTCACCGCGTGCTCACAAGCCGTTTCTCCACAGGGCTTTTGCCTGATTTTGTGCACAGGTTGAACGCACATAAATTTCAAAGGCTCTGTAAAAATAGTATTTCCAGACTTAAAAGTGTTCGGATTTGCAGGCTTAATTAACTCTGTCTCAAGGGCTTTTTTTTCCTGGTAAATATAAAGAAATGTATAAAATAGGCCTGCATTTCTGTGCATATATGTGTATACACAAAGCACCATACAGATTGCTATGGGGAATATTAACTCCATACTGACCAGGCCCAGTACAAATTCATACACTTATTTTTAAGTAGTAGCCCTGTATTTGGCACCACTTACACTAAATCAAAGCAGTGCCACTGACAGACATAGCTGCATTTGAGAATAGAAAAAAAAAAAAATATGGGGACAATCTTTTTTTCATTGCTTTTACTCCTATTTTTAGTTTATTTTTTTAGTTTATTTTTTAATCTCAGAGGTGTCATTAGGTTGTAGTTAGAAGACATCTATTTTTACATGTATTTCGTGTAAAGCAGAAAAGTAATTTTCCATGCCACATACTTACTGGTGTTTTTCAATCTAAACCTTCCCAAATATATAATGCTTTGAATCTGAGAAAAGAAGCTGAAGTAGGAATGTCCTTAAGGAAATAAAGATGGAACTAAGGAAAGTGGATTTTTTTATCTTCCCCTGAAACTTAAGAGGTGATAGAAAAAGAGGAAGAATTTACATAGATGTTCATGTACACAGTTTTACTATAAGCTTTAACTGGTTTACCCCTACTTTCAGGATCATCTTCAGTTGGATTTGAGATTATGATAAGTAAAATGTGGCTATGTGATGGTAGTGGGTTTTTCTAATTGTAATTATCAAAGTGTAAACTGATGAGAATACAATCGAGTTATCGAGGTCTCCTGCTGTTAATAGAAGGAAATTATTAGCAGTGTATTTCACACAAATCATTGGAGTATTCTTTCTGTGAACTGCTTGGTAAATTTCTGTGAATGCTGTCAAATACAGAACTAACCCCTAAATGAAAGTGGAAGAAGAAAACAAACACACATTAAGTGAAGTCCAATGGATTAGTAGGACCAAAAGATGCAGATCTATGAAAAACACATCAGTAGTATGTCAGCAAAGCAGTTAAGGGTTAACAAAGAGTTAATTTCAGATGTAATCTTGTTTAGGTAAATTAAGATAACTGAATAAATTATCCAAATACTCTCTGGTTTTGATACAATATGGCTATTAATTGTAACATGTTAAGATACATTCTTCGCCTTTGTAACTGAGATATTGTCACTGAAAAAAAGCCAATTTATTTTGGCAAAATTAAGCTAAAAATTAGTCTTTTGTCATTGCTGAGATAGCCTCCATCAAGGAAAAAATAGTCTCTTCCTTTGCAGGAAATAAAATTAATTTCTACATTTATGACAGATTCTGAAAATAAAATACCTGAATTGTTCTAATGAAAAGATTTTGATGTCTTATTGCTTTGAGGAGATGATTTTGAGAGATGACTGTGCTACAGGAGTGGGCTAAATTGTGGAAATTTTACTCATGGTCCTGAGTGCTTACATGCACCCAAACCACTGGACTGTTTATACATATTATTGGTCTGTGTTCTGCATCGTGGGTGTTTTGAGAGAATGGAAAAATAATCCTATTTTGTGTAAAATTACGGAAAACTGCTCTATTAGTTCGCACTATTTTTTCCTCCCTGCTCTCAGTTATCCAGTTTTTATAATCTTTGTGATCTTTGCTGAAGATATTGAATAATATTTAGTACACGTTTAGACAGCTTTTCTTAGGATCCAGATAAAAGCTTTATGAGATGTTCTGGAAGCAAGGAAAAGGATGAACTTGACACACACAAGAGTGACAGCATAGGGGAGCTCTGCATTCCTGTATTAGGATGATAAACAAAACCTTTCCTCGACCATGCTATCCAGCACTACTACAAAGTAGATAGGATATCTGTACATTAAAACTCCATTCAAACAGACTTTAAAATAGCAGGAAAAATTATTTTGTGCAATATGCTTTATGTACTTTCTGTTTTCCTTATACTAATTGGAGTTCATCTGAGAGGCACATGAATAAATTCATTAGCCAGAACTGTGCAATTTTTCTTTTCATTTTCTTCACTATCTACAAGTTGCTCTTACTGTGAAGTGTGAACAAATGTAACAGAAAGGGAAAGCAGACTAGATTATAAACAGGAAATAGGTTGTGAGGGGAGTAGAAATTTGCTTTAAATACAGACTTGTGTAAGGTCAGATCCACTAACCTGCTTTGCATGGTACTCACGGAAAATTGCAGGTGGGCAGGGTGGAAAAGGATGTGATATTTTCAAACAATTCTCTTAAAGTATGGAAGGTAGAGTACACAACAACATAGTTCCTGTGCTAATGAGCAGTCTTTTTGTTACTTGCCCATACACAGAGATTAGAAATCCATTAATTAAGCAAATCTAACCGTGCAGTAAATCAGGGGAAGTCAAAGTCAGAGGACAGATCTTGTTAGGTAAACAAATTTATGTCTATATTACATTCTAAAGGTATTTTTCTAAACTAAAGAAGTTTTTAAGGCAGAGGGTAAAAAAATCATCAGGCTTGCTGGTGATTGAGTACAGAACATCTATACCTAATGTTCTGTAATACAAAGTATATCTAACATAGTCATATTTTTTGACTATTGAATTGCAAGGGACCTTTCAAGGTCATCTAATCCAACCCCCCTTCCTCTAGAGTGCCACTGAGATTTCTTGCTAAGCTTTGTCTCACCTTCAGTCCCAGTGACAAGATTTTTCTCCCACTGAAGTCTAATTACTAGCAGAACTGGCAGGATTTCAGCTGGTACTGTATCTACAGCATTGTTAAAAAAAGAGGAGAGAGAAAGAAGATGCTTAAGACACACTTGAGAGAAGATCAAAACATTTTTGGTGATTAGGGAGGCAACAGAATTAAATATTTCTAATGAGAGGATTATTTAAGGCTCCTAACTGATGATGTCTTTTACCGCAGGTGTGCAGAAGGCTATTTCGGACAACCTCTAATACCAGGGGGATCATGCCAGCCATGCCAGTGTAATGACAACCTTGACTTCTCTGTTCCTGGCAGCTGTGACAGCTTGTCTGGTGCTTGTCTGATATGTAAGCCAGGTACAACAGGCCAATATTGTGAGAGGTGTGCTGATGGATATTTTGGTGATGCTCTTCATGCAAGAAACTGTCAACGTAAGTCACGAACTTTCACAGCTCCTGACAGTATTGATCTATCCCATAACTTTGTTCCTGAGAGGAAGGCTGTGCCTCTGTATGTGTGAGCAAGAGACTGATACAACTCTAAAAACGATACTGTGAATCTGCATCTGGAAAGGGAGGCTTTAGAGTAATAGAAGAACTTATTAAAAAATCTCTAGTTGAAGCAGACATGGGAAAAAAACAGTGGAGCTTTGCATGGGTGCAAAAGGTTATACTAAATGTCAGATCTACAAAAATAAATACAAATAAATTGAAACTATTCGCTAAAAAATGCTATAAGCTACCCAGAAAAATCCTGTTCTCTTTTAAGATTGAAAGGAGGGAGTGATGTTTCAGTTTGAGGGTCCAGCTCTGGCAGCCTTCATAAACTGTTTCCCCACTTATATAACTTCAGTAAGAGTTGGGAGGTGCTGCTACTTGCAGGTCAACATTCACCCACCTGCCAATCAGACCCTAAAATCTCCAGACAAGTTTTCTAAAATGCTCTGGAGGAAGATACCTGGCACCAAACTACCAATTCTCAGCTGAGTGGTAACATGTAATTCAACTACCAGCCCCAGTACATCCTTCCCCATAGTGATTGCAAAAATTATTCAGTGGAGATGAAAGATTGTGTAGGAACAGGAGCTTTTCTTTCTGTAGGAGGCAGTGTCTCTCTCAGAGCTGTTGCTGGCACAATTCAGAATGCAGAACGAGTGCTTTTAACTTAAAAACTTTCTTCATATACTCTTCCTTCACATTCTGAGAAGTGGAATAAAACAAGTTACAAACTGTCCTGAAAGAGCCGAGCATTTTTTTCACTGTCACAAGGATTTATTCCTGTTTGGTCCATTATAATAAACACAAGAGTAACCTCACTGAGTACAAAGGTGTTATAGTAGGATAAAATATTAGTATTAATATATTAATATTAGCAGGATAAAATTACTAATATTAGGAACATGGGGACCATGTATGCAGTCTGTGTTGTGAGCAGTGGAGTCTGAGGCTCTGGCATCCATTTCCAGAACTTGCCCTATAAGCAACTTGCAGTCTAAAAGTGGAAATCCAAGGTCATGTTGGACCTCGGGAGAGTGTGTGGGAGCTAACAAGATGCAGAACATCACTGAGTTTCTCAGTTAAGGGCAATAAGCACTGATGTACGCAAAGTCATAGATAACCCTGAAGACATGCCTGTGTAAATGCTTTCTGTACCTACCTTACACAATGCCAGAAAAAAATCAGACAATCCTATATATTCTCTCCATAAGTTAACAGGTCACAATGAATGATGTTATATAAGTTACAATGTTAATGTGTAAAGCGATTTTATAAGAGTATTTCAAAAATTACAGCTTCCAGTAGCTTACCACCATTCTTGAGTCATGATGAATGGTGCTTTGACCATTTCCACAGTAGTAACAGGTCCATGAGAAAGAGATTTTATAAGAGGAGAGTTTGGAAAACATACAATTTAAAAAATATATTTAAAATAAATACATGCTTCATGTTGAATTACAAGCTTTGCTTTTGTTGTTAGTAACATTGACAGAGCCCCCTAATGTATTCATATCCTTGTGCTTGCAGTTACCTTGTATTCATCTACTCTCTGCCTTTCATGTGGGTTTTCTTCTTTGCATATGATTTTTTATTTCCTTTGCAGACTTCCATGAAGTTTGCCCTGCAGCAACAATATCAGAGGGACTGTGCTTTTACTTTGTTGTTTTCAATTTTGTTCCTTATTAAAAAGCCAAATCCAAGAGTATTGCAAAGCATGAATTTGCTTTCAAATTATTGTTTGAAATGCTTCTTGCTCTTCCTCAGTACAGTACTGTTGTGTGCATTAACTGTTTCAAATGACAGTACAGCTTTATATCATCATAGCATCTCTGAATTTTTTGGTCTATCTATACAAAAACATAAATCTAAGAACAATGAGCAAATGTCCTAAGCTTATTTGGTTAGATTCTAGTAGGTAGTTATTTGGAGTGAAACAGCGCAGTATGCTGAAGCAAATACCCGGGGGTTGAGCGGATGGTAATAGAGCTCAGTGTCACAAGATGAATTAAAGCAAATAATCAAGTCTGTCTGTGTTCCAGTGTATAGGTACTACTGTTGTAGGAGAATAAGTGTGTAGCTTCATCATAAATACAAGCTGATAAATATTTATAGAAATGTAGAGAGAATGAAGGGTCTTGACCAGGATCATTCAAGAAGAAAGACAAATTTCTCCAACAGGCTGCATTGTATTATGACAACTATTTGGAGGTTTAGACAAGAGCTAATTTTTCCAGTAGAGGTGAATGAATGGGAAGGCTCTAGGTGAGATAAATGCAATTTATCAGATTGAGTATCAGTTTATTAGATGAATAGCCCTGACTGTATGTTTCTTCTCTATGTACATACTGCTAGAGCCAAGAAAAACAATCTAAGTCCTGATATTCCAAATTGTTCCTTACCACTGCATTGCACTCAGTCATCTGTGACTGAGTTAAGACACCATGGAGTACTGCTTGCAAAAAAAGGTCTAAATAGGACAAACTCATCTGTTTATAAAATCAGTGTAAATTTTCTTTTGATTCTTGTGTTGTCATATGCCTGATAATAAAAACAATTCAAATCAGACTGAGCTCGTGTTTTGAGGTCTGTATGAAAAGGTTGGTGAAAAGATTTTAATTTGCATTGAGGATTGTAGTTTGTTGAATCTGAGCTTTAGCATCTTCTTTCCCCACTAACCAATTTAATTAAATATATACTCAAAACATGGATATATGTGATACTTATCACCATGTATGGTTTGGAGTGTAAGCAGTTTTAAAATATATTATGGTAAAGACAGCTGTATACAGGATGATAGAGGTAAATTATAGATTTGTTTAATATTGAAAGCTGTAAGGAAAAGATAAGCAATGTTAATTACATGAGAAGTGTCTTTTAATTTTTACTTTTTAAAGATATATTGCAAAACAGAAGGAGATCAAAATCTCTGAAAGTGTTACATGACTGGTATGAACAGCAGAACCATCTCATTTTTGTTACTTATTCCAGAATTTTTGCAAACATTTGAGAAACAATGCCATGAACAGAATGGCAAGTCATAAAGTTGCTTCCATTAAAAGAAGCAACTTCTGCAGAATACCTCAAAAGCAAAAAACCGCACACCAATCTTTTCAATTTATAATTGGAAATTTTAAATTAGCAAGTCCAATGAAGTAATGAGGAAGGTTCTGTTGTAATAATCTATATATAGGAAAAATATAACTGCGTTGTCTCACATAGCACCTTCTGACATGCAAGTATATATGACTGCCATGTGTTCACTGCTGGGACTCTTAAGTGTTTCTTAAAATGAAGGTGTCAGGTTGAGAAAAAAAAAAAAGCAACACATGCAGATAGGGCACTGCAGGAAGGCAAAATGTGCACTGGAGCCCAAGTTTGGAGAGTAGATTGATAATTGGTATAGATCTGTGGATTTATTCCCCTATGGGGGGTGGGGGGAAAGGATGTGCAGGAATCGACTGCAAGGTTATGGTCCCCGTGACAGCGATCACATCCTTGTTCTCTACTGCGAGTGCTAAGGGTTTTTGCCCAAATCCCTGCATGGAAAAAGGACTGAAGGACACAACTTGTGGTTGAAGAACATAGACAGTGATAGATATCTTACTCATAATTTTTCTTCTCCTAAAATGTGAGAATTTAAGAGCCAGAAGCATTGGTGTTTTCATCAAGAAACAGTGTTGTCACTGCCTTTTTAAATCTTCACGAAAGCACTGTGATAAGTTAGGTTGGTCAGCTAGGTTACATTTACTCTGGGAGCTGTGATGCTGCTGCTGAGACAGAAATCCTGGAGAGTCATAGTAGCAGATAATCCTTGGTATGTTTTTCAGTGCAGCCTGGGGCATGAGAGCATTACTGCCCCTGTATAGTGTTAACTTTGTACTGGGTTTGCAGCCTGCCAAGATTCCCTGATGACTACATGCACAGGGTGTGAACTCCAGGACAGCAGAACCAGCACATGCAGCACATTTCCCACTGGTGGAACTACATTCTGTACACACCCTGTGTAAGGGTCTGTACCTTTTTTGTAATTAACTCTCAGCACTACCCTGCCCACTCTGAGTCTCTGGGCATATACTTAGTAATCTGCCCTCTGCATCCTGATTTGATATGAGAGGAGCATCTAAAACAAGCTGTTAATGAACTTGAGGCAAAATTTCTGACTGCAATTTGGAGAAAAATTCCACATTAATCCAGGCAGGTTTGTCAGTGTATGGGAACAACACCTTCCTGTTTAACCCAGGGTGGGGGTTTGTCACGGTGGGAAAAGCTGCACTGTAAACATTTGGCTATTAGATTTAGCTTCAGGGAACACACTGACATCTCCTTCTTCTTCTCTGCAGCCTGCCACTGTCACATGAATGGCTCCTTCTCAGAGATCTGTGACTCTCGGACGGGCCAGTGCAAGTGTAAAGCCAACGTCATCGGGCGCCGCTGTGACATCTGCAAAGTGAGTGCCCAGAAATGGGGTTTCCATTCTGCTTTCTCCACTGTCTGTCACAAATAAATGTCATTTGGTTCTGGATAGGCTTTTTTCTGTTGTTTATGTTTCACTTAAAGTACATATATAGATTTCTCTTATGTAGAGAAAGGTAAAGTGGTTGCTTTTAAATTTTTTTCTAGTTGTTTTCTAGAACAGAACACAAGACATAGCATTTACATGCAAGGAATGCATTTTAAGCTTCACTGTATCTATAAGTACATTTGTATACATAGTATATACACTTTGTATTTGAATGTTTGTTATAAAAAAAATTTGTTTTAAATATTGCAGCTTTAGGAGATAGTCCCTATATGAGGAAAGCTGCAAAATGTCTGATAGCATCTAATGTTTATTTTTTTTAAGAAAGGAGGATGCTAGTTTAGTTCTGCTGGAATGTTCTGTCTTTATGATTTTTTTCTTAGGGTTTCTACTTGTGTTGTCCAAACAATGTATTATTTTTTAGTGACAGTGTTTTTTGCCTTGACATTGTTTTCCTGTCTCATAAATCACTGCAGAGAAATATTGTTTCATAAACTTTCACAGAGTTGTCTTCAGGCAGAGAAATCAAAAGGATCATTTTCACCCTTTAAAATGATGTTATTTCTGAAGTGATTTGCTCACACTCCATTTTCAACAGTATTTAAAGAGTCTGTTCAAAGGAAAATTACAGGTATCAGTGGCATTTGCAGATTGTGTAAGGTACCTAGAAAATATCTCAAGCTCATTAATACAGTACTGGTGGTTAATTAGAATTAATCTTTGTTTACTTCAGTGTTTACTCCTGTCTTTATTTCCGTACTCTTTCATGTGAAGTAGTTTCCTTATCTTCACTTTCTAACAGTGTTTACTTTTCATTCTTAAAGCCCAACTACTTCTGGGCCCCAGAAAAGCTGTTTTGTATACCTTGTGGCTGCAGTGCTTTAGGATCTGTGTCACTGCAGTGTGATATGTTGGGAAGATGTATCTGCAAATCAGGATTCATGGGCAGACGCTGTGAAATCAGCAGACAGGTGCCTAAATTGCAAGAAAATGCAGGAAGCAGTCAGCAGATTCGAGTACCCCCCCGGAGGTGGGGCACCAGCAGCGCCAGTGGGTGCCCACGAGGCGCTTACCGGCCTGCAGCTCTGGTAATGAGAAACTCTGCTTTGCATGGGCTGAAGTCTCCTGTTTGCTTGTGTTTGGAGCTCACACAGGTTGCTTGGGTTTTTAATTTTTAATACCAGTCTTACAGTATAAGAAATGCTCAAGAAACAGACAGGCTCGGAAGACAAGCAGCATTTTAGGATGCTTCCTGATCCTAAGGACTTAATCGTGCAAGTGGTACTATCAGTGAGAAATCAAACAGCAGACTAAGTCCCAAAACAGCACCATCAACAGCAGTATGCACAAAATGCTTGGGAGATGTACATAAATCAATGGAATTGGTAGGATTTTCTTGGATTTTGCAGCATGAAACTTCCTTTTACAACAATTCAAGAACTAATAGCTTAAGAAGGTTGAAAGAAAGATCAGCCCCAGAGGCAAAGAGTTAAGATCTAATTTTAAAATATTGAACGTAACTGGTGTTAAAATATCTCATTAGCGAATATGGCCAGTTATCTGAGACATTTTTAGCTCAGTGCAATGCCAGTTATGTGACTGTAATGCCAAAAGTGATAGGAGTGTTCGCTCCTCATCACAGACCAACAAAGCAAGTTATTTCCCAAAAGTAAGTAATTATGGTACAACTGCTTCTAACAGAGCGGTATTTTAGGGTTGTTTGTTCTCCTTGCAACTCAAAACCTCCACATGTATCACAGACCACTTGAAAAATACTTGGCAGTGTTTTTCATCCTCAGCTAGACTCTGGGACCCAGGAAATCATATAGATTTCCTTGAAAAAATGAGTTTTTTCCAATTAAAATATTAGGTTACTGTTTTGCCCACACAGTCACTGAAGGAGACACGATATAATGACATATTCAGAAAATCCATTGTTTCCTAATTGTGATCTAGGATCTTATCTCTTGTTCAGCAAATGTGATTCTTAGAATTTCTGTGTGTAAGCAAATTTGCTGAGAACTTTAACTTTGGGTTAAAGTTTGCATGACTGACCAAAGTGTCCTTGTGTGCAGACCTCCTCACAGAATGTAACCCAGCATGGTAGTGGTCTTTTCCAATTTAATGTGGTGTGGAGTGCTGATGTCAGACTTTTTCTGACTGCTACCCATATGAGCAGAATTTATGAGATCCTAGCAAGCTTTATATGCTTTATATGCATGCTGTGCATTGGTTACTTCTCTGCATTAATCTGAATGTCTGTCCTGAGATTGTGTGTATTCACATTTCTTTGTACCTTCCTGTGTAAAAGAAATCTTTAGAGATAGTCAGGTACTTTAATTGAACCTTGAGTTTAATTAAATGAGTTTGACTATCTCTTTCTCTCTGATATGCTGTGTTTAAGTATGAAACAGAAGTATGAAATTGAAAAACATTTCAATATAGAGTCTGGAAACAAAAATCAGTGTAATTCTTTGTTACATGTATAATCAAGCATTTGCTTAGGTTTGTATGATTTGTATGGCCAAATTCTGACCATAGATGTGGTCCTGTATTCTGACACCTATCAGCAGATTCTCTGTGTGAATGGGGAACTTCTGTATTAACCTCAGAGGTCATATTTCAAGACTTTTCCATGGAGAGCTTCTGAAGTTTCACAGAATTCATCAATACAAGAGTTAAGGGTTCTACTGTGGAACAAATCCATATAAAACAGTAGTCATAGAATCACTAAGGTTGAGTCCAATCTTTGACTGATCACCACTTTGTCAACTAGACCATGATACTAAGTGCCATGTCCAGTCATTTCTTGAATGACTTCACCACTGCCCTGGGCAGTCTGCTCCAGTGGCTGACCACCCTTTCAGTGAAGAAATTGTTCCTTTGCTCCAACCTGAGCATCCCTTGGAATCGCCTGAGGCTTGTGCTTCTTGTCCTGTTGCTGGTTCCCTGGGTGCAGAGGCAAGTTTCCCCATAAGCCTCCTCTTCTCCAGGCTAAACACCCCCAGCTCCCTCAGCCACTCCTCATAGGACTTGTGCTCCAAACCCTTCACCAGCTCCATTGCCCTTCTCAATGTCTTTTCTTCTTGTAAGAGGCCCAGAACTGGACACAGCACTAGTGCTTAGCACAGAAGGACAGTCACTGCCACGGTCAAAGCCAGCACAGCTCCATTGATCTGAATCTCTACTGATTTATAGTAGGTAAAAATCAACACCTCATACCTGGGTCACAAAGCAGCACACTATAAAGTAAACATTTTTCACTTTTTTCCATTTATATTCATTAGCAGTGATTTTTTTAATATCTCATTTTTAATATTCTGCCTTTCTATCAAACTCACTGGTAGATTTTATTATTAATGTTGTAATATCAATTTCAAGTGAAGTTATTAATATGGTTTGGATTTCAGTATTCACTGAAAATCATCATGCCTGAAAAACAGGTAGAGAAGTACTCCCATTTTAAAGCACTCTAGCTCAAGACTGAGTTTCTCATTTGAATATCAACTATGGTTTGTTCCAAGGAGCCTCTGTTGGTTGGTGCAGTGAAATTCACGAGGACTTTTGGTTGAAATCTTTATGCAGAGCTCCGTATCACAGTATACCAATGAGAGTGTGTCTTCCCTTGTTTACTTTTTGCACTCCACTAGTGAAGTTAAGGAGGAAATTTCTTACTGTAGTTGATAACATCTACTCTGGTTCTGTAAAAACTTTGTATTGATCTCTGCAAGAAAGAAAAAGAAGAATATAGAAGAGGAACAGAGACCTAATCCAGAGATTTTTTTATCATAAAATAAATCCCTATTATTTCTTTGTATTGTACACAAATACACTGTTTCTTTGTTCTTCTAAAGTTATTTCTGTATATCATTCTAAAGAATTGCCCTTAAGTTACTGTATACAGACATTGCCTTTGCTCAGAGGAGATAAAATCTAGTTCAGAGGCTTTCCAGTTGAATTGATCTCCATTCATAGCTAAGAATTTGAATTCACTCTCTTAGCAACAAACTCTGCCTGACATAGCCCTAGAACCAGAGATGGGGTATGTATTTCCTGCTGCTGATATACTTTCCATTCCAAGGGAAACACAATCTCATAAGAAATGTGTTAAATTGCAGAACATTCATTGTAGCATCAAGTAACATTCTGAAATCTTTATTCTTTCTCAGCAGTGGACGGCATTTAGTGTCCTTGCTCCAGGGTTTTACTGCAACAATTTAACCTGTTAAAAGCAGTATTTCAGTGGTGAAAAGGAAAGAGCAACCCTGATCTCCCTACACTCACAGCTCTTTTCTCCTGGCAATCATTCCATGTACTAACTGCTCTTCCTCACTCTGTGGCAGCCTGGAACATTTGGCCTACAGTCTCCCCAAGGATGTGTTCCCTGCAACTGCAACTCGTTTGGTTCCAAGTCCTTCGATTGCGATGGAGACGGACAGTGCTATTGCCAGCCTGGAGTGACGGGGAAGAAGTGTGACCGCTGTGCACATGGGTTTTACAACTTTGAAGAAGGAGGCTGCACTCGTATGTAAATGTTTTGCACCCAAGCACAGATTGATTTGTTTGCTTGTTTATTTATCTATGCATTTATTCCTAAGATTCTAGTTTGGCTGATTTTTGGATTGCCTAACAAATTTTCTTGACAAGGGGTTCATAAACAACCTTGTACATTATTCATTTGACAAGGGTGGTGATTGGCAAGAATGGAAAACCCAAGCAATTTCTGCTATTTTATGGGCAATTTATGACTAATCTACTACATTTAAAAGGAACAGGAATCTCATTTACTCCATGTAGTGTCTGCCAAAGAAATTCCATGAAGTTCCTATAATTTAGTTAATAGTATCACAGAACTCTGATTAAAATTTTTTCCAAATCACATCAACTGGCAGGGATGTAAAAGGAAAACAAGGAAAACACAAACTCTCTTTGCTTCTAGTTTTATCCTAAACCTTTGCAGTGTTCTTATATAGGTGATCCTCTTTCATTACCACAGTCCTTTCCTGTACAGTAGTATTTAGTTCCTTACTAGTGCTCTTTGTGTACAAGAAGATCTTTAAGTAAAACTGTCTACTATATCCCTTGTGTAAACACATGAAAAGTCTTCTTTTCTAGATGCTGAAACTCTAGCATTAGATATAAATATATCCAGCCACCTCTTTATTTTTGTCCTTTTGGAAAATAGGTCAAAGACTGAAATGAATGCTTCCTATCCTTGAAGTAGTGCAGACTGCTATATCAAAAAGAACCTAATCAATGGGTTTCTTCACAGGGAAATATCCATCTTTCCTGATAGAACTGTATTTTTCAAGTCTCAGAGATTCGTTTAGGTGTGATCACAGGACACATAGATAGTTGTCTAATGTGACTGACTGCTGGGATGCCAGAATGCTGTTATTATTCTTCAAGTATAAAGCATATTCTTTCCAGAAGCAGAAATCACAATGTCTGCTAATCTATTCTTCCTCCTTTCCTATCCAGAATGGCAGCACAAGAAGCAAGCTCAGCTCCCTTTTCTTTCTCCTTTTTGCTGTAATGGAAGGAGCATCAAGGCCTTGCGACCCACATTTGTGAAGCTAAATTCAATTTTACCTGCAGTGTGGATAAACCTTGAAACAGGCTGGATTATAAATTATACTTGAAAATGTTGTTCTATGGTGTTGTCTCACACGGGATTGAAGGGTTCAAAACTGCTTACAGGTTTGAAAAGTTCAGATACGGTGGCATCTTAGAAAAGTGAAAGATTGTTTCCCAGGCTCACTACTGCAGTCCTAAAGCCTTTAGCAATCAAATGAAGGGCAAAAAAATCTTTCATTTATGATTAACATCTTATTTTAACATGCCACAGGTTAAAAGCATATCGCAAAAAAATCTTTCATTTATGATTAACATCTTATTTTAACATGCCACAGGTTAAAAGCATATCACTATTGTGAAACACAACAAATAACTACAGTTGGGGAAGGAAAATGAGAGGTCTATTAATGAAGTTGCACATTAAAATTTTAATTACTCTCTTGGCAAACTTTGAAATTACAGATTTTAAGAAACAGCAATGAAATGGTAATGTACTGTAGATTGTACCATAGAGAAGTAACATTTTTAAATATATATGTGTCAGCCTGTGGTCATCAAATGTTTAAAGCAAGAGAAGCAGCTATAGATATTGAGAGAATTCAGAATTTTGAATGTTCCAAAGTTAAAAGAACAGGTGGAGTGGAATTCTGTTTTCAATGTGCTGTTTTTTCCACACTTATTTTTAGTAGATTTCTTACGTATTCCTTCAAAATATGACAAAAAATAAGAATTAAATTATGAATCACAAAGAAAATCAGAAATTTAATAGAAGTATATCAAATTATGCTGGAAGGAAAAGTAGAGAAAAATTAATTCCATTGTAACAGTTAGATATCAAATAAAATATTGGACCTCTTTTATTTAGTATTTATACAAAAGGAATATAATTTGATTTTTTCTTGTGCAATATAAATCCATAAAGCCTAAAAAAGCCCTGAAAGCATCATGAGTATTGACATTCTAGCAGTAAAGATACAAATTAGATTTCTATTTCACTGTTGCTTGCAACAATTGTGTTGTATTTTTTCCCTCTTATTTTGAAAAATAATTGTAAAAGGAAAAATAGGAAAAATATTTGAGTATCCCCTTCCCCTCCCTGCCTTTTTAGCCAGTTTTGTGTAAGCCTATAGATGAGTTGTCACATCTGAGAGCCTCAGTCTCCCAATGAGATGTATTCTGAAACTTCAAGCTACAGTGTGTGAAAATATTTTAAATAGCATGCAGCACATTGTGTTCCTGGCATGAGGGAGGCGAAATTTGCTATCTTCTTTGCATCAATTACCTTATCTTGAAGGCATTGGTGAGGAAAAGTAAAGGTCATTTCTTATTTGAACTACAGATAGGAATTCTATCTTTGCACAAAAAAACATTTGTTTTCTAGTTTTAATCTGTATTGAAATATTTCACAGTAAAGGAAATGAGCATAAATGAAGCCCCCAGCAACAAAGTTACATCGCCCTTTAAACACCCCAAGGAACAGGTTATCACGCAGAGTCAGCTGGCTTATGATGCATTTCCTCTTACCTCATGGGTTATGTGGATGGTGGGTGTGAAAATAGCCACACTCCAGTTCTGCTCTTTTAATCACTCATGTATCTTGTGCCCCTAACTGCTTATCACTTACATACCTTGAATGTGTATCTGCTACCAGTGAGTTGTTCACTTAATAATCCTTTAAGAGCAAAGACCTCTTATGGAAACACTTCCAAACCTTAAGTGTTTTTAAATTTAGTATAATCTGCAAAGAATACCAGTTTCCCATGGAGAGGAAACAACAGTTTGTTGATGTCCTCCCAAGGCAGAGGATATATAAGCTGAAAAAGAAAGAATTCAAAGGGGAAAAGGAAAACACCTTTTTTGCCCTTCAAGGAAAGTCTCTTTAGAGCAGCAGAAATTTCAGAAGGTATCTCTCAAACTGGTATAGAGCAAGAATTGGTATAAACAGACTGCAAGTTCCCTGCATAGATGGCTCAGAGGCCCTCAGGTGGCTTCTTAGAGGAGACAGCATGCACCCAGAAATTGTGTAGCAGGACTCCTGCAGTTATGTCACAAGAGTGCACCATCTCAGAAGTCTTTGCACTTCTGCAGTTGGTGATTTTATTTTTCCCGTTCTGTTCTCATTGCAGCTACTTCAACCAGAGGTAACCTGTGTTTCACTGCTACTTGTTTTGGTTTCTCGGGGTTATCCCTACCTTTTCTGTCCCATTGTATCCACAGAGAGTTCATTGTGCAGTAAAGGAATGATCCTAACTAGGGTCTGGTCTCCAGGTGTCACATAAAGGGATAACTTTTCCTCTGCTTTATTTTTTTCTGTCTCCCATGAAGCCTGTGAGTGTTCGCGTTTTGGCAATAACTGTGATCCCATCAGTGGACGCTGTATCTGCCCTCCCAATACTGTTGGAGAGATGTGTGACAAATGTGCGCCAAATCACTGGGGCCATAACATTGTCAGTGGCTGCAAGGTGAGTGGATTCCTATTTTCTCTATGTGCATTACTTCTTTCACAGTAATTTAGAGCTGGAACAGAGATTTTGGTTTATAAATCATGGTGTCTCCATATTGCAAGTTTTGGTGTGAGACTGTGGTGTAAATGTTGGCAAGCTGTTACTGTTATTGCACTACAGCTCTTCTGTCTCAAGTATGCAGCCCGTAACACGAAACACCCTGTTGATTCTGCTGTCACACTGAGTCAGTGTCCTGCTTGAGCCTGATTTTATTTCATTATAGCTGTGTTTAATGTGATTGAGGAGATTACCACAGTGTTGAACGATGTATGTAGATGTATATTTACAGGTAATCAGCAGTGTCTTCAGGGAACAAATTTACTTTGGCCTTAATGGTAACACCACTGGGGATTTGTATTCAAAGTTTGCTTTACAAATGCTTCAATTTGTGCATAAAAGACAGCAAGGAGAAAAGAAAATAAAATAAAAGAATCATCCACCTTTGTTGTAAGTTGCACTTTATTCCCATGTTCTTAAAGAGAAAATAAACCTTATCATTAGCCTTTAAATCATTATTATTCCAATATTTGACACAGAGTTAAAATATCCAAAGAGGAAGGAAATAAATAGGAAAATGATGATAGAATGTTGAGGAGGCCATGAAAGCTGTTGTTAATGACCTTGAGTTGAGGGGTGCAGTATTTGGTTAAGGCTGAAAACTGCGTGAGAAGTTCAAATGCCTTACTCTTCCCTGCTGTGCTCATTGATAATAAGGAATTTGATAGTACCACTACAATTACTCCAGAAAACTCATTTTGGAACATAGTCATACACCATTGATACTTCTTCTTAAAGGGCTGTTAGTCATGTAGCTCAGGCTGCAAAGAAATTGACAGGAGTGATTTCTTTTTTGTATGTATGAAAAACTCCTGTGAAACCTCTGCGGTGCTGCTGTGATACAGACTCTAGGCTTTTGAAACCAGCCTAATGAGGTTGAAGACCTTCGTTTGAGCTCTGGAGTGTATTCTCTGATTGTCTTTCATGTGAGCACATTAATATGACAGTTCCATGGCACCATCTAAATTAATGATGATCTATCAGCCCACATCTCTTTTAGTATGTTGCCACTAATTTCTGCAAAGTGAGATGTGAATCTCCTGCTTTGCAGACCTTGTAGAAGATTTCCAAGGCTGTTGTAAGTCTGGGAGAGCATTGCAAAAAACTGCATAAACCAAACACAGCATCTGATTGCAATTTAGGCTTTGATATTGTACACCAAGCTATTTCAGAGAATGGTGAACCATTTGCTTTTTCAGCTTTGTGTTCAAATGTATCTTGTAGAATAAAGTTCTTCCTGTCAGGAAATTTTCCTTTTTGGGTTAGGTAGTCATCTTGCAGACTAATATTTAACCAGTGGTTAAATAGTTTCTCTGACATTCAGTACAGATTACATCTTTAGATTTTCTATATATATCCACCTTCTTTATAGATGGTGTTTTCAGATCAGAGGAAAGGTGCTCTAAGTAGTCATGTAATAAACAGTTTTGCTTAGAAACTTAATCCACATTTTCTTCCTCTCTTTTTCAGCTTTGTGTCTGCAATTTTAGCAAGTCTATCCATGTCAGTTACTGTGGTAACCTGTACTGCTGACACTGAGTTTTTTTCTGTAATCTGAACTTCTCCATATGATATTCTGGTCACACCAGTGATTACAGCCAATGTCCTGTATTAACTATGCCATGCTACCACAGTAGTAGCACTGAGGGATTCTTCTGTTCTTTGGGAGTATGCAGTTTTTCCTGCTACTTTTGTATTCAATATCAAGACACCCTGGAAAATCACCCATTTCTATCCTCACTTGCCTGTGCAAGTGGTATTCTGTGATCAAGTTTACTTCCAAATATATCACATGACTAAATCTCTAGCCCTTACTGTGTAAATTACTGTCATTTAGGAGTCTTGTTTGTACAAAGAGGATAGTTACCTGTCTGATGGATGAGTAATAGATATTGAACTAGATTCCTCTGGAAACACTGAGCTGATTGCTCCTGAGCAATTCCAATTTTAGGAGAGTTTTCTGAACATGCCTGCAGAGAATTTACATACAAAATACATACTCCTAGAGAGTTCTTGTAGTTTCTGAGTTAATTTTGTCCACAAAGTATTCCAGTGTCCTTGACCCTTTTGGGTTTATTTGTTTTCATTGCCTAACTTATCAGTGATAAGTAATACCTAAAAAATACCTGGAAAAATCCCACCAGTGTTGTAAATGTATTTAGTGTAAAAAAACATGTTGAATCAAAATAAATTACTGGCCTTATAATTTACATATGTTATTTTTAGACAATGGAAATTCACTGCTGTGTTTCATTTATAGATACTTTAAAAAGGTGAATTGCTTTTTGGTTGGGTTTTGGTTTTGGTGTTTTTTTTTCAGAAGCACAATTGCAATTGCCTTGTTTCTCTCCTTTTCAGCCCTGTGAGTGCAGCCTTATTGGAGCCCTAAGTTCTCAGTGTGACTTAAATACAGGCTGTTGCTTCTGCCGCCCTGAATTCTCTGGGGACAAATGCTCTGAGTGCAGGTTGGGCTACTGGAATTACCCACATTGTGTCGCTTGTCAGTGCTTCCCGGCTGGGACAGATCCACAGAGCTGTGATACAGAGGGGAAGTGCTCATGCATTGATCATTCTGGCCAATGCAGCTGCAAGGTAGGACAATGAAGGTTGTAAACTGATCTTATAACTGCTGAGAAGTTTATTTCAGATTTCATCGGCACTTGCCCTTACTTGTTCAAACCATATATGCAAACCAATCTCCTTGGTTTTCATAGTGCATTTGCAAACTGATGTGGGAGGAGTCCAACTTAAAGAAAGCACTTATCAGTTGCTTTTTCACATACTGACACTTGCCAGGATAGCATCCTCTTAGGAGGATCTTTAACATCCTCTTTTTTCCCCAATTTTATTTCTTTCCATTCTTACAGAACCGTTGCCAGTTCATCCCCATAACACCATTCTTGTTCAGATTCTGGGCACAATAAAAGCAAACACATCAGTAAACATAGTATGCCACAGTGCTAAATCAAAGCACATTGACTTAGAGAGAGTCAATATTCATCATTTCATGAGTAGAATTCACTGCAGTAGTATCTGTTTCGAGTAGACTACATCCAATTCAGGATCACTAAAGCAAAGAATTTTGGCATCATCATCCGCAACATTCTTATTTGGAATTGTGCTTGGAAGAACAGCACACTTAGGTTGTTTAAGAGTTGGCTGGATTGCTGAGCTTACAGGGCAGTAATTGGTGCTTTGATATGCAGTTGGTAGCCAGCAAGCAGAGTATCCCAGAGCCAATACCTTCATCAGCAACACAGATGACAGAATTCATGATCAGCACATTTGGAAATAGTGCTGACTTGGAGGACGTCAAGGTTGACATGCTGAATAGTAGAATTACTGTCTAGAGACTTCTTGAAAAGCCTCATGACTGGGAAAATAGGTCATTAGCTGGAGTAGAACAACCTCAAGAATCAGTATAGTTTGGGAGGAAGAGGCCTGAGTGGCAATCCTGTTGGAAAACACAATATAAACCAACCGTATACTCTCATGGTAAATAAGGCAAACTGCCCACTGATCTGAATGCACTGAGCACAGCAGCCAATGCAGCTGCAAGGTAGGACATCACAAAGAGCATGGTGAGCAGGGAAAAGCTTCATCTAAGCAATGCTCTACTCTCAGTGTAGTTGGTGCTGGTAAAGCTGCACTTGGAAATTATGTCCAGTATTTGATTTGAAAGTGTTGTCGAGGAATTGGAGAGGATCTGAAGAAGAGTCTCTCAGCAGATGATCTGTGGGGATGTACTGAGAGAGCTGGACTCTATCTAAGTCTTGAATAAAAGGCTAATAAGAGGAAATGCAATGACAACCTATTAGCCACTTCAAAGGGCAGTTGAAGCAATAAAGTCCTTTCTGATGACAGCAGAAGATGTAACAAAGGACAACAGCTGCAAATGGGAGCTTGGGAATTTTGTGTTGGAAATTAGGAAAACAAAATCAGTTATGCAGCAGTGATACACATTATCCAGAAACATCTGAAATCTCCATTCTAGGAGATTTTCAAGAACTGGCTAGAAAGAGGCATGGGTAATGTGACCTAGTATTGGTGATAGTTGTGCTTCTAGGAGGAGGTTTTTAAAAGTGACCCCTAGAGATTCTTTCTGTGATTTATATTCATTCTTCTTTAGGTCTGTTTTGACACAAAGAGATAGTAAAATGGAAGGATTAATTTAAATAATTGAATTGTCAGGTAATTATTTTGTTAAATAGGCAATAGTCACTTAAGTCAGAGTTTTGAGACTCAGAACTGTAGAACAAATTAGGTTGGAAATGACCTATCACAGTAATCTTGTCCAGCACCTTGTCTGAAAGACACTGCTGAGGCAGTACTTCAAAGGACAGGGAGCTATTTCACAACCACTTTGTGCAAACTGCTTGATCACCTTCCCATTTTTCTGGTATATTTGAACAGGAAGCATCGTGGTTTTTTCACAAGTACTGATTCATTTGATGATGGTACTGTAAGAAAATGGACGTGAGTTGGCATCATGGACTACCTGAATAAAACTCAGTGCTGTTTGCCCTGTGCCAGCCTCTGAAATGCAGAAACTGAAGTATCTCAATTCTTTCAGCCTCTCTTGATACATGATAAGCAGACAGCCTCTCTAACCATCTCAATACCCCATTTCTGGATTAGGTCCAGCATGTCACAGAATCACAGAACTGGTCAGGTTGGAAGAGATCCCTGGAGGTCCAACTCCTGCTCAAGCAGGGTCATTGAGCACATGACTCAGGATTGTGTCCAGAGTGCTATCTCCAGAAAAAGAAGACTCCACAGCTTCTCTGGGTCATTGTTTTTCTTGTAGCTCTTGTAAGCACTAAGTAGAAAGAGTAGGGATTCATGGCATTTTAAAACAGAAGTGTCTCTCTGTTAATTCTTTTAATAATATAGTTGCTTCTGTGTTTCTCTGAGTACAAATGAACAGTATTTATATTTAGCTGATGATTAATGATAAGGAAGTGCAATTGACATGAAACAAAATACAAAGCACGTAAAAATCACTGTTTATGAGAGAAAATGGACAAATAATACTGAATTAAGTAAGCATTTTCCCCCCATAATTTTAATTTAAGGTTAAATTTAAATCTAGGGTCAGTTAATATTTTGTGTAACTTTTTTTTAAAGAGTTATACATTGAAGAAACTAGAGTTTTATAAAATGGTAATCATCCCCATTTAAACCTGCTACAGCTACAGAAAAGAGCTCTCTAAGGCTCAGGAGCCTCATTGTCAGCCCTGACAAAAAGCAGCAAAATCCAAGCTAAATACAGTGTATGAAAATTTATTGATAGAACATGTGGAAATGAGGGTTAAAACTGGTAAATCATGAGGGATAATAGCGGTTTCTTGTAAAAGCTTTGGAAAGATTAATTTTTTTTTTGATTGGCTTCTTCACACTAGTCTCAAGAGAACAAAAAAGGTGTGTGGGGTGGAAAAAGTCAACCAGTGCTTTCATATTGATGTTTTTTTTTTCTTTTTAATACCCTGGTCTCAGTATGAAAATGGTTTTAAAAGGCTCTGCATAAATTATTGTGTATCTGCCCTATCTGGAATAGCTTTTTATTTGGATTAATTGAAAAATGAAAATAAAAGCATTGACATTACAACAGTGAAACATTTCAGCCTTGTTAATACTGTTCAATGATGTGGAAAACAATCTTGAAGAGGGGAAAGCTTTTCTCTACAGAATTTCCATTAAAATACATTTCTCAGCAAGAACATTTAGTGCTTACCTTAAATATCTGAACATGTCAATGCTAATTCCTATTAAACAGAAGGCTTGATTAACATGGACAGTTTCAGAACAACTTATTGTTCTTATCTTATCAATCAGTTATTGAGCATGTCATGCCCAAAGTGCCATTTAATTTTTCTCTGCTTGCAATTTTCAGTGTGAAGCCAGCATCTATTGCTCAGAGCTACTCAGTGGATACAAATGCAAATGCCTTAATTACATTAATTACATATGTTTGCATACACACGTGATAAGAAGCTGGAGAGTTTCTTGAATATTTCCTATCGCTTATTATTATTTCTTGCTGCACTCTGTTATTATCGTAACAGTAAGATTTTCTTTTTCTGTTGCTACCTTGAAATAAGACTTGATCTTTTATCTTTTTTTTTTAATTCTCTTTTCCTTTTAAAAATACTCTCTCTTTTCCAGGTTAATGTGGAAGGTGTCCACTGTGACAGGTGCAAGTCTGGCACATTTGGTCTCTCTGCCAGAAACCCACTTGGCTGCAGCAGTTGCTATTGCTTTGGCCTGACTACACAGTGCAGCGAGGCAAGGGGGCTGATCCGCGTGTGGGTGAGTAGGAAGCTGCTGAGCCATGTAATGCGATAATGTTGTTTCCTGCTGGCATCTTTTAGTCAGGCACTGAGAGCTAGCTAGAAAATGGCCAAACATTTAAGCAATCACTTTCCTCTTTATGCTTTGAGGAGTGGTGAGAGCGATATGTTCCATTAGACAATCAGGGTCAAGACATTAAAAGGAAATAAGCAGATAAGAAAATGAGTGATAGGATAGCTGACATCCAGCCAAAGTAAAGCTATTAAACCTCCAAAAAGGGCAAGCTAGTCATGTGGGGAAATTATGCGGTCTAATGCATTGCAACATAATCCCTGGTACGTGATATACAGTTTACCCAGGTGTATTCAAGGGTCACAGATGCTTGTTGTCCAGTATAAAATTGCCCATAGTTCAGTTAATCTGTTCATTTTCCTTCTTGGTTTTGTTGTTTTGGTGGGATTTTCTTTTATCTTTAAAAAAAGAGCTTATTGAAGCTATATTTAAATTCAAGCGTGGAAAGGTATCATCCATCAGAGCAAAGAGCTCTAGACCTGTTTGTGGAAGAGGGCCTTGAGACCTATGCTTGACTGATAAATGAGGCAGACTGGATGTGTCCATTTATCTGTACAACAAGCCCAGAACCCACATTGAGACTGCTGCCATGTCAGCTCCTCGGTTGCATTCTGGAGGAGAGATTTCTAATGGAAAATGGTTGGTTCTGTCCCCATGTGTGGCCAGTTGTATCTCTGCTCAAAAGAACACCAACCATAGAATGAATGTCTGCCTACTGCAAGTCAGACAAAGCCCCAGACTAGTCATGTACAAGCATCAGTTAGATAAGGACACTTTAGGCTGAAATCAAGTTAATCTCTCTTGCTTAATATAATATGGATAGCACTTATTCTCCCCTTCACTGTTCAGTCCCATAGCACCTCTTTCCCTTCCCAGTGGATTAAATGATTTATTATGATCTGACCCACTTTTTCAGTTTTTATTTCAGTTTTGCCCATCATATGCTGCTAGTCTGGAGATGAAAGGCTGTAGAAGGCTGACAAGTTACAAAATTTAATCAAGTTCCATAACAGCAACAGTTCTGGATAATTGTGCTTTGACCTTTGTGGCAGCACAAAGCAGAAAAAATTTAAACCTCCTGGTTATTTTGTTTCTCTTGATTAATTTCCTTTTGTTTTTATGCACATATTTAAAGAAGTGTATGTCCATGTCACATTTAGTATTGGGTACTCTCATCTATTTCAGAATTGATACAGAGCTTTAAAATAAGTGAGACTATGTTCTGCCAGCTGCTACTGGCTGTCTTGGATACTCTCAGGTGCTTCAAATGACATTAGACTTGTTTAAACAAGAAAATCCTGTTTTATATGACAATGAGGCATGACTGATGAATGATCTGAAAATCAAATGTGTTGACCCTTTTCTTGTAAAGTATTAAACAGTAAAATACAGTTACGATAAAAAATCAGTAAATCTCACTTGGGGCAGGCAATGTTAGGAGTGCATCCATGTCTGATCGGTCTAGATTCTGCTGTAAATGGAAATACTAGGATATTGAAAGTACAACCCAGGGTTTGGTTGATTTCTTGTTAACTGACTCCTATCTCATTACCAGTTTGTTGGTGGTATGACTGTTACCTGCATTTGTTTTCTTTGTCTCACTCTTTGGGAGAAGGCAGTATTGATACCACCCCTTTGCATCTGTTCACAAATTCCCTGAGATACTTCCACTGGCACATGATTACTAAGACTTTTGCTACAGTTCTTGATCAAAATAATGATTTCAGTGTAATGCTAATGAGATTTTGTCAACTATTCTAAGAAAATTACAAGCATATAAGTGGCATCCTTGTATTTTTTTTTTATAAAGCTGAATTTAGAGTTACAGACACCTTCACTGAAGCCTCACTGCAAATTGCCTGGAGAACATTTAGGTTGAATATTCCATAGAAGTATCAAGGGATCAGGCACTGTGTTTTACAGCTCCAGTGATGTATAACTGGTGGTGAGAACTCTGCTTCTTTGTAATGTAACATTCCTCACAATCTGAACAAAAGAGACTAAAATAGCCCTACGAAAATCACATCGATAAAATTCATGGAATCACTTGCTGATTAAAGTATTTTAACCAGTGCTGCTACAATCTTTGTTAACATGAGGACAAGGTGCAAAAGGCTCAAGGGGAAAGTCATTATTAGCACAGTTCATACCTGAAGGAGTAGCAAGACTGCTTTGTGACAAATTGCTCGTGATGTGAAATGAAATTACCTAGAAGTAATTTTTTAAGGAGCTAGAATTTAAAGACTAACACTTCATGGGGAAAAAAATTGAGTTAATTTTCTTCTTGATTTTTTCAAATATGCATAGGTGACCTTGAAGCCAGAGCAAATGATTCTGCCACTGGTGGATGAAAAGCTTCAGCGTAGCACTCTTTCAGGGATTGCATTCCAGCCTCCTGAAATAGTAGCAAATATAGAACAGGTGATGCAGGATCTTCGGTCAGAACCTGTTTACTGGAGGCTTCCAGAGCAATTTGAGGGACGAAAGGTAAACTTAAAACTCCACTGAATACTGACATGGCTCCTTTTTTTATTTTAATGTTATTTTATTATTTTACAGTGCCTTTTTATCCCTCCCAATAAGCATGTCTTCACACAGTGGAAGGTATTTCAAAAGAAAATAAATGCTATTCCATTATTAAAACTTATTTGCTCTGTTTCTATGGAAATTCATAAAGTAACATAAACAATATTTTACTTGTTAATAACTGTAAATATATATGTTCTATTTTTCCACGGAATACATTTTCTCATAAAAATGTTATTTGAAAAATTAAGCTGCACGAATTTAATATAACACTCTTGCAATGTCCCTTTCTCTCCTTTTTAAGCAAAAAATACCTGATATTTGTAGATTACAAATTACAAATGGGAAAAAATCATGGCAAGAACTGTCCTTTTGGATTTTGTTATACGCCTCTGTGACAATTTATGTTGCACTTTTAATATTCCTTGGTTTGGTGGAACACCAAGGCACATATAAGGAAATAGATAACATACTGGTTTTAGTGTAATATAATAACCAATTGTTAATGAGTGTTTTTGAACACAGCCCTTGTCCCCAGATAGTTCCACAAGTAGATAACATATTTCTATTTTCTACCACGCATGCATTCATCAGGCTGCACATAGGTGCAGACCCACCCAGATCCTTCCCAGGAATTTATTTTTAGCTAACTGAAAATGAGATTTCTTTTTGTGCTTTGCTAGCTGACCGCTTATGGAGGGAAACTGAAATACGCCATCTATTTTGAAGCGCGAGAAGAGACAGGTTTTACTACTTACTTCCCACAAGTCATCATAAGAGGTGGGCCTCCCACAAATACGAGAATTATTGTCCGGCATATGGCTGCCCCTCTGATTGGCCAGCTTACAAGGCATGAGATAGAGATGACAGAGGTAACATTTCCATCTGCCTTTTTAGACCAAAGCTTAAGCACGTGGTTTTTTGAATACTGTTAATAACCTGATTTTATATTTCTGTCTTTCAGCATGAATGGGAATATTATGGTGATGACCAAAGAGGCAGAAACCCTGTTCCCTGGGAATATTATCATGGTAACCCAGGTCTCAACAGGACGTCTCAGGCAGATTTCACCTGGAAACCTTATGGAGATGACTCAAGACCAAGCAGAACTGTATCCCGGGAAGACTTCATGAATGTGTTGTATGATGTTCATTACATTCTTATCAAGGCGACTCATGGCAATATCATGAGACAGAGCAGGTACCTCTTTCATGCAGTGATCTGAAATAGTGCAGTAGTCAGACAACCTCATAGACCTCCCAGCTAGTCCCAACAGAATTTGTATTCATGGTGCCAGCTATAGGCCATTGCTGAGAGAGAAGAACGTGCAGAAGGGATTCACTTTTGGCATAGTGGAAAACAGAGAAGAGGGAAGTTTTATGCACTGGAAGATTTAAATCCCACTAGGCAACTGGAATTTCAGGATCCTAGAACAGAAAACACATGTAGGCACACACATTCTGAAACAAACCTAGTGTATTTTTTGAATAAAGGTCTACTTTATGAAAACATAGTGCTGTAATTAAACATAAATGTTAGCTCATGAAGGAATTGTCTCCTAAGAGTTGGAAATTAAATATATTAGGGTCAGATTCAACATCATCAATCTGTTAATGAATCAGTTACACAAGGAAATTAAGATAACACTAAATTTGAAGTGGACAGGAACAGTACAAAAATCTCTGTAATCTAAAGGTCAGCTGTAAGATTTACACTGAAAGTAGCAGTCAACTGAACAAACAAGGAACAACTGCTTAGTTATCTATTCTTAAAAAAGGAGTCTGTTGTTTACAATGTATCACCAGGTGAGGATGATTCAGTAACAATATTCTTATTGAGAAATGCTAATTCTGTATCTGCATGTATAAATAGATATGACCTTCAAAGTGAAAAAAACAACCTCTTTTAGTTCCACCTAACACTCGTAAAGCCTAAGCATGAAGTTGTGGTTAATGTAATTGGAGCAAATTTGAGAAAATAGTTATTAAAGTGCTCAGAGGATGCCAGTGACCATCATTGCAGGTCACTGCAATGAAATATGACGTGTAAGAGAAGATATAAAGAATGAGATATGTTCAGAAACTAAAAGTTGCTTTAAGATGCCTAAAATGTAACAGCGAAAAAGGAAAGAATGAGTTCTCTGTTGCTATGGTGGGTAAGTCAAAAACAAAAATGAACTTAAACTTCAGCAGGAAAGATTCACATTAGACATGAAAGATAAACTGCTGGGAGTAGAGAAGTTCTAGAATAACTTATAGACTACTGCATAAAATTATTAATTTTTAATAATTAATGCACAATATCCTTTGCAATCAAAATTTATTTGCAAGAGGATGGGAATAATCAAAGATAAACTCCAAACGTCTCCAGAAGTACTTTTTTATGATTCTGTCATAGAAATGATAAGCTAAAATTATTTCTAGTTTTCTAGGGTACAAATAGGTCTTTAAGAGCCTTGCCTTTGGAGTTTGAAGGTGAACAGTAGAGGCAGATATCATGCAACTTTACAGCACTGTGTGACAGAAAACATAGTCATTGTTGCTGCTATTGTTTCTCTTTAATGTACATCATTTACTCAGAAGTATTCATGCAAAAGTAGCTTGCACTGGCTAGATGCTAAATATTTGTAACAGATGCCATAAGTGCTTAACACTGGTTTAATTTATTTTTGGCACAGTCCATTTAGGATATTGTATTACAAGCAAGGGGATTCCCAGGAAAAGAGTTATGAAGGTAACCCAAATGCAATGTGGAAAATTTGAGAAGCATATTCATGTTTCATGTATGTTTTTCCCTTCCCTCTGTGCAGCACAGATCTTAGTTCAGCTGTAAAAGCAAAAACTGAGTACTGTCTCAGCTGGAGCATCAAAAGGAAAGTTAAGGCAGCAAAGCTGATTTTGTTCAGAGGTGCGTGTGACACCTGTGGCTGTGCTAGGCTTGCACTGCAGCACCATTTTATCAAGGCTACCCTGTAATGAGGCAATCAGAACAGGGAAGGACTTTTCAGTTCAAAGGCAGGTTTGCAAGGTGTTACCTAAAGAACCAGAATGTGTATTTTGCAGCATGGCATTTCAGAATGTGACATTTTATGACAGCAGAGCTTAGCAAACAGTTCATCTGCTCTTTCTGGTAACTCTCCATCTGAAGTCATAACCTTGCATATAATTCTGTATTTGATTTTGGAGGCGGTTATGTTACAATGGATTTTTATGATCTGTCTTGTTTCAAAGTTAACATTTATCACACGGCATCTGAGACTTTTGGTAGAATATAGCAGGAATACATTATTATTTTTTTCAAGTTAGCACCTTGAATGATTTCAGTGGAAGTTTTGCATAAGACTAAAATATAAATCCCCCAAAATGTTTTTAAAGGTTAGTGGAATATTATCTTGCACAAGAATTGAAGACTTTTATTAAAAATAAGCTGAGACCCTCTAAAGAACAATATTTGTGCTCAAATTTAAACATATGTTTGAATTAAGTGACTTAAAATAAAACATTTGTTTAAATAAAGTGTGTTGTGCTTTCCAAATAAGAGCCTTGTTCTAAACTAGTAAAGATTCTCTTTCCACTTGACTGCGCATAGTAGAAAAAGATATATAAAGCTAAAGAATCTTTGTCTGGGAGAAGGAAAAGATATATATGAAGTATTTTTACATTTTTTTAGGTTTAAATAGTGCTTTAATTTCAATTGCAAAGTTTAAAAGCTGCAGGTAAGTGATAAACTACAGGAAAAACGCTTTAAAATAAAGTCAAAGTAGCAGCAGCAATTGGAAACATAAAAATAGCTTCATTCTAGTGTTAGCACTCTATTAGCTAAACAGTTTAGTAGCAATGCTAATGTTGTTTCTGCTTCCAAGCTACAGCATTATTAGTGATTTAGAGGTTTCTGCTCAGAATCCCAACCCAAACATTTTTCTCCTGTATTGTTCATTTTGTTGTCTCATTTTCACATTCAACACTCTAAATGGAAACATTGCTTTTATTAGATTTTGTTTTGCAACAGGGCTGTGATAATAAATTTCTTGAATTGAAGTATGCTTTCAATTTCACTGCAAATTATTTCAATATTCCCAACAGTGATCAGGTAGCAGTTGTTTGACTGCTGCCTAATAGACATTTTCCAAAAATCAGTCAAGCCTGACCTTCCTTAAGTAACATTTTCACACAAACAATAAGAAGCTTTGTGGCCCTAGAGTGTATTGTTATCTAAATACAGCTTTATGGTAGTGAACAGTTCTTCAACTGTGCCCTCATTTTTGAGGATGATAGAGAGGCAAATTTCATTTTATTTTCCCATTAAGTGTACAGAGATTTTAATGTAACTTTACATTGACAGATCTGAATGGTTTTGCCCTCTTTATTTTAAGTCTTCTGTTTTGACCTGGCTTTGTTTGCTTGGGTTTTGTTGTTTGGTTTTTTTTGGTTCAGTTTCCCTGCTCAACTGAACCCCTTTCTTCAGGTAATAAGAAGAGAGCAGAGGGTTTTAATTACTACTTTGCTTTGGGGATTTTTATATTGACACAAAGTTATCAAGACGTGTGGGTCTGGTCGTATAAGCTCAGTCAAAAAATTCTCATCTAGTTCAGTGGTGGGCTTCTGCTTTTCCTCCCTTCATCCTGACATTGGTATATGCCAATGAGCAGAACAGTGTCACTCAGTCCCTCAGGAGTCAGGGTCTGGGAGAAGTCAAGCAGGCTGTGAGCGTGAGGAGGAGGTGAGCAGCTCTGTGAGCTCCTCTGCATTAGCACTGTGCTCAGACACGTACTGAATAGACTCTGCCCACATTATTGACATTTATTTGGCCAGTTAGTCAATCTTTGACATTTTATCTTAGGTTAGCATTATATATGAGGCTTTAAAATTTACACTATTCTGCACATTTTGTTTCTCTGAGGCAATAAGTATTCCAGATCATAGCATTCATTTAAGCAAACTAACAAATCCCCAAAATGAAGAAGTAAGCTTAAAGTACAGCAGTCTTATATGTTAGGATTAAGTGTATTTCATTAGATTTTATATTTATTGTCTTTGTCCATTATGTACCCAACCCTACTTATCAGATCAGCATTCATGCTGGAAAAAAAAAGGAGTTGTTGGGAGGCAAGGATATATTATTATTATTATTATTATTATTATTATTATTATTATTATTTTTTATTATTATTATTATTATTATTATTCAAATGCTTGGAAGGTTAAAATTTTAGAAATTCAGAAATATATCCCTTTCTGATATTAGCAGTTACTTCTGTAGCAGTATTTCATGCTTGCTTTAAATTGTTTGTTTATATATCTAAAAAAAAAAAAAAAAAAAAGAAATGATACCTGGCAACTGATCTTGAAGTTTCTGCTCAAAAGGCACATGTCCAATGTCTTTGTTCTAGAGCTTGCTAGGTTGCTTTAGTTGCTGAGGATAGATTTCATTTTTTAAATAGTTGCCTCATTAAAAGCTCATCAAGAGAACAATTTTACTGCCACACCCCTGAGAGTCATCAATTTCTTGATGAGTCCCTCCAAATAAAGAATCAAATATGAATTTTTGTGTATTTACTTTTGTTACTTTGGCTGAAAAGAGATTAAAGAAAGAGATAGAATTAAGCTGGAGATTTAGCTAGTTATACTATTGCCTAGAACTAGAAAATGAGACCAGAGGTGGTGTTAACTTTGTAGTTTCTTGGGAGATGCAAAAGCAGTGTTGTTTGCCTGCTATAGATTAAGAATCCTAAAATTCAAATGAGACTCCTCCATGCCAGCTGACTGTGAGGGTTTGAGTTAGTGCTTGACTAATCTCACTAGAGGTGTTTGCTCCTTCTTTTCAGGATTTCTGAGATCTCACTGGAAGTTGCTGAAAGCGGCCCTGTATCTGGGATGGCTCCTCAGGCTTACTTGATAGAGAAATGTGACTGCCCTCTGGGTTACTCTGGTCTGTCCTGTGAGGTACAGTATTAACCTAACTCCCAGGAAAAGCATTTGTGCCTTCTCTGGCCCATTCACTGGCAAGGTGTGAATAGCAATTGAGTGTGAACTCGTTTAACTGGCAGCAACTCTCCCTTAATTTAATTACTTATTTTCTCTCGCAGGTATTTCTCTCACAGGGAATTTCAGCCCCTTTTTCAATTGCTGTAGGCAAATTTACCACTGAAACCATGGCAATGACTCAAATACTTAGAATACAGGAAAGTGAGCTTTACTGGGACAGCATCACTGAGGCTGAATTGTGTAGCTGATGCCAACAGATCAAGCCTTTTTGAGCATATAGGGGTGTAATACTCTTGTCTTAGTAAAACACTAACTTACTGAACATCAGGAGAAAAGTGTGGGTCACTAAGTGACCTGGGTGCTCCTTATATATGCACTATATTTATCTTTTTACTTACAATTTCATGCTGAAGATTCCATATTTCAAAAGTACCCAAGTGTTCTAGAGAATCAGACGACTTGTATATGCTTTCGTAAAATGTATTTCATGATGGGTACCAGAGAAATTGTTTAAAATATAATACATTGATTGCAGAATAAAAGTTAATATTTCTGAGTAAGAGCACTGTCTGTGCCCTTGATGATGAGACTGCCAATCTTTCTGTGTACAGAATACCATGTTTTCATTTTTAACCAGCACAAGCAATTCTAAATTCACTAGTTGCAATTGGTAGGTGGAGGTAGCAGGGAGCAACACCTTGAGTATTTTGCAAATGCCTCAAACATCCTAGGTGGGATCTTTTAAGGGTTTCCCCCAAACTAGCAATGGGAGAAAAATCGAAGTAAATAAAGGGAAAGATAGCTCATTATCTGTGAGAACTCTGATCCCTTTGGATCATGGTTATACATGGTTGTGTTATGCAGCAATTAAGTCAACAGAAACAGTGAGTTCATAGGAAAGGTGTTCAAGAAGGTGAATGAAATAATTTTCTTTGCACACTATTTCAATAAGAGAATACACCTGAACTTCTGTAAATACATGAGAAATTAATGGACTCCAACATTTGCTTAGAAGTACAGATTTTTTATTTTTTTTAATTACTGTAGCAAATTGAATTTTGGAGGAAAAATATATGATAATGTAATTAAACTTTTTTTTTAATTCACACCCACCAGGGGATCAATAAATGTCTCAGCTGCAACCTTCATACTTCATTCTTAATTGTGTGATCTTCACATACTCATAACTTAGTTTATTTTTTGTGTGCTCAGTGAAGGTTATGGTGTGTTCTGTGAAGGTTTATTTAATTTTAGCAAGAAGAAAACCATCTGACACCCTGGCACTTTTTTAAGCGGATGTTAACAGGGTGTATGTGTCTGTGCCGTGCTTTATGCATGTAATAGCATTGTGAAGACTATATGCACAGCAGTTTTTACTAGAAGTGCCATTTATATTCCCTGCCCCTCTTTTTTTTTCCCCCTTTTTCTTTCCACATCTAGTTGTAGGCTGCAGAAGCAGTAGTAAGCATTTTCCTAATGACTGCTTCTGAAAAACTTCCAAACTAGCAATTAAAAATTTCATCCATTTTATCTTTCGTCTGTGTTTTATTTCATCTCAGAAATGCTTCGATCAAAATAGGCAATAAGACTGTCAGTAGCATATCAGAAAAAAAACCCAGATACTAGTTTTGTTTGAGGAGGTACCATGTATTTACAGTTCGATTCTGAAGTCATTCAGAACTTGTAAAGCTGTGTTTTGTACCTTGTTTGGACAAGTACACTTGTGGAGATAGAGAGGGAGGGGAAAAAAAAGAGTATTTTAGTAAGAAACAGAATTACTTTCATTTGAGATTATTTATCTAGGTTAGAATTCTTCACAAACCATGAAAAAGAAGATAGACTGTTTCTATGCTTCAGGAAACTTAATGTGGTATAAGTCAAAATAGAAGGGGAAAAGCAGAAATTAGTGAAGATTAATTTCTTTGTGATTCTAAAGAAAATAATTGTGTTTATACTTTTTCCATAACTTACACTCCTGGAGGTTCTGGCAATGATTATAAAACTGTCAGAGTGGTAGTACATGAATAAATCTAGCATGTCAGCTAGCTTTTCACTGGAGAATCCTGCTTTTGGTCACAAAAATTACTTACTCCAGATTCTCTTGTGTTTTATTTTGCATCCATTTTATTGCTGCGTGAAAAGTGTACCACTCCTTTTCTTTCTGAAAAGCAGAAATTGTGGTCCCCGATAGGAAATGACCTCATCAGCCAGCCTTCACAGGCTCCTGGCACCACTAGGTGGTGGGATTTATACGTGGGACAAGTGACTTCTCTCTAGGCACTCACCCCTAATGGTCTCAACTGTCAAAATGTTCCTGTTTGTGTTTTTATGCTGCCATAGCTGTGTGCTTTCTGAGAGCTGTGTAAGGGCTTCTGCAGAGCCGTGTAATAAGCCTGAAATAAAGATCAAGTGTTTTATTTTGCATGTGTCAGCTTTGATAGAAATTTTTGGGTTATTCTTGGAATTTTATTGCCAAGCTGCAGTAGAGGAGACTTAGTGATGGATAAACTTGGTTTGCGGCTGATATTCTCAAGACATGGAAAACCTTTAACATTTTGAATTCTGCACTTTTATGGTCTTTAAATTATATAGCTATAAATAATGCAGCCATGCAGTCATTTTCTTGTTTATTATTCGGCTTTTGCTTGTTACCCATCAGGTAGTGTGTAGGCAGATACATGCTTGTCGAACTTGAAAAACAGCACGGATGAAGGAAACAGAATCATCACACTTGCTCTCCACAGTCCACACAAAAAAAATATTTTGAAAACAAACTGTTTTCTTAAGTAATGAAAGGAATGATGCTTGATGCACAGTGAGAACAGAAAGGTGTTCTGCATCTGAATGAAAGATCTCTCAAGCTGTAGAATAAAAGCCTGATGTCAGTAGAGTGCTCCAGGGATTTTTCAGCCATGTTTCCAATTAGGGCTGGCTCTTGTTATCTGTAAAGTACTGTATATTGTTTGTAACACAGCTGGAAGCCTGTCAGATTCTTTTCACAACTTGTAAAAACTGGTGATTGGAAAGATGAGCTTGCAATGCTCCCCATACACAGTCTGCTCTGTAATGATCTGTTTTCTTCTGCATCTTTTTTTGTTGCAGTCATGCTCTCCAGGATTTTATAGGCTTCCATCTCCACCTGTGGGAGGGACACCTGCTCAGTCCTTAGGCACTTGTGCTGTATGTCAGTGTCATGGACACAGCACTATGTGTGACTCTGAAACATCAATTTGTCAGGTATTACACTTCTAAACTTTTACACCAATTTAATCTTAATGTCAAATTCCTAAGCTGTGCTACTAATTTAAAAAAACCAGAAGACAATATTTTAATACAATTTTGCCTAAATAGCTTAAGTGTCAAAGTTCAGGGAGAGTCATAAAAGAAAACTTTTGAAGTTTTCTGTTCTGATTCTCTAGAGTTCCGATTATGCGGTGCTTTTTCACCCTTGAATTACTATTTGTGTAAAAAGAAAAACTAGATATCTGCAAAACAAAGAAACAATGTACCATGTGTCATACAGTAAACACAATTCTGCTCTTACAGGCAGTAATACACATGACCTGGTACAGTAAGACTGAATTTTAATTATTTCTCCTTCTCCAATGGCTGGAACTATTGGAGGGAAGGAAGTAAAAAGTTCTTCCCTCCTCCACAAGAGGAGGGAATAAAGGATGAATGGGATAAGAAAGTCTGTAGGATACATCTGGGTAGCTACAGACCTATGTTCTTTCTCCTTTTAAGCCCATATATTAGTCAGCAGGTGTTTGATGGAAGCTTAAAGCAAGCTTTTCCACTGGGAATGATATCAGGGAAATTATGTGTTGAAGTAAGTTTGAATCCCTAAGGCTGGGAGCAGAATGTTGCCTACTTTCTTGTAATTATCAAATACAGCTTTCATTCTGTCTCCTTGCTTGGCAGGACTGCCAGCACAATACTGCTGGTCACCACTGTGAGAGGTGTGCACCGGGATTTTACGGCATTGTCCAAGGCAATCCAGATGACTGTCGGCCCTGTGCTTGTCCCCTACCCATTTCTAGTAACAAGTAAGTCAGCAAACTCATGGTGCAGGATTGCCTTTCCAGCAAGCCAGAGCTTCCTCCTGGGCTCCCTGTGTCCTTTTTCAGATGGCTGGCTACAGAAGAATTGCCTCATGGAAGCTACACTAAAAATTTCTTATCTACTTTTGCTAATTGATCTTCCTTTAAAAGTCAGAAATTGCTCCCTTGCTAATTTGTGATTAATAAATTAATAAGTGGAAGAAAATGCAATACTCAAGATAATGAGTGTGTGCTATAAAGGTATTCTCATAAATGAAGCTAGAGCAGAACCCAAGTACAACGCAGCCACAAGGGAGCTGCAAAAGTCTTATTCTCATATATTATGTTGGTATAAATGTGTTACAATGCCTTTCTTTCTCCACTATGGAATTTATTGATTTCTTATTTAATGTTACATGAGTTTTAGGCAATTTGTGAAAGATAGAATAATTTTAAAGCATTATAGTTATTGCAGCATAAATTTTATTGGTTGCTTTGTTCTAATGAGCCATTCCACGATGCTTCTGCATGTGTTCCCAACAGATGATACTTTAGCACTTGAGATTTGTTTATTGTTTTGCTAAGAAGCTCTTAATGATATTTGGCATCATACTGTAGTAACGCTCTGAACAGGTTTGTGTTTCATGATTGTGCTTTTGAAATGCTAAAAGTGTTTCGTAAAACCATTTTTCTGTTCTTTGTCTGGCCCAAGGATGTTTTAGTGAGGATTTCAGTCAGTATAGTTGAGAACCTAGGAGAGGGTTTCTTTTTCTTCTTACTTCATTTTATTATTTTGGATTGGTCTAAGGTTTATTTTGAAGGATGCAAGTCCTTTCTCAAACATTAGTAGGTAAAGACATCATGATCTTTCATCCACAGCAAGAGTTTTTAAGAATACTTACAAATCTTAGGTATTTAAAGAAACATTTTTTGTCTCAGAAAGTTATAATGCATTCTTAACTACAAGTTTTTCTGAGGTTTGCCCGTTTCATGAGTGTTTTCTGCTACAACTTGATTATGTGTTCTGTCTATTAGTATCAGAAAGGACATTCAAGTTGCAAAGAACAAGATCAACCAAGCTTCTCAGTTTTGCAAATCAGCAAATATTGGTAAAAAACTTCTTGTGTTACTAACTAGCAGTACAAAGGGATGCAAATATTCCATCCTATTTTTTTTCATGGGGCTTAGAAACCTTTGGTTGCCCAGAAATACATGTATCAGATGGAAAATGAGCAGGGCTCTTCATATGGTGTATGGCACCATGCTACAAGAATTCTCCACACTGTGCTCCTGAGATCATTTCAGTATCTTATTTAAAACCTAACATAAACTCAAGAAGTGGGTGTTGCTGAAGTGCTCTACAGGTGAGAAATATGTGGACTGTGGGTAGTGTGTTTAACACAGAATCATAGAGCGGTTTGTGTTGGAAGAGACCTTAAAAATCATCTAACTCCAACCCTCCTGCCATAGGCAGGGGCACCTTCCACTAGACCAGGTTTCTCAAAGCCCCATCCAGCCTGGCCATGAAGACTTCAAGGGACTGGAGCATCTACCACTTCATTGGGCAGCCTGTTCCAGTGTCTCATCACACTCTGTGTAAAGAATTGCCTCTTAACATCTAATCTATGTTTCCCCTCTATTAGTTTAAAACCATTCCCTGTTGTTTTATCCCCATCTTTTTTAAAAAGTTCCCTTTAGGTGTCCTAGGTGCACGCTCAAACAGCTGAGCTGCCTGAGGGAGAGCAAGCAAAGCACCCATACCCATTTAGTCACATAGCCTGCATGGCTGTGGGTGTTGTCATAGCTCTTTGTGTCATGCTCACATGAAATCATGATCATGAGACTCTCTTGTTTCATAAACCTTCACAGGAGATAAGAGAATAACACCTAGCCTGAATTTAATAAAAACACTGAATCATGAGATACTTATCCAATTTCTTAGTGCTGTTGAGGAAGGAGTCAGATCTGAGAATGTCCAGGAACAGAACTGCTTGTGCTTTATAGAACTTAACTCAGATGTCTCTAGACTTCATGGAAAGGATTTCTGTTTCTGTTAGCCACAGCCATCAACTTTGGTAGCTGTACAGTAAATATAGAGACAGACAACTGTATATCTCACTCAAGTTAAACCTAAAGGAAAATACCATTGGAGAGAGGGCAGGGAAGGAGATGTTTCAAATGTGTTTGTAGGTCTGTCTGTGCATGTCCATTTTCCACTGCTGATAGAGGATGCCTGAACAATTGGTTTAGACTAAATGTCTGACTTTTAGATGGATAGAGTGGCATGGATTTATACCATAAAGCTACAGTATTAGGTGCAAAATGAGAGTTAGATTTGTATCTTGTGCAGATCAGTTAGAGCTCTTCAAGATGCTATTAAGGAAAAAGTCTACCTGCACCTATTTTATGGAAGTCAAGTAATCATAATCTACATGAAGTACAGATAGCTAATAAGCTATCTCATTAGCTTGCTATGTCATGACTGATACAATAGTATTTTTGAATGCTATGGTGCAATTATTTTTATTTATGAAATTGAATAAAACTCCACTAAAGTTTTAAATACCGTATTTATACTGCTGTACAATCAGCAGTCAGCTTCAAACATGATGAGCTGGGGAAAAAAAAAATAACAGAGAAAATGAATTGTTCCTAGTATGGATCTATTTTTATGGAGTTGAAAATGTGTTGGATAATGAGTTTGTGAGTAATAGATCAATTTGTTTACATTTTTTGCAAAGGCATAATTTTATATACTCATTCAAGCATTATTGATTTAATGCATTATAAGCAAGTTAGATGAGGATGCTGACTGTACTGTACCAAGAAGGAGCCCTGGGCTCACCACTAGCCACCTCTGTGCTTTTCTAGTTATTCTTCCACAAAGAGCAGAAAGAGTTTCATGGTTTTGCACCATCTTAATATTTAATTATTTTCTTTTGCCCTACCTGCCCCTTTTGATTGTTTTAACTGCAGGCACTTAATACACTAATATGTCAACTGAATGTTACTTTGCACAGTGCCCACAGGTACACACCACAGTCAGTAGTAAAGTGGCTCAGAATCTTCAATTTCAGTGATGAAAATAAGACCTCTCCCTTATCATGAAGGAGGTACTTTTTAGGGGTTTTTTTTCTCTGTAGACTGGGCTTTTCTCATACATCCTTGAGAAGATCACCTGATGCTGCCTTTCTGGAAGATTCCATACAGCTATGACTTTGGTTCCTTTTCCCTCTTTATGTCTTACCTTCAAGTAAACTCTTCCCAGCTTATCTCATTTTGTTCAAAACACAATGAAATCAGACCGCAAGGGATGAATGTTCATTAGCTCTGTTTCTAAATCTTTTGTTTCACATCCTTCCCAGTGCTTCTCTTGCATGTTCACTGTGAGCAACAGCACCATTCAATCACACAAGCCTACAGCACGGGCACTGATCACTCCTTCCCCTTGGATACAGCCCTTGGAGCCTTTGTCCAAGCTGTGCAAGTGTCACAGCAGGGCATTTGCAAAAATTGTAATAGGAAGGAGAGAGCACTCACAGGTTTTTATAAACAGATAAGAAAATCCTTAATTTACATTAAGAGTGGAACTTCTTGGACCCCTCTGCACTGCTGACCAAAGTGAAATGTGCAAGAGAGTAGAAAAAAATTCTTTATTTACTTTTGTTTTAGCTTTAGCCCTACTTGTGTTGCTGAAGGACCTAGTGACTACCGGTGTACTGCCTGCCCACCTGGATATGAAGGCCAGTACTGCCAAAGGTAGGACAAATGCAAAAAGCAGAAAGAGGGACAATGAAATGAGGAAAAGGCATGAAGGAGATGAATGTTTTTTGATTTTACAAGTGTGTATTTACTACTGTTTAAGTACATGCCTTTGGATCATTTACTTCTCCTTTATACTCTGTTAAAACTCAGCCAGCAGACAATTTTTATATGCACAACTGTAAATTGATAATCAGTGTTATTTATATCACAGATATTGTCCCAGTCTTACTTTTGATATGTGAGGAGTTTTTTTCCTCCAGGGCTCAGAAGTTTAAATTTTTTTTCTAAAATTAGATGCCATGCTAATAGTGTATCTTGATGTCACTCATACCCTTTGTTTTAGTGACTCTTGTGCTCTCATGGGCATTGACTGTGAAAGACAGTTACATATAAACATTTTAATGCCAAATTGTGAATTAATAACCTAAACTGCCTCTGTTGTTCCATCCATCAAAATACTGAAGGATTAAGATAATCAAAATTGGAAAATGTCTACCAGGAGATTTCATGTCTGACACAAAACACAAGTGGCTAAGTTTATAGGCCAAACAATCATAGCAGAGGAGTTTTTGTTGTGGTTTAATAGAAATGTAACTGAAAATTGTTAGGATGTGGAATCACTTTTGCATACCTCGTTTATCCAGACTGTTCTGTGTCCTAATTGGAAGTCACTTTGTTGGAGAGTTTTCAATATTTCTCTCTTGGTCATGAAGCAACAAAGATTATTTTACTGGTTCATGTAATATAAATTATATTTAAAGTACTGCCAAGTATTCTCTCTGCACTGGGTCTCAGTTGGACAAACTTTGTTTTGTATTTGCAATGTCTAGATGTTCTTCTGGCTACACAGGAAACCCACAGATTCCCGGAGGGTCCTGCCAGGCATGTGAGTGTGATCCCTATGGTTCCGTGCCCGTGCCCTGTGACCCTGTCAGTGGGCAGTGCACTTGCAAGCCTGGATTCACGGGGTGGAAGTGTGCTGGCTGTGAGCATCGGCATGCGCGTCACGGCACCCAATGCCTTTGTACGTATACTAATGGAATGCTGGATAACTTTTGGTTGTGTTTGCTGTACTTCAGAAATCCAAACCTGCTTGTGTAACGCTGAGTTGTGTGGGTTTCTTTGAAAATAATTGCCAGGTTTCTTACTACTTTGGCATCTGCTCCGGTTTTTTTTTCACAAGCCTTGAGATGTTAAGAAAACTCTCAATAATTTCTAATATTATCACTGAAAACTGACAAAAAAACTTTGAAGGATTTCTTTTTGGAAGAAAAAGAAATTTTTGGCCTTTTGGAGTCTGTAATTTTACTTAAGGTTGTTGCTACTGTTGTGACAATTTTTTCTCTTGGTGAATTTTTTACTGTCCAAAATGTGTAACTAGCAATTGCAGTGCTCTACACCATGAGGCAGACACAAAATTTTTACTAAGGTTTACTTGATCACGCTGGCTCAACAACCATCCATTGGAATTTAAAAGATATAGGGAATGACAATACACTATATCCAGCAAAGAGCTTCTTTTGTTAAAAATAGCATTACTGGTATCTGTCCTACCCTCAATTTTGATACATACCAAGTGATTATCTTTTATTTTTGTTTGGATTTTTTTTTTCCATTGTATTGGAGATAGTGCTTGTTTTGAGCCCACAGTCTCATATCACGTAATGTTGTATGCTTATATCTTATTAAAAAAATGTAGCAAAATATTTCTAGAACTCATGGTCAGCCCTGACTTATGTAAGGCATTTTCCTCTTCCCTATCTGCCCCAGGATGTGGAGGGACTAACCTTGTGATTTTTTTATTTTTTTTTCCCTTTGTTGCCATGATTGTTAAATTTAAAGTAGAATACTGGTTCTGTTCTTGTAAGTCCAAAGTATATGATATTTATAAATCTGTGCATATTTGAAAATATTGGCAAGGCACAGTGAGCTGGTTTAAATGTTTTGTCTTTAATTGGAGCTTTTTCATGGAGTGGGTGTCTATGTGAGGGACATGTAAGATCAAGAAAAGTAGGTAAGTAAATTGAAAAACGAAAAAAAAAGAAGTGCTTAAAATGTTTGAAGGCATCATATAATTCCGTAAGAATGGAGTGCATGGCTTCTTGGAGTGCTTAAAGAGGAAGATATTAACGCACATAGGGTCAGGAACTACATGATGCAGAATGTTTTTTCATTCAACCTAATGGTTGTGATCAGTTCTCAGTCAGTCACCAGGACTTAGCAGAACTAAGCTTCTAAGTAAGTCCATTGAAATAAGTGCTTTTGCATCAGTCCTAAATCCCAGGTAGAGATTATAGATTACTGTGAATATAGATATAATTGCTTCTATTTCTTTACTGTTAGCAACATGGCATTGATTCATTGATTAAAAGTGTAGTGCACTTAAGAAAAATAAATTTCTAAAGTCCTGCAGTGGGATGTAGTTTAGGACTTAATTCTGAACTTAGTATCTTACGCTCTGTTTTGAACAGCAAAATGATTGCAACTGAAGTAGTCCCTTTGCTGAAATAACTATGAAATAACTATGGTTTGAGCTCCATTTTGTGGTCTATATGTCAAGGAGAATTGTAATTGGAAGTCCATAAGTGTTACAGGTACAAAATTTTAAAATAAGGACTGTGTTTTACAGAATGGCATCTACGTGAAAATTACTTAATTTTTTCAATATCTTGAATAGCTCTTCCATTATTGGCAGTATTATCCTATTTTTCCAATCACAGGCATGAATTAGTATTTTTTTTATAAGTCTTTATCAGTATTCTGAAAAGTCTTTTGGGTATCCAGGATGGCAGAGTTTCATTGTACAAAACAGCCTAAGTTCAAGTTATCATTTATAATAGTTTTCCAGTTTTTTAATCTGGTCATTTCATTGTGTGGATAATAAGGTTAAAAATCCTATTTGTGAATGGAAAAAGCTGTTTGCAGGCAAACTAAATTTTCCACCTTTTTGCTTTGAAAGATGTTATTTTCTATAATCTCTGATTTAACTGCAACGTATTTGAATGTGAGTGTTGAAATATACCTGCACTATCTTTAGGGACATTTTTACTTTAAGTAATCAGTTTTCACCATAAAGACATTTCTTCACATGTGCCTATGGACATTTCATTTGACCACTAGAAGTGAGGAGTCAAATGAGAAGATTTCTTTTCTTTAGTCAAAAAGATAAGAACCACCTATAGGAACAGATGAGATGTACTTTATATCACATATTCTTATCACAGGAACTAGTTTTTTGCTGTTGATACCGTATCAATAATAACCACATCATAAATTGAAAAAACTCCAGTTTAATATTTCAGTAGACATTTTATATGCTTATTAGCTCTTATTGTATGATCTTCCTCTTGTTTAAAGGTTCCTCAACATCCATATTACTCCAAACCTGCCTTGGCTGACGTGGTACAATACCCCTGACATGGCAGAAAATAGGCCTGATCAATAACCTTTGTAGCCTGTGGTGGACCCAGGTCTGTAGCAAAGGGAGTGTGGCAAACCTAGATTTTGTGGGAGTTTCCCCATGGTATACGGTGTCTGGTATGTCACAGGCTTCAGCTTGCAGCTCTTGGTAGGGATGCATTGCTGCAGCCCCTAATGTGCTTTAGTAGTCCTTGTCCTGTCCAAGAGCCATTAGGAATGCCTTTGGGGCAACCTTGAAGTTTTCTTTCCTTGCTCTCAGAATACTGAGCTGTTACAGTATGCATTTACTGCAGCTGAGGATTTGATTCTGTGTACAATGGTTTTTCGCTTTCATATATCAACCAATTGCAAAACACTCCGTAAATTCCCTTCTGACCAACTTCAGTTATAACAAAACCTTAAAAGTGAAAACAATGGTACTCTTAATGTACAGAAAATTAATTAGTGTCAAAAGCAGGACCCTGTTTGCATTCAATAGTTAAAATGAGCTGAATGGATGTACCTACTTTTACTCATTTGTGGTTCCATTTCTACTACTGCAAATGCATTGTACCTGTCAGAAGTGTGAAGAACCCCTAGTTAGGTGGTAAAGTGGTTTAACTTGAAGAAAATACATTCAAATACAGTCATGTTTGAAAAAGTATTTATAAGTAGTAGTATAAGACAGTGTTATTAAGCTGTCCTGTTAATATGCTAAAGTCAATGTTTAAGAATGTGAAATTTTATTTTAAATATTTAAAAAGAATAACCATTTAAACAATTAATTTTTGGCAAATGTTATAACGGATCACCACACAGTATGACATGAAAAACCAAATAATGTGTATTTAAATCAGATCAGAGATGTATTTTAGCCAAAATATTGTAATGCATTCTTCTTTAAATATAACATTTATATTTTAACGTACCCCTTATCATAAGTATTCTAAAGATTTTTTAAGTGAAGATTTTCAGAGGGGGGAAAAAAGCAAAGAAGCATGTATGTTCACTAAAGTGGTCTATTTCTGATACAGCTGAAAATCTATTTTAATGGGTTCTTACTGTTCTTTTTTCATAATGTGTCATTTTTCAGTCGCTTAGTGCATGTCACTGTTCAGTGCTGTGTTGTAACAGTTATATTTTAGAGGGCTACAGGTAAAATAGAATATATATTTATTTTGAAAGCCACTGCTTAAAGGGGAAGATTTCATTTGCAGATAAATAACTATGGTATGATAATTATAGGTGCACGGCACAGATAAAATTCCATTCCCATTATATTCTTAGAACAGAACAATTTTGTTTTCTCTAGGATTCCATAGCGGAATGAAAAATTATATCCAAAAAGTAGATTTATTTCTTTTTAAATAAGTAATACAAGAGAATGGTCTACCACACATCACAAAAATTTCTAACAGCTAGTAGCTGGATTATTTCCCCAGCTAAAGTAGCCATCTCAGTTGTCCTATACAGATATTCATAATACTCTGCTGATGAATACTTTCTTACAATTTTTGGACTCAAGCAATTAACTTTGTCAATTCATTTTCCCTTCTCTTTTGAAAAAGTCGGTACCCAAAGAATAAATAGTGATGGCTGGAAACTAATTTTAATAATGCTGCCAGCATGCTTGTGTACTGTCAAGTATAACAAAAGTTCTCCTAAATCTTCTCTCAGATTTTGAATCAAGCCTGTAGCAATCGTGCATTTTCTCAGAAAATAGTAATCCTCTTGTGTGTTTTTTGTTATGCCTTGTGACATTCCACTTCAGTTGTAGAGTTTGTAGTACATAAAATGAAGAAGCCTGAATGGCAATGTTATTGAAACAGTGACTCTGCTCACTGCTGTGCCATATTTATGGAACAAAATGATTCTGGTGAGAATTTCAAGATTTTATTGTTGTGTGGCTTTAATTATTATAAGCTAAGTCAGAACTCACCTCCTGAATGCGTTCAGGGTATCTGTCGTAACTACAATGGAGACCTGAAAACAAAGGTCTTCAATGCTTTGAGCTGCATTGCAACACAAACTAAAATCCTTTCCTTGGATGTGTGATCTTGTCCCAGAAGTTCCTTGGGGTCAAGCAAAAGCCTAAATGTAAAGCAGCTGATATGACTGAACAGGATGACTGAACATGACACAAAAATCAAGCACATATTTAATTGCTAGGAATTTTTCCTTGTCTCAATCTTGTGGGGCAAAAAAGAAGATAAAGATCCTCAGCCTTGCTGCAGTCAACAAACTTTCAGCTTTGTGTATTTAAATATTCAATTTTGGTAGAAGGAGAAAATAATATAATGAGATTCCTTTAATATCAGGTCTTGGGCATCTAAGTATTTGCAAGACTGATGCTTGCAATGAGAAAGATTTTTTTTTTTCCCAACTGTCAATCTCTACTTCATGACAGTCCTGCACCAAGAAGAACAAGGGAGCTCCCAACCACTGATACTGGTAGAATCAAGGATTTTCCATTAAAACAGTGAGGAGCTCCCTGATCTCAGCCATTCCAAATCAGAACTAAGCAGAGATGCTCTTTGTTAGAGGTAGATCTTGTAGAATCTGTGAAAGGAAGTCTCTCCCAGCTCTTACACAGTGCTTAGTTCAGCAGGAGCTGGGAACCTTTACAGAGTGAGCTGAAAAGAAAAGATGCCATGTGTAACACTACATCTATGAAGCCTTGGACTAGCTCCTTCAGCGTTCTGAGTTTTGCTGTGTCCATGTGACTCAGCTGTAAGAATTAAATTTACATTTGTGTTGGACAACTGCTTCTTGGGCTGCATGGGCTCAGTCAGGGCATCCCTACTTGGCCTAGAAGCTGATAAGCTATCACTTGTTTTCTGTTTATGTGATACATGAGCTCCTGTTGAGTTTAGACTCACACTCCTGTCTTTCACCCAACACAAGCAGTCTTTAAACTCAGCTACTTCTGGTGTGTATCAGAACCAGCAGATGAGGATTTCTAGATAATAAAAATCAGAAAAAAAACCAAGTAGGTGTTTTAGACCATGATCTGGGTATGAGTTTTCCTGTATTTTGGAGGCATATTGGTCATGTAAGCTACCTGAAACCAGCAGCAGTGGCAAGGAAGCTAAAGCTTTCAGCTCTGTACTACTGGGGGTCTGTTTTGGAAAGCACAGTAAGGCTGTTTCATTATTTGGTGTGAGACTAGTGCCAAACTGGGAAAAATGAGGTAACAGATTAATTAGATTAATTAATTATTAACAGATTAATAAGGTAAGAGTAGTTCAACACTTTATCTGAAATGACAGGAAGCTGATACTGAAGAGTCACTGACTGTCATAGGATACCACCTCCCATTAGAGATTGCCCTTAGACCAAAAATTTCCTAGTCATAACAGAGTCTTCTGAATCTTCACAGAAATGAATATATTAAAGCAAAATTATGTCAGATAATCACTCAATTGGAGGAACACATTGTGACTCAGATCTGTTTATTTTATTGCACATTATGTTTCTTTGTAAGATGGAATAAATGGTTAGATGTATGTAAACTTAAAATAATTTCTTTTGGCATGCATACTTTGGACATGCTTCTCACAAGAGGTAAGTCAAAATCCTTAGAGACTTAGTGTGCATGAAAGTGTGTTGGAAATGGGAAATGCAGTAATTTGCATTAATTGCTTGTTGAACTATTGTAATATTGATTGCATGATTTGCCTCTGACATGCTTGCACTGCTGTAATGATCTGAATTTAGTGCTGCATTTGTTAATATTAGACACGAATTTATCCTGACAGCTTTATAGATAGACACAGAAGTATTTAGTCTTTCAAAATATAATCATGGTCTTGAAATATTTCCCATAGCTACAGTACATTACAGATTGCATACTGGAGTAGTGCAGTCCTGTCTCATCTACTCAGCTCTGGTCTCACTCGATGCAGTTCCTCTTTTCAACCTGATTAGTGGGCAAGAGGTGTTAATTTCTACTGAATGCTTACTTATTGATTGTCCACTCACTGCAAATACTTTGTCTCTTCATGGGCTGTTCATTTTTTTCTTATTGGTGTGAATTGAGTTTGTCTTTAACATGTAACAAATTTTTAGCAATTTATTGCCAACCAGCAGGAAAATTTTGAAGGTGAATGAATTTAACTTGTTTCATAAGTAAAATAATATATGAAAAAAAAAAACCCAACACAACAAAAACTAAACTATAAAGGCCAACTTTTTTCTGGTTCAAGATCATTTATTTTTATCCAGCAAAATGACTATTAGGTCTCCTTACCTCCTTACCTTGATCAGCTACAGAACAGGTGTTTGTTATATAAAACATTATTTGCTGTAAAACTTGCTTTTCCTTGAATTCTCTTAGGCTTCTAAAGGCAAGCACACAGATGGCAAGAACAGGGATGATAATAAGTTGGGGGGGGAGGTTAAATTTCATGTAGGAGCATAAATCAGAATGTATCATGCCCACAGTTACTGACTGCAGTTCCAGTGCAGTTCAGTTTATGTAACAAAATACTGTGAAATAGGAGGAAGAAGTCTGCAAATGGAAGCAATGAAAATGCAAAAGGAAGTCTTAAAATAACAGTAGTATCTAGCTTTCTTCACCCACTTCTTACTACACTAATCCAGCACCTACCTTGTCTCCTTTTCAATCACCACTTGAGTTTCATGGTGTATTGAAATAGTTTACTATTTATTTCTCTGTATTTAACTCTATTCTTTGTCTTTGCTATATTGACCAGTCAACAGAATAAGAGCCATATTTAGGTAACTTTGAAAATTTAATGAACAGAAAAGATTTAATCTACATGAAGAATAGATTTCAGGAAAAAAGAAGTACTTCTCTTTTGAAAATTACTTCTTTTTTTACAAAAGCATACACTTTGCTTAGTGGTTGTTTTTTTTTTTTGCAATTAAACTGCTTAGTTTTGCTGAAATAAATAATTACACACTTGTAAAAGTTTAGGTACAACTCTCCATGTCTCTTAACATCACCATTGAATTCATTGTTTCACAGTTTGCTTCATCTCCTGAGATGTTTGGGTTTGCCAGTTCTTTATGCAGAGAAAGATATTCCCACAACTGTGTTCTAAAGGATGAAGAATTCTCCTGTCTGCTGCATAAATGATACAAGATGAGAATTTCTTGTGATAGTTAATCGAAAGCAGGGGGGATTGTGGGGGGGGGAATGCAAACTTCTTTTGATATATGCAGCACACAACAATATTTTTCATCCTGAAGGATATTTGCAAGAAAAGACGCATACATAAAAAGCTTATAAGCTGGTTAGTGAAAAGAGGTAGGAAAAAGCAATTTTTTAAAAGAAACCTGTCAGTATTTTTACCTGGATGCTTTCAACTGTCTGCATTATAGGTTTTGTATGCTTGGCCATGCTGTTATATGGAGATTTTCTTAATTTTTTTCTTGCATTCAAATCCATAAGCATACTGTGTTTCTTACAGAGCTCCTTAGATTTTCCAAATTTCCCATCTCCTTTTCTCAAACTTTCCTATTCCCTGGTTGTTGTTTCCATTTTTCTCACGCTACACATTTGTGGTAATATGTAAGAAATTAGTGTTATCTCCCACAGAATTGCATATGTGCTACACAGTATCTGAATCAAATGTCTTCAGTGTTTAGCAGGAAGAAATGAGCTTTGTTGTTCTTCCCCCAGCTTGTGATGATGAATGCACAGGACTCCTTCTCAATGACCTGGATCGGCTAAACCAGATGATCCTGAGTGTTAACCTTAGTGGTCCACTGCCTGCTCCATATAAAATGTTACACGGTTTTGAGAACATGACACAGGAATTAAAGGTATGTTGGCAATATTCTCATATATACATAACAGAGCTTCAGTATAACTGTACTTGATTCTGTTCAACCATACAGCTGTAAGTAGGTTCAGGGAAGAAGAAAAATCCAAGATTCAACTCTTTCAGGCTTGCTTTGGTTGATAAATAAGTATTAAAGTTATTATTTTTACTTACTTTAATACATAAATCTTGCAACAGAAATTTCTGAACATATATGCAAGGAGTTATACTTCAGGCATAGAAAAGCAATGTTGCATACAAATAAAATAGTTTTCTTGCTGATGGTCCATAAAGTGGTTATGTATTTTATGTACTGTATGTTCCCTACCTTACTTAGAAGTTATATAAAGTTGAGATTCCTGAAAAAAGCCTGTTGGATAAATGTGACACAAGTCAATGACAAAAATGATTGCATATTTTAATGAAAAGGAAATGCTTGATGCTGCTTCTCTTTAATATTTGGAAGCACAAACATTCATTACATACAGATTTTTCACTCTCCCATCTCTTTCCCAACAGCATTTGCTTTCACCTCAGAGAGCACCAGAGAGGTTTCTTCAGCTAGCACGAGAAAATCTGGATACCTTGGTGACAGAAATGGATGAACTACTGACAAGAGTATGTCTGTGATCACATTGAGGTCTATGGGTTTGGTTGAGGCTGCATAATGACAGAACTCTTCTGAATATGCATTAAACATGAATGAATAGATGAATTATAAGGTGCTTCTCAGTCTCAGTGTCTAAAATGGCAGAAAGTACTCTAAGAAACCTCTTTTTGTGGGCCAATATATTGACACATATTTTCTGCAAAACTTCCTAATAAGGTTAGAAAGCTTTTTCACGTCCATACTGACCACCCAAGAATTATCTTATCTGGAAAAGATGACACTGAAGAGATGTGTGAGTTTAATTAAATATATGTCTTCTAGATTTCATTTATGAGCATAGTTATGAGCATCTTCTGGATTTTAATAGATGTGCTATGTACTCTTTCTATTACAAAAGTTTTATTTCAATATAGACTTCATTTTGGTCAGTAAAGACAATGTGCAAGAAAATAATATAAATTGTGCCACCTAGTGGAGAAAAAATAGGGAAATGAACCAGCCTCACCATAAATAAAGCTGTCCAAAGTACTTTGCTGTGAATAACTTCCAAAAGCCATGCTTGTGAGTTGAAAGAACCAAATAAGAAAGATGTGGAGCACTGTACTCATCAATATACACCTCAGAGAATCACATAAACTCCAGGAAGTTTTAGCATCATATCTCTGAATTGTAAATGGCTTAAGGAGATAAAATTCTCAGAGAAACTGTTTTCTTTGTGTGTTGTTTTAATGCAATTTTGAAATGGGTAGTAGGTAAGAAAGTATCTGAAGTGTGTTTGCATATGTAGGCACCAAACACCTGTATATATATACCGGTATGCACCATTATATACATCTGTACATACTGACATTGTGAGAAAGCTTGCTTTTCCACTTCCGAATTTTGGGTTTTTTTCAATGCAAGAAGCAACTGCAATAGTTTTAAGTCTAGCTGCAGTTTTAACCCATGTCAGCTCTGCAAGCTGGGAAGATGTTTTTTTCTATTAATATTTCTCAATCTTAGGCTAAGACAATTTCTTCTCCTCTTGTAAAGTTGCTCTTTTTAATATCTTTTTCCAACTTCCCCCATAGAGATGACCTAAAATAATGCAGATTCTGACCTTCTCTAGACAACTCTTGGAAAGAAAAACATATCAAAAGTGTTATCTTAGGGGAGTTAATGTGGTGGCCATATTATCACACTCCCTTTTTGCAGTTTTTCATCATTGTGATGACTAAGTAGCCTTATGATTTCCAGTCATCCTTACAGAGTTGTTTGCAATAGTTTGGGGTGTTGTTTTTGGTGTTGTGTTTTTTTTAATTTAGGGACTGGCAACTGGTGGCAGGTCCTACATTTCCCCTTCTGTACTTGTAAATAAGAATGGTGTTCCAAAAAAAAAAAACATGAGTCCTGATGTAGTGTGTTCAAGGCCCATTTCCAAGTGAAGATACGGATGATAACTACATAATGGCACATAGAGTACATAGTACCACTATAGATACCAAATTTTTCCCTGTATCTGATATGCAGGCTCACTGTATTTTCAAAGTGGAACCAGTACCAATAAGAAAAAAGCTGGTGAGGATTGGTGAGGAATCTATTTCCATGAAAAAAATTCAATCATTTTAAGATAAAATATAGAAGAAAATAGTATTTAGTCACTACAAAACTTTCAAGGATTTAGCTTCCCTGTGGTCTCTTTTCAATCCATGATCTTTTATTCAGTGCAACACTTCTTTCCCTTCTTTTACATTATTCTGTGCTTCATTTACTTTGCTGTATGGAAGATCTTCAAGTCTTGCACTAATTATGTTCACATGTTTGCATGCACATTCCCACACCTAGCACCAGAGGAAGGCCTGACATCTTCAGTTCCTTTCAGTTCACTGCATTTTAGCAAAACCCCCACTTGCCTTTTAATTAGGTACTTTCAGAGCATTCAAGAAGGATAGGGATCAGAATCACTCCTCTTGACTGAAATGCTTCTTTTGTCTGTGTAAACTTTTACCTTTTTCCCAAAGTACTGAATTTCTCTAGCTCTAAAATCTCTGGAAGCAGTAGCAAAGGCAACTTAGTTTGCAGTGGCTGGGAACATTTGGAGAGAGAGCCAAGAACTTCCATCTGTACAGTGATGTCTGTGTTTACACCCCCTTCTGTGGTCTGCAGCTCACTAGCTGGAGAAATTCCTGTAGGACACCCTCCAGATGCTATCTAGAGGAGTTTTTTAAGGCTTTATTAAGTCCTCAGATTAAATAAACATTGAAACAAAACCAAAATAAGAAGAGTGTGCATAGTTGCTAATACTTGCTTATAGTTTAAATTGCTGAGTGGCTACTTCAGAATGGAACAAAAAGCCTTTCATGGAACCTCCATCACTAAGTATGAGCTGTGGACATCACCAAAGCATGTTCACTGATCTCAAATACTTTACTGATTTCTGTGGTAGGGATCTCCTTTATGCCAAAAAGTTTTATTTGTGTCCAAGTAACTTTTTAAAGTGATCTGGGTCGAGTCTGCCTGACCTGTATTGCTCCCACAGCAAGAGTTTGTTTGGCCTATTAAAACTGTTACATGCTGAAAACTGACCCAATGGAAATGGTGAGCTGTAGTAAATTGGATATGTAGAAAATTACTAGGACCTTATTAACAAAGGGAAACATTTAATTAGCCATGGAATGGCCAGCTACAGTATGAACAGTATGAAAGATATTCACCATTTAATATGGTTTACGGAATTAAAGCTAGACCAGATAATGAAGCAAAAGCCTGTTTTTCAGCAAAGGAAATTCTGTCAAAATACTGAAGGTCTTCAGTGGACCTGAATGGATTTAAGTACTAAAGAGTGCTGCCACTGAAAGGAAATGAAAATTGTTCAATGACAGATTAATTTTCACAAAAATGTGGTACGTGCTACTCAGTCATAAATAGAGAGGTTAAAGTGGCCAACTTGAATTAGTATGAATGTGGAAAAAGTAATCAAAACTAAGAAAGGAATATGTAAGTTATAAAACACCATTTGTAGCAAAGGACTAGAAATATTACAGAGTATAATAAAACTGAATGTGAATATTCCAAACAAATAAAACTCAAAGAATAAAAGGATGCTTCTGGAGGGTTTTACAATAAATAATAAGTTATTCTCAATTACATGAAGAATTAAATGACATCAGAGATGCCAGGCAGGGTTACAGAAGTGGTCCATCAAGATCATTTGGAATTTTTGCCTTTTTTCTATCCCAATTATCTCCTACAGTTCACTGTAACATTTTAGTTCTGTATCCAGGCAGGTAAAAAGGGTTTTTAAATCTTAGAGGAAGTAGCCAATAGTATGATTAAAGCTGTGTAAGTGTGAAAAGACACGTTCTTCTACTGATAGAGGGAGGGGGTGGGATAGAACAAACTCCCCCAGTCTGTATGGGTTCTTAATTCTTCCTTTATATTTCTATTTACCTGAACCATTTTCATATAAATTACTTTCAGTGTAAATTGCTTTCAATGTAGCTATTCTGAAGTAGCCCAAAATTGTAAGTGGAGTGATAATGCCAGGGATTTCATTCCAGAAACTCAGATGTAAAGTACCTTGAGGACTTCCATCTAGAAGTAATGAGGCAAAAATAAATGTGTTTAACTGCTACTATTTTTCTGACTATTACTGGAAAGTGTGGGGATTTTTGTAAGGGAGAAACAATTTGTGCAGTTCAAGTCAGGGAAAACCTAAACTCATTTTGAATTATTGACCTTCTAGCCATTTCACAAAGACTGGGTAATTCATAATGTCCTATTTCAAGATTTTTTTTGAGAATGTAATCCCTAAAGAAAAAAGCTAGGGTTTTATTGGTTTAATTTCTTGGGGTATTCTTTGGGTTTTGGCTTTATTTTGTTGGTTTTTTTACTTTGCAGTACAGCTCAACAATCTTTGTGTCTTCAAATGTTTAGCTGCTTTTTAATAAGAAAGGGTCCTTTTTGTAAATAGGGACCTCAAGAGCTAAGTATAATGTCCTAAGATGATTCCTTTCCTTGGCATGTTTCTCCAGTCTGCAGCAGATGTCTCTCTTTCTGCTGCTGCTGTGATCAGTGCAATTATAAAGCATTTAGTAACAGAAAGTTAAATTTTTACTGAGCACCCCAGTATGTTATAAACGAACAGCTTCAAGCATTAGAGCTGAATAAAACTGCTCTTTATTTTTTTTTCTGTTTCTTCATGAAATTAATGTATTGATTTAAAGTTCTTCTTGCTCGTTGGAATGCACTGTCTCTTTGAGAACACCTCCAGGGAAGAAGTAAAGAGGTCATGATGCCTGCTGCACTTTGTCAATCGAAAAGTACACAATTGTGAAACTGTGGAAAGTATTCCCTGAAGAATCTATTAAAAGGTTCCAAACAGCATTTCTTTAAGCAAATATATTATTATTCAGTGAATAATTTCATCCTGTCTCCATTGATGTGCTGCTGCACACAAGTAGGGTTTCTAAGAACCTAAAATAAAGCCTTCCAATTTCCATTTAAAGGAAAAGGTAATAAAGTTTAATTGCGTACTTGAACAGAGCATTTCATTGCCCATGCATCTGATCAATAATTCATTGATTGCCTCTGGCCTGAGGAAAGTTTTGTATATGGATTCAGCCAGTAGGAGTATAACATAGTGCAGCCTTGTCCTGTTCATTAATTATATTTTCCCTGAATTTGTATCACCAGGCTACCAAGGTGACAGCAGATGGTGAGCAGACCAGGCAGGATGCCGAGAGGACTAATGACAGAGCGAAATCTCTTGGACAGTTCGTCAAAGGCATTCTTCAAGCTGCTGAAGGTATTGGAAAAAATTAAAACACTTGAGTTGTTTCTCAGGAAAACTGGAGAATGGTAGGGGAAGAGGGTCTGAAACGGTGAGAAAGATTTTACTTGCTGAGCAATGTCATGTGCTTAAAATGTTGAGTGAAGAGCTTCATGTTGAGTGAAGTAAACGGTCTTCAAATTTTTCTTCAAATCTATGTGTACATTTTATATAAACACTCAGTGTTATGAACAAAGACTAGAAGAAAACTGAGCATGTTCATTGAGGATTTTTGCAGTTATCTGAAGAGCTGTTATGATGAAGTAACAAACAGGGCTTAGCTTTTGTTTATTTTCAAAGCAGTTAAAAATATGTATCATTAAAAAAGTTTGATGTAATTCTGGCACTTGGTAGATTAACACTTCATCTTAATTCACCAGCTTTACTTCAGCAATGCACTTACTCCTTGCTGTTAATGAACATCTGCTGCTTGGAATTTGCAACTGACTCCTAACCCTACCTAAGCATGGAGCCAAAGCCAGCGCTCTGTCTTCCACGGACTGATCCACTGCACTTGCACTGCAGTAAATACTTTTGAGAAAAGTAGATTCTAGATGGCCTTAAGCAGCAAGACCTATATATTTCATAAAGCTATTAAATAAGATAATGGATGAAAAAAGTTAAAATAATTTTCAAATACAGACAGGGTGTTTTAATTAGAGTTTTCAGTTCCTTCCTCCTCCAAATGTTCACTGCAGCACTGGTTTTAGTAGCTATGCTTCTGAAGGCCTATTTCATTGAAAGGGAAAGCTCCCACTTTTGTCCATGTGCTATAAAATACATTTTATATTGCCTTTTGTGTAACACATCCCTGTATGTGCTGTGGAAGTGAAATGAGCAGCAATTTAGGATAGCCTTACGACTTGTAACTTTGAAAAGAAAAATTTGTGGGAAAAGCGACAAGAAAAATCAGCAATTTTTTGAGATTTTCTTTAAACAAAAGACCATGTTCCTCATATTTCAGGATGAATTTGGGATGATGAGCAAAACAAAGTCTTTGACTCTGTAGAGTTTATGCCCAAGTGTTTGTAGCCCAAATAAAAATTTTCTCAAGCAGGTTTTGCAGTAGAAAATGCAGAGTTAGTAAACATTGAGGGCGTGAAATAAATTTATGCAGTAGCTTAGAAGTAGACAAAAACTTTAAAATCAGTGTTTTTGCCTAGTGGCCAACTTAACATTTTAAGAATACATCAATTACAAGAGGACAGGATTGAGAGATACCTTGTGGGTTAATGCATCCACTCCCCTACTATTAAAAACTTTCTGAAGTTCATCTTCAAAGTAATTTCTATAAATGCACACAATCTCAATAGGAGGTAGTTTCAGTACTCTTCATAATTACCATAGTTCACATTTCTAGCAAAAAATATTCATCTTTAGTTTGTCATCTAGCTCCCTTGCAAACCTTGCTCTTAAGTTCAAATAGATGTTTTTCTTCTCCCTATCAGTCGTCCTCCTTCCCCCGCCACCACTATTTTTGCAGAGAGGAATCATATTCCACTTTGGCCCCTTTTTTTCTAGACTGAATCACATGAAAGAGGGTTCTCCCAAATCTCTACTTGCTTTCATGTAATTTCTCTTCCTCTGCTGACAATTATATCCGTGTTTCTGAACCACAGGAAAAATGCATGAAATGAGGTTTCTTCAGCGTCTTGCTCTTCAGGAGGAGTAAAACTTGCCTATTTCAGCTCTCATAATAATGTCCCAATAACTTTTTTTTTACAGCTGGGTGCTACTGGTGATTCATAACACAGCTGTGTTCTTCTCATTCATACCTTTTACCTAACTGACAAAACTCCTCATTAAAAGTGAGAAGTTTGTAGTGATTGGTTCTAACGACCATATTCTGACCACTTCTACTGAGGTGGTTGTTGACTTTCTGAACTTGTGAGTAGCTGTAACTAATTTTCCTTCTTAGCTATGGAATTTCCCTGCTTTGCCATTCCTAGCCTTTGTCTATGTCAGTGTACCCAAATCTTTTACCGCCACTGGACTCTGATATTTGCATTCTACCAAGACACAAAATAAAATATGGTTATAAGAGAAAGATAAAACTTTTATAAGGGATTTAAATTTTTCTGAACCTACAAAAAAGCTTAGTTATCATATTCATTTTCTCTTTTAAGGTAAATATTTAGAGAAGCTACTCACTTCAATTTTTTTTAATTGAATTTAAAAAAAATTAATATAGACTTATTCCTGGCCTGAGGAGCCTTAGTAATGATAAATAATATAGTATATGTAGAAATCATCCACAATCTATTTGAGCAAACTGTAGTCTTTTTCCAGACATCACAACCCCACACAAAACCACTCATTATTAAAGATACAAATCTCAGTTCTCACCAGCTAATCAAAGACATCATTAGATTTAAATTTTCTTCATAATTTGCTCTAAACTGGTGCAATGTGTAGATGAAATAGTAATTTATTGTGGTTTGAAAGACTGATTTTAATTTCTTTAATTAAAGATTTAATTTTAAATACTCATAAGTGCCCCTGTGACCAGGAACGGTGCCATTTCGGATAAATCAGTTACTTGGGAAGTCTGTACCTGTGGAAGGGCAGCAGTAGTTTTTAAAATTGAGGATGGAACTGATTGCCATAAATGACCTAGTTGCTTCTGAAAGTGGGTATTCTAATGTGTTGTGGTGTGCTATGGCAGGAAGATTTTAGTCCATCCTTGCCATACGATGCCATGCATACAGCTTTACCTGCTTGGAATAATTTGGGTGTTCCAAACACATTTACACTATACTTTCATATATTCCAGTCTTCATGCTTTTCTTTTCCATTTCTGGGTATCTTCTTCTAAACACATGAGTGGGTTTAGACATCTGTGGGTGTCTTTCACTCTTCTTCTGCTTCATTTTCTAAAATTTCACAATTGTTTATTCTTTCTAGCACTGTTAAGTCTGAATGCTAAAAATGACATATTTTAAGGTTCTCCAAAAGTAATTTAAGACTCATTTTCATTGCTTGTACTGCCTGCTCCTTAATTCTATAATTAAAGCAATATAGCAAACTATCTTCTGCTTGTTTTGAAAGTTCTTTCTTTCAGGGGAATGAGGAGGGGAGCAATGTATTTCTTATACCAGATATAAAGACTTCTTTAATTATTGTGTTGAAAAGTGAACTATAATAAAAGGTTTGATGAAACAAATATTACTTTCTCATTTTTTACTGACCATTAGATTAACCATTCTTTTTATTTCACAGCAGAAATAACCAGTGCAAGTTGTGTTCCATTTGTTGATAGAGTTGACAGCTTCTCTGTTGTTTTTAATTACTAGCTCCTTACATAAATGTATTTTGGTCCCCTGCAGCTGCAAATGAAGATGCTATAAAACTGAATGAGACACTCAGAACTCAAGACAAGATGTTGGAGAAGAGTCTTCCAGAACTGCAGAGTGAGGTTGAAGCCATGGTCACGGAGATGAGAAATAGAGACCTCAGTATGCAAGAAAAAATAGCTCAAGATGAGTTAAAGTGAGTAGAGAGACCCCAGTCTTCAAACTCCTAGTGACAATGTCTGACTCTTGTAAATGTGATTGTCATGTTTGCCAATCGAGTTTTCTAGCTGAGGGTTACAGAAATGTGAAAGAAAGCAAAGTCTAATACTTTATATCTGTTGATACAGCATTTGCATTTTTGGAAGTGCTTACATACGTGGAAAGCAATCCCTAGGAAATTACTTCCCTTCTCCATAGGTACCAGCAACATTTCTAATTGAATTCTAATTTTACTCTGTTTGTTTTTAGCTTCTGCTTCAGACCTGATGAATTGCTTTTGTGCTAAAAATTTCATCTGGAAGCTTAGGGTTTTTCCCTGGAAAACTAGTTGGTCTAATAAAGTAATAACTGTCCAAAAAGTTTGTTCAACATAGTAGATGTTAAAAAGAATGTATTTTGCCATGTTTAGAATAGTGTAGGTCAGAATAAACCATCTCTGTGGCACAGTTCCAAAGCATGCTGTTCAGTTATTTAATTATCTGTAAATAAATATATATACATATTAGTATATTGGCAGCTGTTTATAAAACATTATGCCAGATGCTGAAAACTTACCTGATTCAGAAAAATACTTGGCTTGAAGCTGAAGATCTGGAAGTTTGTTACTTCTACATGAGTAAGACCAGGCATCTCTCTAGGGCTAGACTTTGCTTAGCTCTTCACCAGTGCAAACAACTAGCAGAGAATCCAGCTGAGCAGCGACATGGTCCACTGAAGTTGTGATGGATCAGAAAACTGTCTGGCATAGAGTTATGTGGGCCTGAAAATGTCAGTTATCAGGTGCATGCATACTGTAAGGAGATGTAAATGGAATACAAAATTAGCTGAGAATTCCAAGCAGTTTAGAATCAGATTTGCACTGCCTATCTTAGGCTTTAGAAACCAGATCATTTTCTGGAAATCCTGATAGTGCAGTATTTCTCCCCACAACTCTGATAGCTTTACTTTCTATTCTCTTGAGAAAGAACATATTGCAAACTTATTTGTGAGCAATGTTTTATTGCTTTTTCATCTGATTCCACTGAGCCTCTTCTGTGCCTTCTCTACTCACACACAGAAATAAACCAGAAAAAAGTAGGGATGATAAAAATTTAGCCAAACCTTTGGAAGTTTTACCTGCAAATTTAGGACTGGCTGGAGAAAGGCCTTTCAAACAAGGTGTTGTTAGTCCTCAAATGCTACAGCCAACATGAAACTGTCAGGCTACAATGAAATAATTTCCTACTCTATAGTCGAGTAGCTAGAGTAGAAAATGCAGTAGGGTTTTTTGAGGGGAAGGACTTCTTCTCTCCTCCTTCCATTCTTCCTGAAATGCACAAAGCAAGTGTTTAAAATTCTCAATATAGAATACATTTTGTACTAAGAGATACGTGAATATATTCATTGACTTCAATGAAAGTTTTATGGTTTATCTTAAGGATAGGGTTACCTCCTTGCAGGCACTCACTGAGATCCAAGAAATTTTGGCAGTCAACTCAACAGAAGGAAAATTAGTCACTGTGCATTACAGGGTGGGGAGGAAAGGACCCTAGAGATACTATTTTCTGCAACTGCCTCTTAATGAGAATTGTTATAAAACTGTTTAAATCATGTAGTAAAATAGTGGGTAGGATACACTCTCCACGGAAGAAGAATGAAGAAAAATGGATTATTCTTAAAACTCTGGAAGTACATGTACATGTGTGTGGATCACTGTGCTCACACGGATGTATTCTCTACAGACCCATTTGAAATATTTACGTTTCAATAAAGTATGAATGAAGGTCTTGCAAGCCTCATTATCACTTTGAAGTAGTTAATCACACTTACTGTTTTGTCAGTGATTGTATTCTGTTTTCAGAATTTTTTCCAAGGACAGAAACACAAGATTCAGTGAATTCTCTCCTATGTTTTCAGTGAATTCTCAAAACTTAAATGAAGAAGACAAATGAAGTAAAGTCTTCTTGCTCTCATAGATGGCAAAGCTTCTCTTACATATGCAGTTTTTTCCATTATTTTCCTTCAAATTTTTCAAATGCAAGCTCTAATTGCCTTAATGTACTGAAATGGCATACTAGTCAATAATTTGTCTTTAAAAAGAGCATGTAGAGAAATACACCAGCTGCTGTTCTGAACTGCCATGATTTTCATATTTATGAAGTAAATCTTGCACTATTTTATAACATTCCTTCATGTTTTCTCAGATGCCACTGAGTTGCTATCAAGGGATGCTGTGAGCCAGAATTCTTTCTTTCTGTTTAGTATGCTGAGTAGCTTTATTTTTGTGTGACTTTTTCTTCCACTAATTTGTCTGATGGCTTCTGAACCTCCGTGAATTTCTGTCATCCACTTTCCTGGGAGAATGAATTGAGAACTCAGCTGTCCAGTGTTGGAAGACCTGCCTCCTATATTTTGACATTGCCTCCTGATATTTCCATTTTTGTTTTTTGGAGAGACATTGGACAGTTGATCACCTTATCCGTGCTATTCATGATGTTACAGTCCTTATTTATTCTTCTGATAAGGCAATTCTAACATATTTAGACTCCTATATGCAGTTGATGGGTTTTAATCATTTTGTCATCAGTTTCTAATCTTGTTTGTTCTCTTGCACTCATTCTGAGCATCCAGACCATTCAGCATTCCATCTGTTAGGCCAGACCTGTGATTGTTTCTTCTAAAACTTCAAGCATTTTGTATAACTTTATTCTCTTTCTAGGATGGTATCCAGTGAAAGTAGCACAGCTTAAGTGTACAAGAGAGTATTTTAAGAAATGTGGTGCAGCCCAGTCACACAGAAATTCTAAAGCAAAGGATTACATGGAACAGATTGCCTCATACTTCATTAGAAAGAGCAGAGGGCAAATGCACAACAGATCAATATGAAGGTGCTATCTTTAGAGCACCAAGGAAGAGTTTTGAGGTAGACTGCTGGATGGATAAGTAGTTTGAACTGTGCTATGAGGCAGGGAAATAAAAGGGAAATCCGTCTGTTTTGTACTGTTCCTCCAGTACTGCAGAGTCATAAGGGTGTCAAAATTTCCCAGAAGTGTAAGACAGGAGCTTCTTATAGAAGAAAAATGGAGGAGGTATGAGAGAAATCCTAAGTTCCTTTCTACATTTCTGTGACAGGGTGTCAATATTGGGATTTAGTTTTTGATTAAATATTTTGTCCTCAGAAGTTGTGAATTCAAAATGTGATTTTTTTTTTTTTTCATCAAACCCAATAGCAGAATTGATGGGGGAAAAAACCTCCAATCCATCTCAGAAAATCCCAAAGCTAACAATTTTACTTCCCTTGGCTCCACTTCAGACTCTTCATCTAAATTATGTCCAGTGTCAGTGTATCTTTTTCTCCTTTCCTATATCTTTTTGCTGTGCATTTATTTACATGTTTATTTTTAAAAGATTCCTAATGGAACTGACTGTAGACAGGCCAAATTGCAGTGTTTTTTCAGAAAAAGCTTTTTCAGAAAAGTTCTTGTTTTCCACACTTTGGCATAATGAAACAGGAAGAAAAATTTAATCTGTTCTAGGTGGAACTATGATAAATTTCTTCTGTAGTTATTATCTATCCTACATATTCCTGTTTACTTATGACTTTCCTTATCTCTAAAGCATCATTTTGGAAGTGCCTGAAGTGCCTCTTTATTCTTTTTTTTTTTTCCTGTCCTTGACATATCATTGGATTAACACAGCAGTGTTGCCTTGTGTGAAACTGATTCGAGGCAGGCAGATGACAGTATTCCAGTAACTTAAAACTAAGGTCAGCAAAATCCATTAAAAATATTCCAGAATGACAGATTGATATTGGGCATATCTACAAATCCTCCTTAAGTTCAAGGTAGGAAACCACTTTGTGTCACATGTCACATCAATGTGAGTAAAGGAAATCTTTTAGACAAGTTGAAATATTTCAGAAAATCTCACTTTTCTAGTCAGATCTCAAGAATGGAAATTAACCAAAAAATGTAAGGAGAAAAAAAAAAATATATAGTCTTCCATGGAGAATATTTGAATATATTCCGCTTCATAAATAGGACCTTAGTGGGATTTAAAAACTTCTTTTAAGAAAGGGCTTTCCTTTCACTTTATTAAGTATGTGTCATCTTGAAAATTACTTTAAGACTTAATTTAATTTAATTTTCTTTGAGACTTAGTTCTTCTATTTCATCTGCACATTATTGAGATTATTCAGATTATTTGGTGTAGGGAATATGAACTCTGTGTTTTCATGGGTGGCAATGTATTTCAGGAATGCTGGAGATCTTTTGGACAAGGTGAAGAAATTATTTGGTGAGCCCAGTAAGAAAAATGAGGATCTCAAAAATGAGGTCCGGGACAAGCTAGCAAACTACCAGAGCAAAGTTGATGATGCTCAAGATCTGCTAAGAGAGGCTGCAAGTAAAATTTGGGAGGCAGATCGTTTATCTGCAGTCAACCAAAAAAATATGACCATGCTGGAGGTAAGTGCTGACAAGTTTTATCCTCGATTACTTGGATTCTGATTAAAGATTGAACCTTTTGCATGATTAAATATTGAAACAAAAATACAAGCAAAACAAAAGTATAATTAAAATGTATCTATATCTGATGTAATTTAAAGGGAACATGTTCCTCAGAATGAGGAAGTGCACTGGCTTTTAAAAGTAGAATTACTCCCCTGCTTTATTGAAATAATACCATCTGTTTTGTGGAAGGTACACTGGATTTATTATTCTGTGGGAAATTAAATTTGTTCCAGTATAAATAGTCATGTAAAATTCAAATCATGTGCTCAGTATTTAAATAGGAGTTCCGTTAAAATCTTTGCTGTTCTATATTTGCTTCTAGAAAACTTAGAGTTTCATCTCCTCTCCAACCCCTGGGAAGAAGACTGAAGGGGCTATGTGGATTACAGAGTAATAAATCAAACTACATCCTCAGTAGTTAGGAGATGTTATAAATTATCTCACTCATAGAAGAGGGTCTGCTTGTGATTTAATTTAAATTGCAGAGACTTAAAGAGCATATTATACTGTACATTAACAAGCATTTAACCAAGACATAAAGAGCAGAGTCAACCTAATGAAGATTAATGTTTCAACTGTATCTTGGTGAGCTTTCACCTCAAGTACAATATGAGGGTAGAGTTCTGAGACCTCAGTTCTCAGCAGAGATTTCTGTGCTTGATTGAATAAAGGAAATTTGACGAATTTAGGTGATCTCTGTTCTGGGCAATTTCTTCCCAAGGGTGGATGGTTAAAATTTGGAGATATTACCTGCTACTTCAGTTTTTAAAATATTCTTTACATCACTATAGCAGAGTGCCTTTCCAGCAGTCCTGTCCACGTGGCTGCTTTGGCCTCCTATCAAACTAAGCTGTGATACTCAATGGATCTTGCACAAGAAATTGCCAATTCTTTATTCAGAAGTCCATCCTTGCAATGCAATATGCAATAGTTTTACTAGTTGGAAAAACAGGAATCCATAGGTTACTCGAAACCTTTTATTTTGTATTCAGCAGTTAGTGAAGTACCAATAGATGGAAGTAGGAAAGCAACAGAATATTTTTACAAATTTTTTCTTCATAGTCAGAGGTGATTTACAAAGTGAGGAACTTGCACATCTGGGTGATGGTTAGGATTTCTAACACTCTGATTCATTTTGCAATAGTACTTCAGCCAGTAACCTCTGTTAGAGAGCAACAAAAACCCTGACATGTGGTCAGACAATGCCCAGCTGGGGTTAGGAGGACAAAGAAAAGAAACCTTACATGTGCTTTTATTGTTGTCACTGTCTCAGCTCTGGGAGCTCAGAGGGTTGCAGAAGGGGCATTGTGGCATGGTGACAAAATGCAGTCTGAGATGCTGACATTTGAGCTGTTCTAGTAAACAACTCTTCTTTTTCTTTGTGTGAACTCATTCTATAGAAAAGGAAGCAAGCTGTAGAAGATGGCAGACAAGATGTTGAAAAGGCCCTTCAGGAAGGGAATGATATTCTTAATGAAGCCACTAAACTTGCAAATAACATCAGCATAGCTGTAGAGGTGAGTATTTTATTATCTTTATTATCTTTACCTGAGAATTAGTACAACAAAACGTCATTATGGAAGCAAAATAGATAATTAAAGTAACATCTAATTTTTCATTCTGTTTATCAACATTGAAATATTTTACTTGGGATAATTCTTTATTATCTGTATGGCAGAAGATCTAGTCAGGTGTATAAAAATTAGTAACTTGGAGTTTTTAGTGATTCATTGGATTACATGTGAGCGAGCTCATAATATTTTAGGGACTCTGCCATTTATAAATATGGTATTCTGATTGTGGTACTGACTTTATCTTGAGAATTACAGATGCAGCAGACTCATTCACAGTCTCACTGCAACTCTGTAATCTAGATATAGATTTATCTGCACAAAAACTGTGTATATATCAGAAGGAAACTTCAGAAATAATTTGTTGCCTGTGGCCACAATTTTAAGTCTAGACAGATCAGGGAGAGGATTGAACTCACATTTTGCATAATATTTTTGAAAATTCTGCCTTAAAAATTTATTCAACAGAGTTTGAGATCAGTGCCTTAGCTACCAAAAAAAAAATAAAAATAAAGGTATCATTGGTTCTGAAGACGTTTCCAGCATGCATCACAGCTTACCGTAATAAATGGAAAAATGGTCTTTGGAGAGATTGAAAAGGACACGCAGTGAGACAGCTTTTTGGAACAGGAATGGCAAATCTTCAGAAAGCATAATTCTTACTGAGAAGCTTTAATAACCAAAAAGGCATTGTAGCCACTCAAAGGGTCCTGAAACATGAAACTTCTGCCACTTATTAGTTATTACTGTGGAGCACAGCAACAATATAGCTATGCATGCATTATCATTTAGGAAACAAATCAAAATTAGAGTTTATAAGCTTTTAAAGTGTACAATTCCTTAATTGTAAGAGAAAAGCTTCTACTAAGCTCAAGAGGGACAACTAGATCTTGGAATGTTGTTTATCTTCTCTCTGCTTTTCAGTCCAGCCATTCCTGTTACTCTTTCCATACTAGTTCCCTGAAGTTTTAATGCATGGGTAAGTTGAGATAATAGCCCACAAGGGAAGAAGAAACACCCTAATATATAGATAAGGCTACAGAATTCACAGAATGACTAGGTTGCTTACATTCAGAAATTTAAACGCTTTTTTTTTGCCATTTTCAGTATGTAGAAGGCGTTGCAGATAAGATACAGCCAATGTCTGATCAGCTGAAAGATAAAATAGATGACTTATCACAAGAAATTCGTGACAGGATGCTTCCAGAAAAGGTGTTGCAAGCTGAGAACCACGCGGGCCAGCTGAATGAATCATCTGCAGTGCTGGATGGGTAAGGCAGACATTCACTGGTAATGCTGAAATCATGAGGCAGGTTTGCAAAAGTGCTTCACAGAACTTTAGGGGCATTCTTCTTCTTTTACATCTGTTTCTGGGGGTATACAAATAACCAGTGATGTGTACAAGCATACAGCTATTGAGTTAGTCAATTTATGAATCTCTTGTAAACGGTTTCCTACACCTTGTGATTTTTGTAGGCTGCATGGACAGCAAACAGTGCCCTCAGATGTACTGGTAACACAGTTTAACTTATCATATGCTTACTGCTATGTTGTGAAAAAAATAGAAATTCTTAAAGAGCTCACTACATGTTTTCATGTGCATTTGTTAAAAACAAGTACTATTTTCCTTTTTAAGATGACCGTTTTGGTAGGAGAGTATTATTGTGATGCTAAATTGTTTACTGTTGGAACTCCCCCTTAGTGATGAACAGTAATTCCTCTACCAGTTTCAAAACACTCTCCCAGAAAAGTAGGTGTCCTGGACCAAAATGCTTAAACCCAAGAACGTAAGCTTCAGTTTCTGTTTACCTCTATCACAGTCCTAAATATGAGAATTGCATTGCCCTTCATTTATATGACCACAGCTCTCTCAGAAGAATGAAACTATATAACTCATCATAAAAATAGTTTCATGGAAAGAATATAAAACAAGGGATTGTTGGGTTTTTTTGGAATTTAGGGGGAAAAGGAGAGGGGTGTCTTTTGTTTAATTGCATTCTATGCACTTAAGAAGGCAAGCCATAAATAGTAAATGTAATCTACAATACACTTAAAGGTGCAGAACTTAATATGTAACATAAACAAGGCAACTGGGGATACAATCATCATAAAATCACCCCAGGACAAATAGTAATACTCAGAAATAGACCATGGATATTCTGCCTGTTGGACCTGTCCCCAGCATAACTTCAGCATTTCATTATTTTATAAAAGCACTGTATGAAAAAAAAAGATTATTTTTTTAAACATCAACAATATGCTACTTTTTTGCTGCTTATATCTTTAGATCTACCTGAAGACTTGAATATCCCAAAGACTTGTGAATAGATGCTTAACACAGGTTTTTCTTGCCAGCATCTGTAATTTTGAGGAAAAGACAGGAAATACTGTCTGATATTTGCAAAATTACTGGCTTCATTCACAGTATAGTTACACTGCTCCAGATACTCAGTGTAATACATGTTTTGAGGTATGCATAAAGTAATGATAGCTGTGGTTTCCTGGGTAAAAATGAATTTGAAAATGAGCGACTTTAGTGTCACACCCAACCATGTATAAATATCTGAATACATGGAAGATAGTCATGAAGGAACTAAGAAAATAGAAAATGTAGACAAAAAAGAAGATTGTGCTCCTAAACAAATGTTCACAATGCTTTGAGATAGAACTTTTTAACTATTCAAAAGAGACCTTTTTATGGGTGTTCATACGTGCTTCTTAATGTAGGTGAAAGCTTGGCCTTAATAATCTTAGGGTAGTGTTTAAAATGTTATAACATCACCCTGTATGCCTATGTCTGATCCAGATATCAACTTTGATTTCTCAAAAAAGACAATAAACTCCACAGAATCAAGGACATTAAAAATTATGTCTAAAAGCAGATTGTTCAAAGTTAAAATTTCTGATGTGGTCAGATAACTTCAAAGGACAAAGAAATACTGTGGAGCTGTGTAATCAGGATAAAGCTGTTTACTTCATGCCCTGACAATAAATAGTCATACTTCACAGTCATATTCAGTCTCTGTCAGTTTGAGGAATTCAAAAGTGTATCTATCTTCACAACTGACACTTGAGTGTCATTCAGAAAATACTGACTTTGGTGTAGATTACTGTTTCTTCTTACAGGAGAAGTAGAGGGAGACCCCTGTCTCTCCAGTCACCCTCTAAGGATTCAAGTAATATCTCAGTTGACAATGAGGATGTTCTCTTGAGTATTGGAACATGGAACCATTCATGTACTTAACCTAGAAAAAATTGTTATTTCTTCTGTGTACAAGGAAGCATTAGTATAGGCTTCTCCCTTATGGTTAATTCTCTGCTTGTGAGTAAACGCCATTCGTATTGGCAAATTCAGTTTAGGTTTTTCCTGACCAGAAAGGATTTGAACTATGTTTCTTAATCTACTTGCTAGGTAGCTTTTCTGGGCTCTATGTCTAACAGAACATTCCAGAAACTTAGAGTAGCCTAGAGAGCTCCCGCTGTAGTTGAGGAAAGAGTCTTTTCCAAGAGTGATGCAGAGACAGCTCAGTCATGCAACTTTCTGCAGAAATCTAAAGGGAATCTCTCCCTCTATTAACTACTTGTGGAGTCCAGGGACTATACCTTCCGTCCACTTTGTCTTTTCTGTGGCATTTTGTAGAAATCAGTAATTGATGCGAGGATCAGAGCCCAGCTGTCACAGTTCTCCAGAGAATAGATAAATTACCAGGATGAATTTTCCTTTCTTCCACACACACTGTCTCAATGACTATTTTATGCCAGCTGGAATAGGTCCAACAGGAATAATCCCCGTCTCTCTTATATTGCCATACACCTGCATGGCTAGAGAATTTCCCAGAGAGGCAAAAATCCAGGTTCTTATCCATTCTTATCCAGTTCAAGTGGTGATTTTAGCCCATTTACACTTTAGTCAGTAAAATCAACATAGGCATTGGTCATAATGACTACTGAGATAGTTGTCTTCAAGTTCATTCTGTAGGTGCAGCAATTCTTTGTAGAAAATGATTGAGTATGTCATACAGAGAGAGTTAAAGTAAAGTTATTTCCCCAGCCTGCTGACTGGAAATTCACCTAGGAAGGAGGTTAGCTGAACTCTATCGTTGCACCAGAAAATACTAACTGAATTTAATCTATTTATAGCTATCAGAATGGAGTATTTCATGTAAATTAAAGATCACATTCAATATGAAGCATTACTGCTTATGTTTTAGATTTTTGTCAGCAAAATTAACATTTAGGATTTGGTTTAGACTATGAGATCTCCTTTAAAACTAGCAATTCTGTTTTTGGCAGCCAGACCAAGAAATCAATTTTTCAGAGATTCTGCTTTAAAACATGTCTGTGATGATCCTTCATGTTCATACAGTGCAAGTTTCCTCAAGTTGCCTGGCTCAGCACATAGCCCAAAAACCCACGTGATGAATATGTTACTTGTATTAGAGCATTAAGCACAGTGCTATCATTTCTCAGTGTCTGATCTATTTTTATCTCACAGAAGTTCCTCTTTTAGCAAACATTGTTCTTTATGTCTTTCTGCACAGATAAAATACGAATTCCATTAAATACATGATGCCAGATCTCCTGGAATCTCTAATGTCGTGTTGCTCTCTAAACACCTTAGAAATAGCCTTAGATATGCAGGCCATTGGGTCTGAAAATGTAGAATATTCTGTTCTGTTGAGCTCTGACAGCAGGTTTAATGGTGTGTTTACTTTCCCCATCCCAACAGAATCCTTATTGAAGCCAAAAACCTCTCTTTCAATGCCACACGTGCTTTCAATGCTTACACTAACATCAAGGATTACACAGAGGAAGCTGAAAGGGTTGCCAAGGAGGCCAAGGCTCTTGCAAATGAAGCCATGCAATCGGTAAGGAAAATTGAGTAAATTGAGAAGAAGGTTTAGATTTTTTGTGGAATGTGTTACACCTGATCTCAGATCCATGTTTTGCCATCTTAAACCTTTATGTGAAGACCTTTGCTGTCAAACATTCTTCTTTCATGATCAGAAAGCTATGCCTCTGTCTACATGTATCTTCAGACAATCCCTATTTTTCCGAGCTCATGATCCTTACTTTTCTTCACCATTTTATTTACTATCCTTACTTCCCTCCTTCTGTCTTCCACCTTTTGGTTTCTGTGTATGGCTCAAGCCAAGCCAACAGCTTTGAGTCAGGAGTGTAGGCCGTTTGATATTCAATAGTGCTAGTTTAGATGTGGGTAATACATTCATTAAATATAAAGAACTCCCTACCTTAATCAACCTTCAACCTAGTTCCCTGAAAATACTTGGAGGCACTTCTCTGCACATCAGATGAACTGCATGCACCTGGCCAGAATTCTAGAAATGGAGAATTGTAGGAGGTGAATGGAAATTCTTATTCACTTTGTGAACTCTACCAGTTTTTCAGAGAAATCTTATTCTCACTTTGAGGTAGCACATGCAAATTTCCAGAGAAAATGAAGAAAGCTTTTAAAAATAGGATTGTAAGGTAAAGTCAGCTCTCCAGCCTGAGTCACAATGAGGGTCTCAGCTCCTTGATGAGCAGAAAGCATTGATAGCATAGCCAAAATTATCTTTTATGTCAGATATCAGAGGAGTTAATGGCTAATGTGTGGGAGTTGGTCAGAGACCAACAGACATGCACTTCATGTGCATACAGAAACATGAGGCAGTGACAATATAGTACGAGATTGCCTGAACTTATATTTGATATAGAAACATGTAGATGAGCAGAAATAACTTTTAGTTACAGCACTTGTACATGAATAAAGGTGGCTTGCAGAGTCCTACTTCAGTCATGAGTTATGAGAATAGCAAAATTAATCACATATTGTAAAGGTCTATATTCATCAGAGGGATAAAGTGAACTAGCCACTGCACAAATATTTTAGTATTTGTAGGCTGTTTATATTTTCAGTGGGTTTTTTTTTTTCAAATAACACTAACTACTGTTTTTATCTCTTGATAAAAAAAAATTCACCTCACACATTAGTATGTGCTAGTTCTCTGTAAATGGTTCTTTATTTCACCAGAATGTCTAATTACACACAGAAGTAAATAAGGGCCTGGTCTTTTTTGTTTTTTCCGTCTCATTAAGATTTAATACGTGCTCTCTTTTTCTCCTTTGACGACTTGGAATGAGTGGGACAGGCAGCTGTTTCACGGAGTGAACAGGGGAAAAAAAAGGCACATAGAGCAATAAAGAAACAAAGCTAGCAATTACAGGATGGTGACAAAAATGTCTGTATCACTAGGTGATTATATCTTAGAGAGAAAGGGGATTGATAATTTAAGTGATGTAGTTCAAGATGGAAAATATGATGTAAATAGAAGCAAGTGAGTAGCAAGGAAAGAGATGAAAAAATTAAGGTGATGTTTTCAGCATCTCCTTTGCATGTATTCAGTAGAGGGAGCTTGGTTTTTTTATGAGCAGTATATGTTAAATGGGGATCTAGTTGATGAGGAAGAAAATTGAGGCAGCTGATGCCTTTTAAATGTAATTGTCTTGATATAGAGGTCATTGGTGGTTTACTGTCAAATTGCTGCAGAGCAATAGATTTAGCTGTTATTTCTTAAATGATCATTTGAAGGTTTTGAGCCAGATTTTAAAAATATGTCAATTGTGAACTACAGTCATCACTTCTTTATTCTTTTTCCTTGTATTTATTTAAAGACTGTTGAATGTTTGCACGTCCTAGGTGAAGAGTTTAACTGGTAACCAGGTAAATCAGGGTCTCATTTTCTGGAGGTCCTAAGGAGATTTTAGCTGAGCTTCAGCACAAGACCAGAAGTGTGCCCTCAGTCAGGGCTGTCTGGAGAAAAATGGTTCAAAAAGTCTCCTAGAAGGCAGCACTGATGAATCTGCTCCTAGAAGGCAGCATAAGCCCCTGGAAACTGTGTTGCCAACTTTCTGAGAAGTTGCTCTGGGAAACCTGTGTAAAAGATGGAGATCAGATCTTTCCCCTCCCTATTTTTGAAAGAGCTATGTTCTCTTCTGTATGAGAGCTGTTGTGGATGCCTGTCTTCTGTTAAAGACTCTGAGTCCAGCTGTGAGCAGATAATGGAGAAAAGTGCTGTAGCTCTCTGTGCATCCCTGATCCTCACCTTTCCCATTCACTAGGAATAATGTTGGGACAGGAGAATGAAGGTTTCCCGACAGCAACAAGCTAGTGTGTGAACCAGAGATGGTAAGGACAGGTTTCGGTTTTAGGGTCTAATCTGTACATCACTGAATGTGCAGAATAGATTATTTTATAAGATTGTTTATGAGATTATTCATTTATGATTATTTACAAGAACCTTAGTGATAGCTCAAGGGGGTTTTGGTTTTTGGTTTATAATGGAAAAATGACCTCATTTTCAAATTGATCTAATGTTTCTAAAAGCATGAATGAAAAGATGCTTAAAATCCATCTTGATTACAGGAAGCCTGAGGACTGGAAAAAAATGTATTAAAAATATGACAGAAAAATTCCTTCTGAGCTTTTTATGATGGATTTGCTCTCCCTTTTGAAAACAAAATAAATTCATCAGAAATGAAAAGTCTTTAGCATTCAGGCAATTTCAGCATTCCATTAATTAGGCAGTAACTGATAGGAGTAAGGTTAACATACTCTGTTTGTATCTCTTAGATCAGAATCTTAGTTTTACACTATATAATTTTAAAGAGTGGATTATTCTTAGGCTTTTTAGAGAGGGTTTACAGGCTGGGGACTGTAGGAAGCGCAGGGGACACATCATTTTTAGGGTCCTGCTTTCTTCTCTGATTTTGACTGACTTTGGTGTAGGCGGTGTCCAGTTTCTGTTGGGTGTCTAGATTTCCTTACATAAAGCTGCCTAAATATCTTTGTGAGGATGCCCTGAGGTGGAAATAATTTTTGGTATCCATCTTCAGGACTGGTAGAAATGAGAATAACCCTATCTCTTTCATAGGAGATAACTTCACAATATAAGTGTATGTGAAAATAATTTAAGAGCAAGGCAGAACTATTTTAAACTCATTTGAATTAGCACTGAGGCCTACAAAATTTGTACCTGTATAAGTTCATGTGATCCTCAACACTGCCCCAGTGCATTTGTGCCTCTAAACTATGACTGAGACAGCACTGTTTGGGTACATAACATGGTCCCACTTCTGCCAGAAGATGAAGCTGAGATTCAAACTGCACAGGGTTTGCATGGGGTGGGTAGGGGCCATGAAGAAGGGCACAGGGAGAGGAAGGTACTATCTGCAGATTATGGACATTTTGGAAGAGACAGAATTAGAATAAATTAAATTCCAGAAAACTTAAAATTTTCAAATTTATTTTGAATCACAATTTTGTTTTTGTTTTATTTTTCTTTTTTATTCTCTCTTTTTTTTTATTACTGTATATGTCCCAATTTAGAATATAATGTCAAACTGTGTTGGCTGTAAATCTTACTAAATTGTGGTTCACTCTGACCCAGTGTCTTGCCACAAGTATCCAAACTCACACAAAGTCATAAAAAATTTGGGTTTTAATTACTGACTGCTTCTTAATTTGACATCTCATGAACCACAAGAAAAACTAGTAAAAAAAGTACGTTTTCACGATCAGATGTCCTAATTTATCCTCGTTTTCAAAATTGTTTTTAAAAAATATAAAATAAAGCTTTTGATAAGTACAAGTTTATTTCTCCCTGAAAGGGCTTTTTGAGTATTAACTTCATGCTGAAGTCTGTTTCTGACTAATTGTCAGCACATGCCCAATTACTGATCTTGATTTGATGAACTTTTTGATTTTGCATTGTAAATATGATCTTCCAGCTTCGTTTTATTGACTATAGACTGCTTCAACAGCCAGTTAACCATGCCTAGTTATATAATAGTAATAGTAGTAATAATAGTAATATATCTGATTTGACAGATGCATCTGTCACAAAATCTGGCCAAATGTTCTTCCTTCAGGAGCAGTCTTTTGTTTCACTGGATAGCTTTTTTTGATTTTTTTTTCCTGTGTTTTTTTTATATTTTGCTGTTACCAGCGCTGCTTGTTCTCATGTGGTAGAGAAAAATCTGTAAGAAGCTAACATTTTTCATCTTTTCTAATGTGTATGTTTTTGTTGTTGAAAGGAATGTTTACACAGCTTAATATTTCAGGTGAGCTTGGAAAATGGCAGTGATGTGTGCCTTAGCTCTTAAAGTCACATAAAAGTTTAAATTTACATACCATCTAAATAGAAGGGCTCTTTAATAGCTACACCCCTGTGACATGGCAACCTATATACCGAGTGATATCCCATAACAAAAAGCTTGGTTCTGGATTTTGAAAGTATCCAAAGCATTCTCTAAGATTTCTAAAAGAAAGAGAATCAGCAAGCTCACTATATGTTCTTTACAGTGTCAGAAAACATCAGAGCTTCAGCAATATGTGAAATGTCACTTCTGGGCTTGCTCATTATAAAAATAATGAATAGCAATAATAATTGTGTCATTTAATTGACACACAGTTAATTTTTGACTCTATGTATCTGCCCTGGAAAATGAAAAGTGGCTGCTTCTTAATTACATACCAGTTACAAGGCTATGACCCATGACTAATATAGAATGTTATCTGGCTGTCAGGAGTATTCTCAAAGAAATGTATTCAGTATGATGTGTGACCTGAGTTCAGGCTGACAAACTGAACAGTAAGTGGTTCAGAACCTGGAGCATTTCCTACTGACTGAAAACACTAATCTAATTTAGAAAAATCTTTCCATCTATTGATCAGTCTTTGCACTGAAGCTAGAGATGGATGTTTTCAGGAGAAAGATCTTTAAGTAGCATGATATGATGAAGGATGGTTACTTAGTAATAAAATTCTTTCAGATTAACTGCAGTTTGCCCTGCTCTTAAAACTCTATTTCTTACTTCTTTACTCACCTAGCAATTATAATGCTTTAATTTAACCACAGATTAATCTCAGTTGTCATTATTAGACTCATCAGTTCCAGTCTGGCCTGTAAAGTTTCTGTAGCTGCAGTTAGGTAGAAATACTGTATTGCATGGTGTTTTGTCCTTAGCTGGAAAGATAAATGCATATTTAAGTTGTAATACGTTTTGTTTGTTGGTTTTCGACAGTTTTGCTCTTACAGTCAAATCTGTTTCTTTAATACTGTAAGCATTGTCTCTCTTTAATGAAGTAATCTCTGATATTCTGATAAAGGGGATCTGACATTCTGTTAAAAAAAAAAAATTAGATTTTTTTTTTATTTTGGTACTTAAGAGTAGTATTATGGCAACAGGGTGTAATTCAGAGCCCACTGATGTGCATGTAAAATTCAGATGGCTGTTCGCTTAGATCATGATCACATGTCTTTTGTGACCTCAGACTTTCCTGTACGTTTGACACTTTGTTTGTTTGCCTACAGACATCTGATCCTCAAGGATCACTGAAGGATGGTGCCAGGAGCTCTCTTCAGAAAAGCTTCAGGGTCCTTAACAGAGCCAAGACCTTAGAAAGTGATGTTAAAGGTATGTGCAGTATATGGCATTCAGAACCACTAAATAGAGGGAAAAAAAAGTTGTGAGACTGCTATGCTTCTGGTATGAAGAAACTTTATAGGAAAAAAGTAGAATTCATTACCTGATTTGAAACTGGATAGTGTATCAATGCAAAGGATTCTCCTGTTTTGTGTATAGGCATTATACAGGAATAAGGGCAAGAGTAAGGGCAAGAAAAAAGAAAAATATTCCAGGCTGGGTTTTGAACTTGTCATAAAGATGATGCATGAATCTTCCCCATCCTGCTACCTTAGTTAAACCAAGAAACTAATAAGAAACTTGTTTCTTATTAGAAGCAAGACAGATTTTCATAAAAGAGCCCTGTCTTCCATGTTTTTGCATGCAAAATTATCTTTGGCCTCTTGGGAGATACATTAAACAGAACACACAGCATAAAGGAGGTGATCTATACAGCTTAGTCATCTTTTGGCTGTTATTACACTTTAATTTAGTTTTGGCAGCTCTAGGATTTCCAACTTCAGAACTAGTATTTCCAACTGTAGAACAAGTAAACATAATGTTTAATAAGGTCATAAAGCATAATGTTTCATAAAGTCAATTGCATTTCATTGTCATACACTGTTTGAAAGTGAAAAACATCATTATTTTCTTGTAGCTGAACTGAGGGAAAGAAATGTGTCTGAGTTACTAGTAAATCTTGGATGTATATTTAGAGTCTTCTTTATTGCAGCTCTCTTCTTCCAGATTCAGTACAGATTTGGAGCTAGATGAACGTATTTCAGGAAATATGTTATAGAAAATCACAAGACTATGGGAAGAGGCCAGTGTGCAATTTCAGTATCATGGCTGAAGTGGAAAAAAATAGCGATGCTTTCTGGTCGGGCATGCAAACTGCTGTAGTTTGCTGCAGCTGGAGTATAAGAAGCACTAAAAAGGCTGCACCGCCTCTCCGGTGCCGCAGCTCCAGTGAGCTGACTTGGCACCTCAGAGTGGAGCCCACAGCTCTGTCTGCACCCCAGGCAGGTGGAGTAAAGCACAGTGCCCTGTTTGCAAGGACAAATCAAAATAGTGTCTCTACGAGGATGGACATGAATTCCATGTGTCCACATGACTGTTCAATTTAACCCTGAGACAAGATATATTACAACTATTACTGCAGAGAATTTTGAGAAAAGTTATTTTGCCATTGTACCAGTGAAAATTTTAGTTGATAACAGTTTCATAATTCAGAATAAAATGTCCAAACAGCCTAAAGATTCATAAAGCAAGCAGGCAGGAATGCTTTAAATGCACATATTATATCTTTGTTTTTCCCCAAACTGAAGGGTAATGAGATGGAGCTTTCCTTAATGCTCCTCAATGTATCTTAGAGTGCTTCATAAAGACAAACATTCTGAACTTGGGCAGTATGCCTTTTTACATCTAATAAAACATGTCCATGCTCCACAGCTAGACCCATGGAGATCAGTTAACACTGTGCCCAGAATGTAGATGTGTAAGAAGAAAACACAATGACATACTTCTATTCCCCACACTGCTTTTGCACCGAAGTGGTGATATTATTAGTATTGTGAATAACATAGAACATATGTTACTGGTATTATGAACATAATCCCTTCTGGTTGTCTTGATTTTCCCATGAGAGAAATTGGGAGTTCAGTGTCAAACTAAGAGAAAGGTATTTTCTTAGAATCCTTATAAAGCCACCCTTTCAGAGTCTCAGCTGGAAGTGCAGGATGGCTAATGGGCACTCTATAAAGATCTGGTAGACAGAACTAATCACTAGCTTAAAATTTCTCTGTCTGCACTACAGGAAGTACATTAGTTAAAGTAATGAAGACCCATAAGCCACTCAACTAATATACACTCCAAAAATCCCACCTGGGCCGTGATAGAGATGGGAGTGTTTTCTTCCTACATTATGACATTCCCCTGATTTGTGGCCAATTACCTGAGTTATAAAATGGCTGTTAATCATGGAAATGCTTTATATTACAACCAAAGACTGCTGAAACAGTCCTTACAAAGCAAGGCTTCTGACAGAAGCTATTAAAATGGAGATTTAGTCATTTATCTCTCTGTGGGGTTAGGAGTTAAGAATAACCCTGGCGGGAGAAGCAAAATCTGTATGTAGTACTGTGGCTAAGCAGGAATTTTGAAGTTTGGGCTACCAGTGAGTAAATGCTGATCAATGAAAAGTGAAAATAAGATGCATAAACAGCTCTTCAGCTGGAGACTGCTGTCAGGTGGCTACTGAAATTCTGCTAATGTAATTTCTTTTGCTTAAGAATTGACAACTTGAGGGGGACGTATCTTGTCGGACAACACGTGAATATTTTTAGCTAAAACATTTTCCAGCTGATAGATCCCTTGTTTGTGTATTCTCCTAAAAAATTCAGCTTGTGACCCATGTTCCTCTTTATAGGATGAGACTGTGGGGAGCAAGAATGCTATTTGGAAGAAGTAACACAAAGATAACAGAAGGGGATGTGTGTAATAGTCAGCTAATTTCTGCAGTCTCCAGTCAATAAAAACAGATGCATTTGTTGCTCCTTGGTAGATTTCCAACTTTAGCCTGGTTTTGGGATACATGCATTTGGTAGCATAACCTTACTGATGTTTTCTTGGAGAGTTTCATGTGGAAAAACTGCATTTATCCATACTGTCAGAAGATACCTGCTTCCACTTTGTTCCTCTATATGTATATTCCGCCATGATGGTGGCACATCATCAGCAATTAAGCAGTGTCACCTATTTATGTGATCTGCAAAGACTTGTAAAACCTTGTGTCTCATAAATCACTATGCAAACAGTAAATAACTAAATTCCTGAGTTCATCTTAAGATGAAGTATATGCACACAGCTTTGTTTGTCTTCATTTGATTCCACTTCATTGATGCAGAGGAATAAGGGATGATGCTGTATCCTGTAATGCTCTGTTTAATATAAACAGAAATTGAAAATCATTGTGCGTGTTACCCAAGACAGCAAACACAAAGGCTGATACATGCAAAGTCCTTCAGGTTCCTGCTTACTCTTTAGGCTTTAGTTTCAGCAATGCGTGACTAGTTTTGCTGATTTGAGCAACAAACAGTGCATTTATTGGCATCTTTTGCCATCTCTGTGCAGAGCTAATCAAGTGAAAACAGGATTGAGATAAATGTCTCATGATACTGCTCAACCTACACTTTAATGAGAGTTGACAGTGCCTGGCATATTTCAGTGGAGACCTACTAACTTCTTCCAAGCTGGATAGGTTCTGTAGTTTGGAGAAAGTTAGACTGTAGCTGCCTGTATTTTGAATAACTTTAGCACTTAACTGGAGGATCTTGGGCCTTCAAATCATTGCCACAGCTTTTTTCATAAATGCTAATAATTAAAGGATGTAGAAAAGCTGACGTGAGGTCAGTTCTGTTTGTGATTCATGCAACAGATTAGTCCAGTGCCTAGTGAAGTTGTCATCTGGATTAGAAGGTAAGAAGTTACTTCAAAATAAAACCTAATATCTCTGTGAAAAATGAACAATTTTCTTGAAAAGCTGACACAGGACATAGTTTGTCCTCACTTCTCATTGTGTAAAAGCCTCCCTAGGAACACTTCTTTATTATTGTAACTTGTAAAAACCCACCCACAGTAAAACTATATTTGAGGAATTCAAAGAAAAAACATTAAACAGGTAAAGTCTGAATGTTCAATTTCAGAATTTCTAGGGAAAACTTCCCTTGTTAAATTCCATAAAAACCAGTTTGCTGCTATGGTTACAAAGCTGAAAACAGAAGTCTGGGAACATAATTCTTCAGAAATATAACTGGCAGATAATTAGCATGCTGGACAGGCAGAGTAGAGAGGAGAAAAAGAGAAAATTTAAAAGTATGTTTCAAAGTCAGAACACCACCACCATAAATGAGTCAAACATCTCAGAAATATTGACAGACTTTATAAACACTAACATTCCACTAGAAACACCAAGAAATCATCAGGCAGACCATGATTTCAGAATTAAATGTTAGAAATTAAAGCAGTTTTTTGGTATTATTACTCAACAGAAAAAGAACTCAGATAAAATCTCAGGGCATACAAGACCAAAATCTCATGAGTGCATCTTGGTTTAACAATATCACATTACCACTAGCCTCCTTCAGCAGCAGGGACATAACCTATCATTTAAAAATAAAGCTGTTTTTAGAGAGAAGAATGATCATACAGTATATGCAATTCTTCCAAACTTTATTCTAGCACTAACTGTGCCTCTCACAGTTCACACAAATGTCCTGTTCTTCTGCAGAGCATTTTGCAGGAGTGAAGGCTTATGTCCAAACACTCCTGCAGTCCTGTGTGGCACTGGAATTCAAATAAAGCAAACAGATTTCTTCCTCGCACTGACATGACATTTCAAAAGGTCTAACAACAAATACATAGTTCTCATTTAAATTCCATGTGCTGTTTCAGTCTTCCTATAGCCTTCAAAAATTTAATTAATAATTTCTTGTAGCCAATATAAATTAAGTTTGATTTTTCTCTTTACAAATTATTCCTTGCACATCTAATTTAAAGAAACCATACTTTTTTAGAATTTGTGGTATTTGAATCAGATGTTTATTTTTAAATGACTTGCCACATACCTGAAGGTCACAATCATTCTGAGCTTCTGTTCTACAAATTGTTCTTCTGTTCTGGCTATGAAGCCCAGTGATGTTAAATTAGTTTCCCAGTAGGATACGTCTTTAAGGTAAGAAATCACCAGCTGTCTGTTCCAAAGAGCTTCCTATTGATCCAGAAAAATAATGAAAAATGCCCACTACAATAGTAAAACTAATAAGTAACTAACAGGAATAAGCACTAACTACATTTTTTAGTCAAATTTTACTTCTGAACTTTTGGATAATGTCTTTTCCAATAGCCATAAAGTTTAGCTGGAATCTCAGTTTTGGGACTGTTGCATTGCTCTACTGGATAGGGTTCTAAGGACCCTGCATATATTTTATTCAAAGTAAATGCTAAAAAATGTAAATGTAAATGAGGACATCAGTTTCAACTGTGATGTACTAAATATGACACACCTGTGCCTTTGATTTGTACTGTTTTTTACTTAGATTTGAACCAGTTCTTAACTATGAATGTTTTTTATTAGGTGAGTGTTTTCCCAAAGAATTTAGAATGTTTATTTCATAATAACCTGTCATTAGTGTATTCATCTCATATTGACAATTAGTGATCTTTTATTTTTCTTGGATGTTATGTCAACATCTTTGAGAAAATCCAAGAGAACTCGGCTCTGGACACTCCAATTGTAACAGCAAGCTGGCCTAATGGGTCTTGTTTCATTCACACCACATTCAACTCATTCAGCTCAGGCAACCACCTCAAGAAGAAAGGCAGTAGTTTAATCTAGGAATCAAGACTATGACTAACATCACAGTTGTTGAATCTATCATTGGATCATTGTGTGAATTTGCCTAAATCATATCATAACAAGTTCTTCCCTCTGCACACCTTTGAAAAACCCATGATAAATGCATACAACACTACAAGAAACTCAAACATTTAGATACTATGGAAGCAGGGAACTTAAAGACACTGGACAAGATGATCAGTGAATCCACAAGTTCTGATGGACTTCCTTATTTACACAATTTCATATCTTAACAAAAAATTAATGGCTTGCTTGTTTTTATGCATTTTAAATTATGTGCAAAGAAAGGATAGTGAAAATAAAGAGTTAAAGTATCTGTACCATATGTCTTTTTTATAGAAAAGGATGATAATCTGGACACCACACAAAATAGGCTGAAAGATGCTGATGAGAAGAATTCCATTCTCTTGAGAGCATTGAATGAAACCTTAGGAAAGCTGTCAGCCATTCCTAATGGTAAGTTGTAAAAGTGTTGCAATGTTTGACTCAGTCCTCCTCTTTCGTTTCTTTTTCCATCACTTAACATTTGTCTCATCAATCTTTGCCTGTGTCCACACTTTGACCACTGGCTGTTATAAGACAAAGATGAGCAATGTGAGAGAGAAAACTGAACTGAAAAGATTTACATGGTATCAGTTAGAATTTAGGGATGGTAAAGGTCACCATGCTTCTGCAGTTTTCAGATTTCTGAAAGAAAAAAATTATGATATCAGAAATTATGATACACTCTGAGACAAACAGTATTTTGTTTATATATGAAACATGTTTTTGAAGCTAATCTTTAATGAAACACTATAATACATTTCCAGCCACTGTTTGGTGTTGTGCATATTTTTTAGCCTGTAAATTGCTTAGAACTGCAACAGGTTTTCCTCAATGGACTCTGAAGTACTGTGCTCTTTCGACCTACCCCTGAAGGCAAGGGTGACTGAGGTTCTTGTTAATAGATCCCTTGGGATAGATTACAGTGAAATGACACTGATTGACCAGTGCAGATAGATAGATAGATAGATAGATAGGCAGATAGGTAGGTAGATGTATAAGTACATGTATATAGACATATAAATATGACAGGTGAATTTTAGAACAATTTGGTTGCAGTAGAAAGGATGTATGTAGCCATTTTGATTATTAATCATAGAAACCTGACAATAAAAAAAAGAAAAAATGAAGGAGAAGAAGAGAGAAAGAGGAGAGAAAAAGAAGAGAGGGAGAGGGAGAGGGAGAGGGAGAGGGAGAGGAGTTAGTGATACCACACACGTGGATCCATCAACAAAACTTGGCTGTTGCAATTTATATGTACCTTGGTCAAAGTGATGGTCATAGTCTTGATTCATCTAGGGTGGGAGAAACCCCACACAACATAAAGTTCAGTGGGTTAAGGTGCATTCAGGTTCAGGTGGGAACTCCCATGTACCTCCCCTGGAGGGTAGTTTTGAACTGTTTGATGCAACACTATGGCTCATGTGCTGTCCTCTGGTGGAAGGTCACAGAAATGAGTCTGTGGTTTTTGGTGGTTTGTGACCCCTTCTAAGACATGACTGCTCTTACTCCTGCCAGTATAATGGGCCATTGAGGTCGTCTCAGAAGCAATGAACACTTCAGACCTGTGTGATTCATGCCCCCAGGCAGGCCAGTTTTATACCACAGTCCTTTGGCATGAAGGAAAGCATTGTCCCACCTCCTAGGATTTACTTCTTATTGCCCTTTTTCATAATCTGGCTCAAAAGAGATCTCTTTGCTAAACAAAGGTCGCTTTGTTTTGGTAATGCTGTGGTGATGGGTGAGACACCTGGGCTGTTCTTATGCAAATCAGAGTTTTCACCACCAAAAAACCCAAAAACTCTGCTCCCCCCTTACTTTAGGAGTTAGTTTAGCAACTTGCTGCTTTTGCCAATGGACCATTGCTTGAGTCATTAACCTTCAATATTTCAGTGTCTCACATGTGCGCAATTGTTATTCCGTAGAAATTTTTTTTAAAGTGTAATACTCATTAAAATCCCAAAGTCCTGGTATGTTAGCTACTTTGTATTCTGATAGCAAGGGACAGGGAGCTACAACGCACTTTCATTATAATGGATAGTGAAAGATAAAATGAATGTTTTTAAAAATTAAATGTTTTAAATCAATCTGTTTTGCTATGATTTTCTCTCCAAGAAGCACTTCATAAACTGAAGTTTCACTTTAATAAAAGTCTCTGAAGAAAATCTGTATTCTGTCTGATTTCTGATGGTCTGGAAGGTTCAGACTGCTAGTAAACCCTTAGCATGAAAAACAATTTACAAAATTCATCTTGTACATTTTTGTGGCTTTAAGATTCCAGCTAACTGAAAAGTTTTGATTTAGATTTAATAGTCCTCGAAATCAGGACTCACAAAATAGATTGTTTAATATTTCATGCTCATCATGTACCATTTCTTGGGTTTTGGTCAAGATACTGACATGAGTATTTGTCTTGAGCACAGATAGATGTCTTAGTCAACCAAAATGGACCTCTAAATCCTGTTAACCTTAGGACACATAATACTAGTAAATACTAGTAAAAGTAATATGAATTATGCAATCATTATCAATGTAATAAACTCTTGGCAGATTAGAATTACAGGATGCTTACTCTTGGCACAAGGACACTCATAAAAACAAGCAGATGAGTATTAAGAATGAAATTCAGAGCAAATAAATGGTGTGGATAAGAAAATGGAGTAAATTAGTTGTCCAACAGGAAAATGATCAAATGAGGAAGGGAGAGAAAATGACCCCGTCATATATCTTGTTCAAGGATTTGAGAAAGCAGAGAGCAGTTTAAACATAATTCTTGTGTCCCTGCTATACTAAGAGTCAGATAAAAGCAGAAGGATTCAGAATGGGATAGACAGATCACATGTGGGACAAGGACCCAGGTGCAGAGATGGCATAATTTAAGGTGTGGCTGAAAATAATTTGTGGGACTAATAGAGAGAAGTAACAGTAACTTCAACTTTCAGCCAGAAAGGTGCATGACCCCTTAAAATGACCCAAAAGGAACTACTTAGATATGATGGGAAAAGGCAATCAAGACATTCTTTTCTTTCTCTTGGCAGGACTGACAATGATAATGATTTATTAAAGATTCCGTCATATTTCTGAGGTGCTGTTGTATTTTGGGGGTTTTTCAGAACCAAAACTTCAGAAATAAAGGTGGAGTTTTTTGGAGCACAGATACATATCTGTACTCCAAAAAGTTACTTCTGCACTCTGGACAATCATTTAATTATAATTTTCTACCTACAGATACAGCTATAAAGATACAGGCAGCCAAAGACAAAGCAAGACAAGCCAACGATACTGCAAATGATGTCCTGGCCCAAATTAAAGATCTCAATCGGAACCTCCTGGGCTTGAGAAAAAACTACAGTAAACTTACAGACGATGTGGCCAAAACAAATGCAGTTGTGAAGGATCCAGTCAAGAACAGTAAGTTTTTTTTTTTGGGTTGTTTGGTGGTGGTTTTTTTCAGTTTGTATGTTTCATTTCATATCTCAAAATGAAACAGAGACGCTCCAGAATTTCACTTATATAGCATTATTACAGTATGCTGGGATAAAAGGACTCTCTATCTGGGCTTCTATTTTCTGGGCTTCTTATATGTGAAAAGGGACCAGAGGTCCCTTTGAACACTAAGAATTCTGTGAAAAGAATTTTAAATCTTAAAGACTAGTGCTAGTAGTTGCAAGAAAAGCTAATGTCAGAAGGATGAACATGTAATGGATAGATTTGTTCCTCAGATTACTTTTTAAAGTGTTTAGGAGGTGAATAATCAAAGATTCTGACTGGCAATTCACTGGCTGATTCAAGAAAAATACCCTGCACTAAATTTGTCTTCAGTCTATCAGATAATCAGTCCTTGGAGAAATGCATGACTTCTTTCATATACATTACTATTTTTGGTAGGACACTGAAGACATTTAAAAAAAGGAAGAAGATTCTGGGAATGTGGTCTTTCTTCTGCTTTTTTCCCTTTTTTTGCCATGAATTCTCCTATCAAGTGTGACAATGACTTTAGCATTTTCACATTGGTTAGGATGGATAAAAATGAATTCTATATTACAACACATTTTATGGTAGATTGCTAGACCATCTCTCATATAGGAGTACACAGCCACAAAACTAGTGTCTTTAGAAAATGTATGAAGAACTAATTTCTCAGCTATTCTGGGCTCCTCAGATTGTTCTCAGCATTATGAAGCTGAGCACCTGAAAACACACAGTTTAGGAGGCTGTCATTCTCATTCTGTGGACAAATATCCTCTGCCAATTGTTGCTGTACAGGTGAAAGAAGTTAATCTCCCATGGCTGTTTGTCACTGCCTGCCTAGTGCAAGTTCCTCTTCGCTCATCAGCTGAGATACATGTGTGAGCCCCAGTACCACTGCCATTGGGTGCATACAGGTTTAGACAATATGTAAAGTAGTTATTGATTGAAATGGTGTGGTTAGATTACAGCAGACTGTAGAACCAGCAGATCTGTCTTTTACAGGGTAGTGGGAAACAACTGAGAAGCAGTCTTAAAGCAGTCGTTTCTTGGCACTGCTGAATCTAGACTAGGCCATCTGTCCCTGCTCGAGTACTCTGATCCTGTGTCTACCTTAGCACTTTAGTTGAGATCAAGAGTGGTAATTTAAAATTGAAAAATTAAAATCTCTTTATTATCCCCAGTCACCATTATTTTGTTTGCATTGAAGACTGGTCTTAACACTTGAAAACTGTTTTGTGTCAGATGAAGCTGAGGTGTGAGATGTTCTCCAGAAGTATACTTCTGTCGTTCTCCAAATGTTAATGGATACTCAGATTACACAATGAAAGTAATGTAGGGTGAACCATTCCAGATGTATGAAGTGAGTAGGTTGGCATTCATGAAATAAATGAATAATGAATAAATGAAAAAGTAGACATAGCCTATATCTATACTTTATGTATACTCTAATATGTCAAAATTCAGGTGCTGAATTCTCATTTTGATAGATACGAAGTATTTAAAAGGTAAAAAGTTATTTATAGACTCATCCTGTCCCTTACTTTACTTCACATGTCTTCAGATCTTCAAAACATTCTCTTATGTTATCTTCTATCTTCTTATGTTATCCTCTGTTTTTTTCTCTTTTTGTCTCCATATCTTGCCTGCAGAAATCTGTACGTATATTTTTCTTACTTGCAGCTTACAGTGTGCATTTTCTAGTAAACAATGACTCATTGCTTACCATCAAAGCCTCTGCATGGTCCTCTGTGTTTCACATTCATTGAAATAGCTAAAGAGTTACTTTTTGAAAACTTTGAGATAAAGTGATTTGGTAGCTAGTTTATCTTACATGAAACCTTAAAAAGCATTTTGAAGGTTTTGGTATGAGTGTTTGGGTCAAAAAACTAGATATGCAGTTTTTCTTGCTTTATCTAAACATTATTTTTATTGTTATTATTATAATTACTATTATTTTTATGTAATATGCATCTTTCTGGTAAATGCATGTTTGTCCCTTTCAGTGTCATCCACAAAAGCCCACATCCTCATTCAATCCAAGTGTTGCAATCAAAAAAAAAAAAATCAAACTCATCTGCTGATGAGTTGTCAAAGAGAGTGTATTATTCACTAGTTGTAGGTTGAGGGGCAAAAAAGTAATTTGAGGCTTAAAGAAAGACAAAAATATTTTAGGAAAATTATTTAGTTCACCTGAACAAAAAAAAAAAAAAGAATTTGCAGTTTACTGACACTATTTTTAAATCTGCTTTCAGTACACATATAGAATTTTAAGCTTGTGACCAGAATAAAACCTTTTTGTATTTGTGCCCATTATAGATAGTTCAAGAATTCATTTCAAGTTAATTTTAACCCAGTAATTTCAGAAATTACTTATGGAAACAACCCAGTTTTCATTAATCCAGCATTTTTCTTCAAAATTTGGGGTTCTTTTCAAAGAAGAAAGCAAATATTTCATTCATAAACTCATAAATGTATTTTGCTTCAGGAAATGTTTTCCATAACTATCATCCTGACCTGAAGCATAGTTATGTCTTCAAAATCCTGCTTTAACACCAATGTTTGCTGCTATTGCTACTTTAACTTGATTCTAAACATTCTGAAATTGCCTTATTCTGTTCAGTTAGCTTTCTGGCCTGTGTGTACCTCTTAGTGGCATATACAATCTCCTGAGCATTGTGTATGCAGAATTTTCTTGGATTTTTATTATTGCAATGTATAATTCGTCTCTGACACTATTCTCTAAAGCTCTGCCTTGTTCTTTCTTATGAAGTTGCTGATGCAGATTCCAGTATTAAAAACCTAGAAAAGGAAGCTGATCGCCTGCTAGATAAAATCAAGCCAATCAAAGAACTCCAGGATAACTTAGGGAAAAACATTTCTCAGATAAAAGAGCTGATAAACCAAGCTCGGAAGCAAGCCAATTCGGTGAGTCCCATTTCTCAAAGAAAAATGACCTTTTGAATATTGATCGGATTTTATTTTCTACTTTTCATTTCTTTTCTACAGTGTGAATCCTTCCTAATTCTAAATATGTGTAAAGAGAGCAAATAATGGAGTATAATTTCTCAGGAAAAAAGAGAATATTCTGATGATTATCACTCTGTGTCTTGTTTCTTCATTTAAAACACGCACTTGTAAATGAATAACATCTGTAGGAATGAATCTCAAAAGATTATTTTCAAGAAGTTTTTTAGGTCTTAATAAAGCAGAAGAGTCATAATATCACTGACTTTTTGTGAAAGCAAAAATGTATTTTTCTGCTTCAGCACTGATATTAAGCCCCAGATTTCATTTCATAGACCTTGCATTACTCAAGAATGACACCATTTCAGACTCACTGAAATTGATGAGTATATCTGCTTTTCCCATGTTTTTCATTTTTCTCTGTCCAGTAGCAGCACCGAAGTCTTGATCTTAAGAATATATTTCTAGTCCATTTAGCGAGTTTGGAATTCATCTCCCAGTTGATTCAGTAATATTGTCAACTCTAGGATTATCTGGTTAATACTGAGATTATTCAGCTTGTGATTTAAATAGAAAAGGAAAAAGAATCTTGTAGATGATACTTGAGAAATCTTCCTCAAAAATGGTTGAAAAATAGTTTAAAAAATAAACATAATAATAGGATACTGGGAAAGAAGTGATAGGATAAATAGCAGGATACCGGTGAAAGAAGTTTTCACCACATATGTGATGAAATCTGCACAGAGCAGAAAGACAGGCTACAGTAATGATATGTTTTGTTACATTCATTTCCTGTCTGAGGGCTTTGAAGTACTTAACTGTTCAGCATTTCTGAGATAAGGAAATTAGGGTTTGGTCCTATAATGGATCTCTTTTTAGTAGAGTTTGCCATAAGCATAAGGTAATACCATTATGTACATTTCCTCTAATGCATAAACATGTCTAGCTGGGATTGAAACACCATTGTAATGTCATTATGTCTGTGCTGGTGTTATGAAAGCAAACAGTAAAGTGTTTTTATCTGTGCTCAGTGCCTGAGGAAACCAATACATGGATCCAAATGCATGTGTCACTCAGCTGTGGAAAAAAAACTTAGTTATGAATGCCAGCTCCATTAGGGACTATGTAAAAGCAGTGATAGACATAACTGTTGTTTTAAAAATAGTTGTGAAAATATGTCTTAAATTGGCATAATCAAAGATATTACAAGGGAAAAATAGATAATTATGACTACCCAACAGCAATATGCTGTAATTCCTTCAGGAATGCTGCTTATTTCCTAGCTGCATATTGTACTAATAGACTATCTGTACTGCTGGAATTCCACTGTTACTTGCATTACACCAGTATATCTTGTAGCTATTTTTAATCTACACATTTCGTCCTTTAAATGTCAATTCCAAAGAGATTTTATTTCCTTTTGCTAAACAATCCCAGAAAGAAAATTAAATTTCTACCTTTTTTGCATATCCAAGCAACTCCCTGGTACATGAAACAGAAAAATGTGAAGGAAGAAAAAAAATATAATAGTCTTATACTTATTTGGAAGCATCTACAGTTAATTCTGAAATAATAAGCAGTGAACTGAATTCTTTCTGTTATGCTTTTTTTTTGAAGATCAAAGTGTCTGTGTCCTCTGGAGGCAATTGTATTCGCACATACAGACCAGAAATAAAGAAGGGAACGTACAACACCGTCATTGTCAATGTGAAGACTGTTGTTGCTGACAATCTGCTTTTTTACCTTGGAAGTGCCAAGTTTGTGAGTCTGTCTCCTTGCCTTTCGTGTCAGAGTTGCTCTATCAAATCAAACTACTGGCAAATAAAAAAGATGAGAAAGGCTTTTTTTTCACCCAGAGGCTTCAAAGCAATAGTAGAGGGTCTAAAATAATCTAGACATTTACTATCTATGGTATTAATATAGAGATTTCTAAAATACGACCAGCAAATTTTTTACATATATCTTTATTTTAACTAGATACAAAATAGCAGGCTTGTACATGAACTACATTAGAGCTTTAAAATTCACAGTGCAACCAGAGTAATTTTGGAGTGGGTTGTGGGTTTTCCTTAGGGAATGAAGTAGATAATGATATTGCATCTGTCAAAGCTCCTATTTATTGTAATTTTAAGTCAAGACTACAATTTCAAGCATAATAATGGTGAATGATTCAGTTTCCCATGAGGCCTGTAGCAGACAGACTTCTAGAACAACCAATAATATTTCAGTAAATGGAAAAAGTGTTCTATTTTCCAATATTTCCAACATGTATTTTATTTACCTAATACAAAATGAAAAGGCTAGATGGCATCATGTATCTCGATATCTTTCTGTCATCCAATGGATGTTTCATAGTGTTCCTCTGAATTAAATCCTTCTATTAATGGCTGCAATATTAACATTATTTAAGTCTGGCAGTCATTTGCTGCATATCAGTGAAAGAAATAATTTTCCATCTTTAGCTTAAGATTCTTTGTTTGAACCAATAAAAACAGGGAAAAGAGAGTCTCATTTTAGAGCAACATGAGAATTAATGTTAATTCTCTACTGTGTATGTTTGGGTTTCTGGTGCCTCATTAGACCTTCTGAAATGTTCTGGAAAACTTCCTTAATTAAAGTATGAGATCACTTCTATTTTCATGTTTTGCATGTAGACTGACTTCTTGGCCATAGAGATGCGCAAAGGCAAGGTGAGCTTCCTGTGGGATGTGGGATCTGGAGTTGGAAGGGTAGAATATCCAGATCTGACCATTAATGATGGCTTTTGGTACCGGATTGAAGCCTCTAGGTGAGTAATATTTCACTTCCAAGATTTTATAAAGCATGGCTACGATGAGAAATTCTAGTCTGGTTTGCAAAAAGGTTTTGGACTTGCATTTGTTAGTGCCAAAAGTGTATACACGATGTTACTATGTATAGTGTATACACTATGTTACTATTGAAATGTCTATTATTCTCTCTCAAGAATTTACTTTAATCACATATTTCCCCTCTAGCATCAACAATCTATGACTCCTTATATTTCATCCCTTTTGTTTATGTATCACTCTATTGATTGTCTTCTTCAACTAGCTTACTTTTAAAATCAGTTACAGGTTTTGGCACTCGAATAACTACTATTCTTTTCTCCTTGAATTTTAAAGAGGAGCAGCTTTTCTGAATTTCTGGTCTTGATACAGTACTGCAAGTGAATGGTCTGTCACACAGCAGTATCTTGATTCTTACTCAGAATGCCATTCCCATAGGCAAAATGTCTTATCAAACTGGAAATATTTATGAAAGATACAGTTCATGAAAATTGAAGGAGAAGATATTCTGGAAAGTTAAAATATATTTTGTAATTTGAGATCAGCTATTTAATGTCTTTGAACTTTGGAAATACAGCTACATAAATGTTCAAATCCCAAATTTGTTAGCTGAAGTTTGTATTTCCCATTCAAGTAGCAAACACGTGCCATATGGTGTAGTAATCACAGCATAAGGATTGCATAACTCTATAGCCTTTATCCTGAATAGATCTTAGTAATTTAGATAACATCAGCTGTACCATAATTTGATAAAAAACTGAGTAATTTCTCCTGCATCATTACAGTTAATTTCACATAGTATTAATCATAGAATGGATAATATAGTTAGAAAATGAGAGAATGAAGGAGAAAGAAAACAAAGCACTCTAATTCTGGTAACATGCATAGCTCCCAGAGGAGGAAATGGCATTCAGTTTAAATAATTTAATGAAATCACAGAAATCAGCCATTCAGAGCAGAGAATTAAATAAAATTATGGCACAGTCTCCAGAAGCTGGCTTAATGAAACCTTAGTGCTAGAAAAATACAAACTGGGTTACAATACAAATTGTTGAAATCTTCACCGGTTCATATTATGCATATCAAAACAGCTTCATGACACAGTAATGCCAGGCTTTCATTTACAAGAAAGCTGCTTCAGCAGAATATGTAGCCAGAACACGGTATAAAATTCACACATCCTACAAAAGCCCATTACCTATTAGCTGGTTGTTCTGGATATATAGGATGTGCATGCTATTAGTTTTGAACAAAGTGCTGGATCAGCAATTTAGAATGATTACAGCTGCACAAATCAGAAGTACAGAGAGGTGTTTAGGAGAATTACATTGCAGAGGCATTAGGTGGATTTGTGGAATTAAGATGAAGAGCTTGGGACTGATTTTGCATTCTTAAGGCAGACTTCACAAATCACATACCCTTATGGAAGAGTCTTCAACTCTGAGCATTTTAGTCCATTTAATAGCTCTACTCTAACTCCCTTCCTGACTTGTTTGAGAGTTTTACTCATTTCATTCCCTCATATATTTTCTCCAAATTTCTGCTCAGTTCAAGCCACAGACTTTTTCAGCCTGGCAGAATGGCCTGAGCAGCTGGAGCAGGGCATCTGCTTAGAATGAGGACATAAAATGAAATTCTGGCCTTACTGAATTTTGGTGTTTTCAGTGGTGACAAGGATTGGCAGTAATAATGATATGGTGTTAAACCCACCATAGGTTGATAGCCATTCTTAAGAATCCCAAACACTGTGGCACAGAGGTTTGAAAATTCTCAAGTTCACTTAGCATTCTAAATGAAATCTCAATATGAAAAATTGAGACTCAACTCTCACTGTTGAGTAATGGTCAGAGATGGTCAGTTTATGCATGCACCAAAATTTCCAGTTAGTTAGACTAAATTGATAATTACTGCATCACTTTTCCAAGGACACTTTTAATTTTCATCACCTTTTTTATTTAAAGCATACTGATCCTTTGCATTTTATTGTATATACAGATGTTATAATGGAAATACCTTGAGTTTTTTTTATGGACTTGCAATAAAATTTGTTTATTCCTATAGGACTTTCTAAAGGTATTCCCTATACTTTGATGGTACAGAAGTTTAGCAAATGTCACTTACAAGTTACTTACCTGCTTACAGAAGCAACTCTGATTTGCATTAACAACTGCAATCAATCCAAGTACCAATTAACAAAGGAAAATCTGGCATAACAGTATGTGACAAAATGATTTAAAGCAGATTTACAACATGCAAATAGTGTCAATTTTGTGAGACAGTCAGATGGATGAAAGAATATTTTTGAGACTCACTAGATCAGTGTTACTTGACTTCAGCAGGCCTCAGTTAGGAGCAGGACCTGATTAGTTGTGATTTTAATCAACTGTGATTTAAGCATTACCATTGTTTTGATTGTTAGTGACAGAGTTTAAGCAGTGCCCTTCTTTTGAGGACAAAGGATGCCTGAATCACAAGTTCACTATAGACACATCCAGTTTAAGAATTCAGTCTTAAAGTACTGTAGCAGATATAAGCCACGCTTTTCAGTGAAGATTTTATGTGCTTTCAAGGGATCAAGGAGCAGAGTTTAGTACATGGTAGTTTAAAATTTAATGCTGAAGGCTTGCTAAAGTCTTCTAATTTATTTCATGTCCCTCCTTAAGAGCAAACACTGCATGTCATTACACAAATTTTTCATAGAACTATAGAATAAGCTGAGTTGGATGCACCCATCAGGATCATCAAGCTCAATTCCTGTCCCTACCCAGGAGACCCTCAACAGACGCAACATGTACCTGACAGTGTTGTCCAAACACTTCTTGAATTCAGGAAGTCTTGGTGTTGTAACCACTTCCATGGGGAGCCTATTCCAGGGCTCAGCCACCCTCTGGATGGAAAACTTTTTTCTGATATCCAACCTAAACCTCCCCCAAATCAGCTTCATGCTGTTCTCTCAAGTCCTGTCACTGATCACAGGTGTAAAGAGATCAGGACCTGTCCCTCCATTTCTCCTTGTGAGGATGCTGAAATCTGCAATGAGGCCTCCCCTCAGTCTCCTCCAGACTGAACAGAACAAGTGATCTCAGCCCCTCCTCATAAGGCTTCCCCTTCAGACTCTTCACCATCCTTGCTTTGAACATGACTCTGCTTTGGACTTGCTCTAATACTTTAATGTCTTCTTTTATATTGTGGCACCCAGAACTGCCCCAGCACTTGAGGTGAGGCCACCCCAGCTCAGAGCAGAGCAGGACAATCCCCTCCCTTGCCCAGCTGGCCATGCTGTGCCTGATGTCCCCCAGGACAGGGTTGGCCCTTCTGGCTGCCAGGGCACTGCTGGCTCGTGTTCAACTTGCCATGGACCAGGACCCCTAGGTCCCTTTCCATGGGGCTGCTCTCCAGCCTCTCATTTCCCAGTCTATACACACAACCCCATCCCAGTGCAGAATCTGGTGCTTGCCCTTGTTAAATTTCATATGGTTGGTGATTGCCCATCTCTCTAGTTTGTCGAGGTCTTTCTGCAGGGTCTGTGTGCCCGCAAGGAAGTTGCCAGCTTCTCCCAATTTAGTGTCCTTTCAGTGTCATTTTGCATATCAGCCACATAGCGCTGATACATCCTCTGTAATCCTCCAGTTTTACAGAACTGACTATCACTAGAACAATATCTTCCAACCTGGTAACTTGTCATGCACAGGGTAGCAATGTCTTTTTGCTGTCAAGTTAGCCAAGATCTTTCTTCAAGCTCCATTGTCCTCTCTAAATAAGAGAGAATTATTTATAGAATAGACTCCATTGTGAGCATTTCAGTCTGTTTGAAGATGAAAGACATCCATACTATTTGTGAATTATTAGATACACTAAAAATTGTCAGTCTGCTCAGTTACTTTTGCATTATTGCACCTGAGTGTTTTTAAACTAATCCTGATTTCAGCACAATATAGACTGGAAGTGCCAATAACTTTCTTTCAGAAAGCATCACAATTCAGCTTAAAAAAAAAGTTTCTAGTGACTTTTAGTTTTTCAAGAATTATTACTTTTATCCCTTAAAGGGCTTCACATCAGTAAACCTTCTTCTATAAACCAGTTGCACCTTAGACCCACACAATCCATGGGGATAGAATTCATGCAAGACTACTGAGGGAACCACTTTTAATCATATACCAGCAGTCAACTTCAGCTGGGGACATCCCAGGTGCCTGCAAACTGATGTATGTGAGACCCATTTGTAAGAAGTTTCAGAAGGAGGATTCAGGAGTCATATGTCTCCAAAGTGTGTTCCTTCTGTTGTAAAAATATATCAGCAAACTCCTTCTGTGCCAGTTGATTATATTTATGTACCACATAAATATAATCAAAGGAGTAGAAAATAAACTGATGCAGAAACTCCTAATAAATGGCAAAGTCCATTGCTGTTGTGTTGCCATCTATATTTGATGTGATTCATAAAGGACAATGAAGTAATATTCTTGAGCATAATGGGGTTTGTACCTGTTTGAAAAGCAGCCTGACAGCTCCACTGCAGAAATACGAATTCTGTTTCTCACAGTGAAGGACACTGAAGTGCTTTATCACTTCAGTTCAAATATTATCTAATAAACATTATTTGTTTTAGTCAATGCAGGGTCCATGTCATGGATATAGTGAATTTTATTCAAAAAGGACATTCAGGTGAGAAAAAGATCTGGTTCTGTGATCATGTCTTCAGCTTATGCAGTGTTAAGTATCTGTTCATTTGTATCAAAATTAAGCATAATCAGGTCAGTCATATGTGTTTCTGTTAAAAGGCACCATCTATAATAGAATTTTCCTATGCTTGGTGTAACTACTGACTTTGTATACATAAATATTTTTTTTAAACCTGTAGGACTGGGAAAAATGGCTCAATATCAGTGCGAGCTCTGGATGGTCCTAAAGCCAGCATCGTGCCAGCCACATTCAGTGCTGTCTCTCCACCTGGATATACCATTCTGGATGTGGATGTTAATGCTGTGCTCTTTGTTGGTGGTTTAACAGAAAAAATTAAGGTAATGCCTTTTCTGGTGTTTCTATTTTAGCTGGCCATTTGTGTGGACAACTTTTGTTATTGCTTAAAATAGAAACAGTAAATTTTAATATGCTGGTGTCATTGTAGTAGGTGCTTTAATTGCAAGTAGTTATAGCTGTTTTCAACCTCAGTAGGGATTGTCCAAATATTTTTTGAAGAACACTCTATTTTTTCATTTTAGTCAGAAAAATCTTACTGAATTATTTTTTTTCTCCAGGTAAATAAAGACAAGGGCAGCAGTAGGAAGCCAGTCTGTTTTAAGTTTGGTATTGCTGGTATTTTCACAATGTAGAGTTTTAAATGCTGTCAGATTTGTTTTGCTCAAATACAGTCTCTGAATTAAAATATAACTTCAGTTTTTTGGGAATTTCTGTCATGTCACTGTGGTGTCACAGTTGTAAGGCTCACAAAATGAAAACCTTAACCAAGACTTTCCTAAAACTGTGCAGCTCTTTGGACATTTAATCAAGCTTACTGGTATATCTTAGGCCTCTGACACAGAAATCTGCTTTTTCACATTATTGCGGTTTGGAATGCTTTAGATTTGTCCTACAGCTTTGTCCACATCCCTTTATGCATGCATTTCTGCAGTGTATTCAAAAAGAAAGTTCATTTTCAGTTTTTAAAAACATCTTTCATCTGACTTGTAGAAGACTGTGATACTTAGATATTATGAATTTCTTAGAAGTGACATTAAATTCATACTTGTTGCTAATTAAAATCTATCCAATTACCCTGGGAAATATCAGTAGCACATTAAGTCTTTTGAGTCATACTTTTCCTTGAGTATTTTCAAATTGCACTTCTCCATGTTCTCTTGCAAGATCTTAATATTTGTAATTGCTGTAAAAACAGCAGGTGCTTGTCTATCTCAAATAGCTAAGTGTATAGATTTTTAATCAGCTCATATTGATGAACTGAAATTTAAATGAATTGGTATTTTTAGAAGGATAATTTTTAGCAGAGTACTCTGTGCACTGTCAACTATTACTACCTTCATCATGGTACCACATTAAGGCCTAGTGAGCACTGCTCCATGTGTTTTAATTGCTTTGCCCTCTGCGCTTTTTTCTGCATCCAAAATTCAGAATGAACTTTACGGGTGTAACAGTTGAGTTCTCAGTCTTTCTTTTAGCTTGGACAGTCTGCTAAATCTCCAGGGTTTCAGCCATTACAAGAGAAACACTTTGCTTATTGTATTGTGGGAAAGATTGCTCATAGTCCTTTCTTGAAAGTCTGAAATGAAAACCCAGCTAGGCCTTAACAGGTGAGAGCAGCCAGCTCTGAGCAGCCAGGAAAACTGATGGTGAAAGCCAAAGCAGCTCCTTGTTCTTCAGGACTTGTTCTCCCTAGGCTTTTCCAAGAGTCTCAAATCTAAATAGTCTTTCCCGTTCAGATTGATACAAAGTTCAGTTCACATTTTCACTGATCACTTGTTCTGGAGGGCTTCTCAGATTAAGTAATACTCTTGATATTTAAAATATCACAAGACATCTTATGTTTTTTGGGGTTTTTTTATGATTTTATATGGAATTTTATATAGTATTTATTTTTATGATTTTTGTACCATTTATGTTTTCAGATGGAGTAGATCACTTTAAAATCAATTCTAAGGAGGTTTGTGTTCTCTGTTGCAGAAGTCAGATGCTGTAAGAGTCACCACCTTCACTGGCTGCATGGGTGAAACCTTTCTAGACAGCAAACCCATTGGACTCTGGAATTTCAGGGATATTGAAGGAGACTGCAAAGGGTGTGCTGTCAGGTAGGGAAAGCACTGACTGTTTCTCTTGCTTCTTTGGGGAACCTGTCTGCAGTGGCATTACGTTCGGTGGTAAGTAGTGGGAATTTCCACAGCAGCAGTCAAATTCCAATGTATATGCAACAGAATTTAGGTTGCAATTCCACTGAGAGGGGAAGCAGCCAGTCTGGGTTGTAAGTGTGGTCAGTGAGTTATCAGAACTGAGCTGGTGTGACAGGGCTGTGACAGAAAGGATCCTGACAACCAGTGACCAGAAACAGTCAAAGCATGAGAGAGCATGAGAGCCACAGTGAACCGAATGACAGCTGTGGTGTGGGTGCCTGCACTTCTCAAGTGGCATGGAGCTGAGTCCAGTGCCTCAAGGTGTCTTTCACAGCCACCAGGGTAATAAGCAGAGACCCCACATAAGAAAGGTGTTTGCATTCTCAAAATAGCGTGGGAAATCCTGTCCCTGTCAGTGGGAGATTTGATAAGACATCAAACCGAGCTCAGGAAGACTCCCAGGAGGTGTGCTCACATTTCCCTAGCCCTGCACTTTTTATTTTAACTTCACATGGCAAAAGAATATGTTTGGAATTGTTCTTTTCAGCCCACAGGTGGCAGACGGTGAAGGAACGGTGCAGTTTGATGGTGAGAGCTATGCCATGGTGAGCCGCCCAATCCGCTGGAACCCCAATATTTCCACTGTCATGTTCAAGTTCAGGACCTTCTCATCAAATGCTCTGCTGATGTATCTTGCTACTGATGACTTGGTAAGAGCAGGCAGCTAACCTCTCTGCTCCTTGCAGTTTTCTCACCATCTTTGCAGTCATTGAACTCATCAGATCATGAAAACAATTCGTAATCTATGGTACCACTATCCTGGTATGATGGTGCCTGGTGTGATGCTTCACTGCTGGCCAAATGAAGACAGTGTTATAGTGTGGATGCTGACTACCTAATATTTACTGAATGGAAAACATTATGTTAGTCTGGGGGGAATTCCAGCCTTTCTGAAATTATTGATTCATTTTCATTTATCCCAGATGTTTATGTGTGTGAATATTTTCAGTTGTGTTTGTCCATTCATAGTATAAAATATCATAGTGTGATGGCAGGGGGAATATGGGAAAAGATGAGTCTTATATAGAAATCCTACTCATATAAAGAAAATGTTTATGTTTATAGAAATCCTACTCATATAAAGAAAATGTTTATGTTTTATTTAGTGTGTTTAAAGGGGGACTGGTGCAACAAATAAGATGTAATAGTGATTGTGTTTTTACAGTATTTGCAAATGGTATCTCTTACAGCTAAAACAGAGAATAGAAACATTAGTTTTAAAGTTGTTTAAGGTTTTTATTCACACACAGTATCATATGTGCATGGTTAACAGGGAGAAATTATTTATAAGACACCTGTCCAGATCTAAATAGCTCATCTCTGGTGTCTCTGATCCAGATTGATTTGCATGACTGACAGGGAACAGAATCTTTCCCTTATCCTTTTCATATGGGGCAGAAGTTATGTACAGTAGTTTTCACTGATGTCTTGAAGAATTACAGAGAACTTTCTACTGCACAAAAAGTGTGTCTGTGTAAATCAGTTTTATTTCAGATTCCTGTATTTTGGAAATAATTATCAAAATAGCTGGAATTATCAAGGAGGGGGGTAGTCCTCCTGACTGACTATAGAATTTTATTATGATAATGAAATACTTATGTAGCTTTTGTAATGAACTTTTATAATTGAATATTGAAATTAATGTCATTATTGTAGATTATTTTATATAATTATTGTTGACTTACATATTTTTCTATGATAAAAAATACTTAATTGAAATCCCAAAAACAAAGCACAAGCTACTGGTCCCTTGTATTATTTTGTCTCTTATGATACTGTCCCACCACATAAAAACTTGGAGGATTCTCTTTCTAATGATGCATGGATAAACATGCCTAAGCATCTAGAATACTGAGTTTATTCAGTTTTACTCTGCAAAGAGGTGGAACTGGCCTTGAGCAAAATGATAACAAAAATTTCTCTGGTACATTTATGTCCTGGGTCATAGTTCCACCATTACTTACCTAATGGCTTTCGTGCTGTCTGATTCTCTGGCTGTTTGTTTTGCGCTTTGTATCATGCCAGCTCATTTTCTGGAGATAGTGCAGCATATGCTGTTGCTCCAGTCAGCCATCTCCAGTTGCTGCTTGGATACTGGTGTCAGTGGTTGATGAAAATAAGAGTGTTCATAGCTCTCTTTGTCTCCATCTCTCTGTTGCTATCCTGCTCCAGTTTTCCATCTTCACTATTTCTGTTTTCTATCTTGCAAGTTTAAATCTAGCTGAGGTATGCAATAAATACGCTAATTATAGTACAAACACACTCTCAAAGCTGAGAATTAGTTTCAGGTAATTATAATGTCCATTTGTATCTTCAGTCTAAAATAAAAGTACAGCTATCCCATCAAAACTCCAACTATGATGCCAGCAAAATTCCAACTAAATTAGCAATCCAAAAGAGAATGTAAGGAGAAAAAAGAGCTTGGCATCAGACTTCTGTAGGTCAGAGTCCTGGGTAGTAAATGTATAAGTTGTGGCATTTTTAAAGCTTGAAAAGTGTTGTCTTTAGTCACCCAGGATTAAAAAGTGTTAATTTAATGTCTTATGCCTCTTACCAAAATGGACAAGAGTCATAATGGTGTATCTCACCCTTTTCATTAACAGAAGGACTTCATGAGTGTAGAACTCAGTGGTGGGCGTATAAAAGTCAGCTATGATCTGGGTTCAGGTACAGCTTCAGTTATCAGCAACCAAAATCATAATGATGGCAAATGGAAAGCTTTCACCCTGTCAAGAATTCAAAAGCAAGGTAAGTTCCTGTGGTGTCAGCACCATGACTTTTCCAGTTATCTGTGCAGTACACCTACCCATCTAATCACAGGGAAGATGCTGTGGGAATTATAAGTTCTGGTGATTTAGCAACTTCTTTTGCTTAGATTATAGATGTGTTGAGTTGCATGTGATTGATTGCACTGTCAAACAGCACTTTATGAACAGGTAGCCTATTTGTCAGGCATAGTCTTTTTATACAGTCATAAATTGCATTCTAAAATTCTGACTGGGGAAAAAAAGTCTTTTCATCAGTTCCCTGATGTTCCAAATCATAAAACACATGTGATTTTTGTTAGGACAGCAAAGGCTTTTATGCTGTACAGTCCTCTCATGCTCAGTATATGCCCAAGTGCTTTAAAAAAGTAGTGACTTTAGTACTGATAGTACAGTATTTAACTAGACAAACACCACTACTTTATCTTCCCTAATGATGTGCATTGTGCCATGAACTGAATCTGCATGGAAACAACTAGGAACATCTCTAAAAGGTCTACTAATTCTTTAACAGGTCACTGGCACACAATGTGAAGTGGTGGAATTTGATAAGAACACAAAGACTACTGGTTATAATACTGGCAAAACCCATTTTTTGTTTTGTAGTCTGGTTATAGGGCTGGTAGAATCTTAAGCTGAGCCACATTCATTTTATTTATGGCAACTGTGACATACCCTGTGCTTTTGCAGTTTGAATTTTTACTGTATTCTGAATCTTCAGGATCACCACAAGCCCCTAAACACATTCTTCTGACCTCTGCAGTGCCAGCTCTCTACCTGGCCTTCACACCTCATACACAGTCCTTCTTCCTTGTCATTTGGATGAAGTAGACTTGGGACAGTAGACAAAATAATTTAGTGATCTTGCTTGCAAATTTTCTGCACCTTTAGAGGAGGAATGTCTTATTGCTAGGCAGTTACAGTTCATACTTAACCCGAGAGGTATTAATATAAAGTAAAATGTCATGTAATTGTAATTTATCAATAGCATTCACACAGTGTGTTTATAAAGAAGATACAGGTATAGAAATTAAAGGAAAATTAATCTGGTTTTGGTAAAGTGTAGCAGAAAGTCTGTCTATTCAATTCTCAAGGAAGGAAGGAAAAAAATCCTTTCTTTTCATCCCTATATATCATCGGGCCTGCTCAGCATTTTTCACTGAGTCTTATTTCCTTTATTGAACTTTATATTCTGTATTAATCCATACATTAAAAATATACATGGAACAAGCGCCCAAACAGGATGCTTGTATGTAGCACATCACTTACTCCATACTGAGATTGGGCGTGAGAGCAACTGACTGCTTTGGGTTTGAAAGTGGTTTAGAGCGACTGATCACCAGTCTCTAAGGCACATAATGACAGTGCTTAACAAACTTTTACACTAAAAAATCATGTTCAAGAGACAATCTTTGCACTGAGATGACAAATTAAATGCAAAATGATCTCTTGTCATGACTATGTCCTGAAGTGTTAGCTCCAAATTACAGTGACACAAAGAAGGCACCAAATGGAAACAGGTTTAGAGAATATATAAAAATAAAGTGTACAGAATTGCTATAACTTTTCAGGTTGTTATGGAAACAGAGGATAGTGCAGCTTTCTTCCCCTGCCCATAATTGATAATGTGGAAATCCAGTATCATAATTGCAAAATACAGCCCTCCTTGCCTCTTCCCTCACCTGTTAACCCTACAAATATTTTTCTGTTGGTTTCTTACATTAAGACATCATTGTTCATGATGGATATTTTGTAACTAATCTAAATGTCTTTTAGCCAACATATCAATTGTAGACATAGACACCAATGAAGAAGAAATCATAGCAACAACTTCTACAGGCAGCCACTTTGGACTCAACTTAAAAGGGCATGAGAAAATATATTTTGGGGGATTGCCAACCCTGAGAAATCTAAGGTAATGTAGCTCAAAACCAATTTCTTTAGTCTTGATAAGGGGATGTAAATACAATGTAATCTTATTCTCTGCATTTATTTCTCAAGTTCATTTGCAGCAAGTGAATGGTGAATTCCCAATGTACCCTGTACTGCCTCAGCAGAACAGTGCTTTATTTGCATATGTTCTGTATTTCACACGGCTCACCTTATACAGATACAATGGAAATTACACTTGCAGTGCTGTATATCTTTCTGATTCTGTGCAAGAACCATGATGTAGCTGACTTTTTAAGCATTTATTTATTTGATGCATAGAATTTGTGACTGGAGATTCAGAGAACTGTCTCAATACCTTCACAAAATTAAGGGCAAGTGTTTACTTTGTGCCTGAGTAGAAAAATTGACCTGCAGACTACTCTGCATGGGATTACTGCTTAATGGATATCCATGGTTTTGCATAATCAGTGTCAGTATATTTTAAATATGTATTAAAATATTTTGCTTAGATATATTTTTTAATTATTTGTAGATTTTAGTTCCTGGTCTCCTAAAATACAATTCCTCCTGTATTCAGGACTTAAAGTATATGATATGATACTCTTCATGTATTTAATGTAAGCAGAATGAAATATTTTCCATTCAGAAGTCTGATCCTGAATTTTCTACACAAATAAAATTCCCAGTAATTATTTGTTAAATATTGCATAGTAATAGTAATAAATGCTAACTTCAGCCTAAATAAACTAAAGCAATGATAAACAGATACTTGAATTTAGTGACTTTCCTTCATGGCTTTAAATAGACCAAAAAACTTACTTAAAGTTTAAATGAATATTCAGCAGTTTTGCAATGGCAAGAACAAGAGAATTCTGTGCTACAATGAACAGATGAGCAACACAGAAACAGCCCCATTAATCTATGTCAGCTTTAACTACGTGGTATAATGAGAGCCTTGAAGTGGTCTTGTGCACAAGGAACTGTTGTGTTTAATCCACAGACTCTTCTGCCACTAAAAGAATGGACATATTTGTTAATTTATTAGGATAATCATTGACCTCTGATGTCAAATCACCCAGCAATAAAAAGATCTAAGATCCATTTTACTCATGAAATATTACACTATGTTATGTAATTGTGAAATCACACCAGTGCATAACAAAACGTCTAGAGCAATTATCTTCCACTTCCTTTGTGGCTGCCCAGAAAATCAGTGTACCACAGCTACTTTGACCTGTGGTAACCATTCTGCCTACAGCTATGACTCATCAGTGCCTGAGGCAAGATTAATGTTATGGTAAATTAAAATCAGAAGTAGTGAAAGGGGGATTAGGGCAAAGCTGAGCTGCTGCAAACAATAGGCACTGAGGTATCCATGACTTTGTAATTACCACGTCGTGTCAGTTCTGCCAAATTCTTTTACATGGTTTGCTTTTGCTCATGACCAAGTATAGTATCAAGTTATAAAAACCCTCTGATGTGTTACATTTTAAGGTAGCTATTTGCTACTGTTATAGTAGTTAATATATATATATATCATATATATCATATATATCATATATATATTATATATATTAATATATATATAAAAATTTAACAGTTAATGCTATAACTGCTAATTGTTATAGCATACATAGACTCTCACCTTTTATTATATATTGTTTGTAAATTATGTACACCTGCTTCACTGTGAGATGTCTGAACCTTGCTAATAAGTATCACGGAACAAAACAAGAAGTACCGTTTGCTGCAATTAATGCCACATTGTTGTTTTCTTTTTTTGTCTTTCTTTCTCACCCCAGCATGAAAGCAAGGTAAAAACAATCAGATTATTTGCATGACTTGCATGTGTCTAGTTAAAGCGCAGCTTGAAGGCACGGGTGGCACCGCAGCAGCAGCATGGGCAAGGTTTAGATCAGAGCAGCTGCTACGCTAAGGCTCTTAGTTCAGCGAGCTGCTCCTGCCACAGCCAGCAAAGCTGCTCCCAAGTGCTCACCACCATCACTTTCCACGCTCTGCACACACCTACACAAGCAACTTTTATTTTCCTCGCACAGCTGCTTCCTTCAGCTGTGTGTTGCTTGTGGCAGCGCAGTGCCTCGGAAGCGGGGCTGCAGCCAGCTGTGTTGCTGACCTTGGCTCCGACCTCCGGGCTGTAGGAGCAGTCTGGTCCTGTGTGAGTGAAGTAGGTACTGAGGAGAGCATGAAAGCAAGGTGGAGATTTTTTGTGAAATTTGCCACTTCTCATGTTCATGTAGTATGAGTTCAGGAGTATGAGGGGGAGAGAGGGGAGGTCGCCTGTTTCTGACTGCGTTTTCAGTTTGCGACTATTTGTATCCATTGCTTTTGCTTCAGTATACTCAGATATGAACTGATTTTCACTGTGTTTTGCAGCCTAATTCCTGGCCTGAATTGGAAAAACACAACTTCACCCCCACACTCCTGCCCTGAACCTCAGAAAGATTATTTTCTCCCAGGCTCCAGAAATTTCTTGGGTTTTTTCCCTCAAAACTGGCCTATCTTGGCAAAAAAGAACTAACAAAAAAACCCAAAAACAAACCTAGAGTTATGCAAGGTCTTTTTGATCTTGGACTTTGTTTGCTGTATTTTGGAAAGGAAAAAAGCAGTCTTAAACAAAACGTCAAGCAAGTGTTCAGTGTTTGCAAAGAGCCAGACAACCCACGGTGCTCCCTTCAAACCTTACCCATTCTGTGATTCTTTGGTATGGGTTGGGAATTATAACAGCACCTGTTTGTAGCAGGACAGGATGAGGACAGTCTGTCAATGGACAAGGCAGGAAAGGGTAGTAGCAGGAATGGTTTCTGGATGGCAAAGGCTATGGGCAACAGCAACAATGGTAACAGCAAAACTGTTCTTCCATTGGAAAGATAAATCCGTAAAGGAACTGGGGAAGAGCTAGGAAAAAAAACCTGAAAAATGAAAGGTGAACTTAGCTACTTGACTGCAAATAAAGCAGCATATGGATCATTTTAGTAAACCAGATGCTTGCTTTAACTTATGCAGAGTACTAATTTGCCAGAGAATACATTACGCTTGCTCAGTTGGCTCTAATGCAAAGAATGGCTTTCAGTGCCAAAACATGCAGCTGATTAGTATCTGCACAAAATGGTTTTATTTTGTAATTAATATTCTTTACATTTTTTTTTCCCTTCCAGGGAACTGCAGTTGCTTCCCTCCTTCCCCACCCCACCCCAGTTTTAACTCCTTATTTAATTCCCAAATTAATTTTTCTCTCTTTGAGCTGTTCATACTATTCAGATGTTCTAGTAAGCACTCAAGGGTAATATTTTTTAGTAAATTAAATAGTGGGGTTTTTTTTCCTTTTTGAATTTACTCTCCATGGTGTCAATGGCACGGTTTTTTTTCTGAAGTGACTTTACAAGGCTTTTCCTCTGGCAAGCCTGTTTCAGATGTTACCAGCAGTTATGGCCTCACTCTGGTGTACCTGAGCCTGGAAAATTGTACTTTTGCAATCAAATATGATAGTTTTGGTGTTACTTTCAAGGGGTTTCTCATTTCTTCTCATCAGCCAGCTGATGAGTCAAACATGGACCTTGAATTCCATTACAATATTTTCCTGTCAAGGATGGATAGTTACATTCTGTAACAAACCCAAGTGTTTTGTTTTGTTTAACTGCCTGAAAAAGTCAGATGTATTGCTGTGTCCTAAGAAAATATGCGGCAGTTTTCATAAGAAAGTTACTGGAGATATAAAATAAAAGTCAGTCCACCTGATTGAATTCCTGAAGCATGTTGGCAAAAACTTTACTCAAATATTTGTATGCTGCTAAAGTTCTTCTTTATTGGCTCTAGCATGTAAAAAGAAGAAAAAAAAAATTCTTCCAGTTAAGGTGTGTCCTTATTGTCATGATTTCCTAGTTTGCATCTTTCTTCTTTGCCTAAGAAACAGTACCTTCCTTATTTCGTACCTCACTGTGTTTTAACGTCAAAGGTGCTCTCCTTTACCAAAGAAAAAATACAAAAAACAAAACAACCAACCAAAAACCCTTAAAGAAAAGAAAGAACAAATTAAGAAGGGGACTGTTGTCAATTGGAGATGAGATGAACCTCGTTACACCTTTGAGTGGTGCAAGGCAGAGTGCAATGTGTGCTGATAGAGTGTAGAAGTGTATTCAAGTGTATGTGTGTAGTTAAAATAAAAATAAAAAACAAGCATCTGTGCATCTGAAAGTGTACGTATGTGTGTCTGGCTGAGTGTTCTCCCTAAACTCTATTTTTGAAAATTGTACTTCTAAATGTTTTTTAGGCCTGAAGTGAACTTAGAGAAATACACAGGTTGCCTCAAAGACATTGAAATTTCAAGGACACCTTATAATATATTGAGCAGTCCTGACTTTGTTGGTCTAACCAAAGGATGCACACTAGAGGTTAGTCTGATTTCCATGTATTTTGGCCTTAATGTTTATAAATGTTTTCTGGATTCTGATTTTATGGCATAGTAAATTAACTGTATATGGTATATTCCTTCCTTAGATAGGAATCTAACCTTAAAATCCAAGCAGTTATGTTTAAGAGAAAGAAAGATGAGTAAGTCTGATCAGCAAGGAGATAACTTTTTCAGATCCTGGCTTCTTAGAGAGTATCTCTGGCCACTTGTGATATTCCTATCCCTAAAAGGTAGGATTTTCTGAACTGCTTAGCAGTGATGTAGCTTTGTTTCAGCTGACTGAAATGCTAATTATTTGGGTTAATGAGGATAGGCACTGACAACACTGCAAAAACAAAATAAAACCCTGATGCACATAAAATCCAAGGATTTCATTTTTTTAAAAAAATTGTTATTATAAAGTCATTCATTACATAAAACCTCATGTATGAATACTTACTGTCATGAGCTACCAGTGAGCTGGAAAGCACATTTCTTACTGATCACTAAGAATGTGCAAAACTGGTGTTGTTATTTTAACTTTAAATGCATCTATTTTCAGTTGTTGCTGCTTGCAATTAACAGCCTTTCAGTGCATATGGATTTCATGGAATCTGATCTGATCTGAAATTTGGGAGAGAATTTAGTAATTTTCCATGGAAAATGTAAAAAAAAATACTTTTGTATAAAAAATCCTTCCACTGCCATTTGTGTCCCAGTTAATAGTTTGTATTTCTTCCCTGGAAGAAATACAATCTCTAGTATTTAAGATAGTTTTGCTAGCAGGTGGAAGATATCCATCAGATACCATATATACCATATATCTGATATTTCATATCAGATACCATTATAGTAAGTACAAATGAGTTGTTAATACAATGCTCTCCAAATATATTTTTTTTCCTACAAAACATTGAAACTTTACTTTGAACAGCAACTGGAACTTGGCTGGGCCAAAATGAAGGCAAGGGCCCTATTTTGCTGTTTTTATCCATTGTACGTTTGGCCTTCATCAGAGCAAAAAAGTACACAACAGTAGGACTCTCAGACAGGATATTAGACCAGATTTGTTATGAGATCCATATTTTCAAGTTTGTGGTAAAGCTAAATTGTAAACAAGCAGATTGTTCAAATGCTTTTAAATCTTACAGATTTTGCTTCAGTAAAAATTGGATAGAGAGGTTCTTATTTGTTTTGATTTATAGTATATTCTTTCTGGAACAGGAAAGAAGGATAGTTGTGTTCATTTTCTTCTGTTGCTATGAATCTTAGAAAGTACTTTGCCTTTCACATTATTTTGTAACACTTGAGGTTTCAGAGTATGAAATCTAATTGGATTAACCCTTTTGTTGGGGAAATAAATAAAATATTCTAATTGTACAAAACAAGACGTAAGAAAATTAAAAAGAAGTGAAGCAAAAGTAAAGGATAAAGACTGGGTATGTGTGCAATCATTTAAATGTCCTCAGATTTTAGAGAAAGGTGAGCACCAGCAGCACTGATTTTATCTGGTATGATTTTTTATCTTTAGAACTGAAAACAGTTCTACTGTACTGAATAAATGGTGAGCTAGTTCAGAAAAGTCACTGTTTCTATAGATTGGTCTTCCACATCTGGAAGAACACATGAATTGGCAGCAAAGACAGAAAATCTTTGGGAGTATTCACTGATTTATTATTTGATGATATATTCTACTCTTTAAATTTTGTTAATGCCTATCAATGTCTGAAGAGCTGGGCCACATGCCCCAAGTGCTTTGTTTATGACTGAGTTACCAAGAAAGCAGTGGTGCTTAGTGATGTCATGAAAATTAATGAAAAGTATTTTCTCAGCACATCTGACAAATAATATGATCTAGTTTATGTCCATACTGGGTTTTATTACCTATTGTATAGATTCAAAAGCAAAGTCCAACTGTATTAACTCAATGAAAAGCACATATATAAAATAAAAATAACCTTGAGCAATTATTTTTAATCCAAGAGGATATATCGACTTAAAACTGGAACTTTGCCTTCCTGTAAGATAGGATTCCACAAATACAGTAATGCTGCCAGGTGTAAACAGATGCAAACAGTGTTTGCAGAACACTTTGAGTAGATTGCTAAGTGTTTATTATTATTCTTTCCATCGTCTCACACTAGTTATATTTACCTTGTTTATTATTTTAGTTCAGAAATCTTCCTGTGCATTCATAATCTTGCTTTTACTTGTACTAATGTACTTCCCTGTCCTCTCCTTCCTACAGAACATTCATACAGTCAGCTTCTCCAAGCCAGGTTTTGTGGAACTGCAGCCAGTCTCCTTTGACGTGGGCACAGAAATCAATCTGTCCTTCAGCACCAGGAATGAGTCTGGGATCATCTTGTTTGGCACAAGTGGCACAATTGTCCTCCCCAGGAGAAAGCGCAGGCACTCTGCAAGGAAAGCTGCTCCTCTAAGGAGAAAGCGCAGGCAGACAGGACAGGTGAGATGAACCTGGCAAAGGATTTTAAAACCCCCCACAATTCTGCTGAACTGCCACAGTTTGTTTCAAAACACTGTCAGGTGTTTATGCTTAAGGTAAAATTCAGTTATTTGGAAAAAATTATTTCTAGTGTTATCCTTTATCTGATGAAAAATCTAATAGAAGCTGAATTATACTTTTTTTTTGGTCCTAGATAAATTGTTTCTTTTACAGATTTACAGTCATGTATCCATTGCTTGTTGCTAAGCAGCAGATTTGGTTTTCTATTATATTCCATGTTGGGTTTTTTAATGAAACCCAAATATTAAAAAATACTGTTCTTCACTCATTTTGAGAACTACTTATTTACTATTAATGCTTGGAAACTCTCAATCCTGTTCATAGAGACATAAATGAGGATTATTTCCTGAGAAAGAAGGATAGTTTTGCTGAGACCAAAAGGAGGAAAAAAAAAAAAAAAGGCTGGTGAACACAGTGAAGATTTGCCCCTTGTTTGGCATCACTGACATGGAATTTAAGACTTGGAGTGCTCTGGCTTCTCCTTCTCTTTCCTAAAATACAAATTTGCTGTATTAGTCCAGAGTGTCTGAGTGACTGGCAAAAATGTGAATACTAGAAATTGTTACAAATTATTCAAGTTTTTATTAAATCTTGATTAAAATCCTGACAGACAGACACACTACAACAGCAATAAACAGAATGTGTTGATGCACTCTTTGTTCAGGACTTCTGGGAAGTGATATTTCATTATTCTCCTTTCTGCCTGTTTTGGAAGAGAGCTCTTGGTGACCTGGAGTAACACACTCCTGGGACAGCACATTGTAATGGCTCACCTGGATGACATTAACTTAAGGGTAGGGGCTCCTACCTGTCCCAGGTCTTTGGCTCACAGAAGTGAGCATGGGCACTTATTGCTATAGTAACTGGAGTTTAGATCCAGAAATTATGATACTGGTGCTGGAGTAACTATTGGCATGATTTGGCAGCCCTCCAGACACAAAACTCAAGCTGAGATCAGTGCACTTCAGGGCTCGATGAGTTTAAGAGCAGGTCTTGTAACAACAAAAAATCAGAAGAATTGGAGGTTAGAAGTCTCCATCCATCCCTGAAAATAGATAGAGTTAAATCTTCTGTTGATGTTTTCCTGCATGACCTCGTTTTACCCCTTCCTCATTATAAAAATGACAGAGTCTGAGTGTAGCAGCAGCAGCAGCGCTGAAACAGCAGTGTCTTGTCTGTGGTGAGCACATTAATGCCAGTGTAAGACAGCAAAACCTACACACTAAATGTAAAACTAAGGTAAATAATTTCTATCCAAATGTAACTTATCTTTTCACTCCAACATATACACCTTGCAGGCCTACTATGCTGTGTTCCTGAACAGAGGTCGGCTGGAAGTGCACATCTCCACTGGGATCCGGGATCCCCACAGAATCACCATCAGACCAGAGGCTGGCGAGTTTCACGATGGCAGAGCGCATTCCATCCGGATAGAACGAGCTAGAGGGTAACAAACACCTACAAGTGCTACAGAACACACAGCACAGCTAATTCAACAAAGCAAATGTATTAATGGCTTTGGCAATCCATGTAAATGCCTCTTCTGAGACAAAAAAAAAAATTAGTTTCATTCCATCATTGTCCAAAACTTCTTAGAAATAAGTTTCTGATAGTCCTTATTGTTCTGAAGAGATGGGTTTACTTGCCTTCATAGGCTACCAGGTTGTTTCTCCTGAGACTTGTGTTTTCCTGAACTAGCATCTTTAGCCACTTTGCAAATATATTTTACCAAAGAATCTGAGGGTGAGAAGTTCTGCTGTGGTGCAATAAATCTCCTTTTCAGGACATATAGAAAAATACCATTTTCAAAGGGTGCAAACTGCAGCAGCACAGCAGCCTGTAGCCTGTTTGAGATGCCATGTGCTGGACACAGTGGTGCCCAGCTAAATAGGGTAGAACAGTGAAAACACAGTCACACTTTTCTAATTGGAAAAGCCATCACAGACCTTCTCAGACCACGTTGTTTTACAGCCCTTGTTCCAAGCAGGGTTTATTATGGACATTTGAACATACAAATGTGTACATCTGTACTGACATTTGTTGGATTAGGGCACTATGCACAATGTTCTGTGTTGTTAAAAGAAATCAGAAAGAAGATCTGACATCCAGCATGTTACAAAAGGCACTTATCCACTTCACCCTCTTACCCCAACAACATTGCAGCCTTCTTGACCAGCCATTCCTGTCTAGTCCCCAGGTGCCCTTCTGCTCCCTCTGTAATTTGCTTTCCTTTCTGTATAATTTTCTGACTGAATTTCTATTGTATTGTTAAAAAATCTCTCATAAATAATGCTGCCAGTCAATAAGTCTCCTCTACTTTGATGACTAGGTCAAAGTCAAACCGTAAATGCTTTGGAAGGAAAAGTTATTTTGGAAACGGATGACTGAATTTTGTGATACATTTTATGCCCCTGTGACAGAACACAAATATGCAGATGATAATAAAAAGCTCTAAACAACAAAGTAAATTCTTTTATGCAGTGCTATAAGGACTACAGTAGCTTGACCTCATAAGGGTACATGTGAGAGTACATCAAGGCAAAATTGCTGTACAATGCCATCCAGTGATGGTGCTTGTTCAGATGAGACCTCTGTGTTTTCAAAGCAGCTTTGTTACAAAACAAATTGCCTGAACTCTGAAGTTTCTGTAACCTGAAATGGATGTGAAAAGACATAAATTAAGATTAACCCTTCCTATGCTCATCATGAACTCAAGCTTTATTTTTTTTAATGTGAGGAACACCCTATGAGAACTCTGCAGAGAGTTAATTGTCCATAATTATAATTTATGATATATGAATAATATGGTATATTATGATTATAATGTAATTATGAAAATTATATTGTTGAAGACTAATGTATATCATTGCATGCTTCTGCTTAGACACAAAATGTTTGCATGATTAGCCATGGCTAAGATGCAGCAGCACAAAGGATAACTTGAGTATTGACAATCTGACATCCCTATGCTTCCTCTGAAGGCAGAGAAGGGAAATGTCCTCTCTGGGACAATTCATGGAACCTAAATTAGTCTTTTTCTCTGAACTGCCTCCAGAGAAATCTCCCTCCTTCTGTTTCCACTGCTGAAGGGACTGGGAGATATCATAGGGATTGTCCTGAAAGATAAGTCTTTTAAGAACTGCCTTCTCTAACCCTTTGAAAAATTAGTCACATTTCTTACTCTGCAGCTTTCAAAACCAAATTAATTCATCCAAAACTATGAGGAAACTGGACAATTTACACATAGTACAGCACTTACATAATTCAGGTGCTTGAGTCACTGTCTAGTTCTGTCTAGAATGTGTGTAAATAACAAAGCCAAGCATTTTGTATTTGAAAATTTTCGATAAGAATTTTCAATATTCGTTTGCTTGCATTGTAATTATAGTTAAGAAAGAATATCAGAGTTTAATATAATTTTGTGGTTGATAAAAGGGAATTTATTTGCCAGAAACTAATTAGTCAGCCAGTGGTGCTGCAGAGACTCCTACCTTTCTCTCTTCAGCCTTAACAATATCCATGGGACTGCTTTGTGTTTTGCTTGTACCGTGTGAAATACCCATTGGAATGAATTATAGCACCTGTATCAGTACATGGTGAGCAATCAGCAATTTTTCTGCTCTGCCACCTCCCCCAGAAAAAGCTATGAGATCTTTAAAAAGAGTACCATATGTCTACCATTGATCCTGCAGTCAGAGCAGTCTGGTTGTGCCCCAGCAAGAAGATAATAAGGAAATAGGGAGTCCAAACAAAATGTGACCCCTTGCTGTTCCCATCCTGCTGAGCTCTAGATGATTATATCTACCATCACAGCACAGCCAGCTCAGCCCTTACTGTGTCACTATTGCCACACCACAAACCACTTCTTCCTATGCAGCCACAGTCTGACATTATCACCCCTCCACAGCACAGGTCTGCCTGGCTTTGTCAAACAACTACCAAGGAAACACAGCAGCAGCTGAAACCCCTCTAGTGGTTAATATGCATTTAATGTGAGCTGCCGTAATTTGAGTTGCTCATTGTTACAGCTGGTGTAGGAGTAAACGGGGCTTGCAGAGGGGTGATTTCAATACAAGCAACAACCAGTGTAAAATACTTATTTCTTTGCTTTCAAATCTTTTCCACAGGATGTTCAGTGTTCAAGTTGATGAAGACAAAGTCCAGACTCAGAGGTTGCCATCAGACCTGCCCATCTCTGTTAAGAAACTCTTTGTGGGGGGTACTTCTTCTCAGTTTCAGATTGCACCTCTCAGAAACATACCACCATTTGAGGGCTGTATATGGAATCTTGTCATTAATGCCATGTAAGTCTCAATGATGCCAACGTCCAGTTAATGAACTCTGGTTAAACTGCCTTGGTTGCCAGGAGAAAGTTCATTGTTGTGATAAATCACGCTAGCAGCAAATCCTAGAATATGATCTGTTTTCTTTATATGCCATTCCTTTTTTTGTCTACAGTATATGCTCCACAGGCTATGCAATTAATGAGCTATATAACAGACAAGCCAACACTGTCTGTTTATCCATGAAATCAGAGAAATTCAGCAGTAAGATGTGTGTCAGCGATAGGTATTTATGGTGTACTATAACACTTTATTTTAGGTAAGGGTGACTTCCAAGAGAAGTCAAAATTCTGAGAACCATCATGGGAATCAATTTACTTTGCGGAAAGTGCAGTAATCTGGAAGGAACATTTGAGAAAAAGGAAAGACAATGGTGAATAAAATAAAACCTCTATAGAAAGTTTCCATCTAAATCTTTTTTCATATATCTGAAGTACCTAAATTAGGATTTTATCACTCTACATCAGAGGAAATGACTTCTCTGCAATACTATTGAAACTACGTAGGCCTGTAAAGTTTGCCAAAGCAGATGCCTGTCTCTGCACTGACCTGTAGGAAGAAAAGCCAATGTCATTGTCACCTCTAATTGTCTTGCTTCTGTACCTGTATTTACCTGTATAGCGTGGGATCAGTCCTGGCTTTTGTGTCCTGTGAAATTACACTGCAGCATATAGTTGTTTTCAATTAATGGTGGTAAAAAGGCAGAAAAACTAATAACAGACATCACTCTTCTCGTGTGTTCTCAGCCCCATGGACTTTGCTCAGCCCGTGTCCTTTGAAAATGCAGATATTGGCCGATGTCCCACACTAGAACCAGAAGTTAGGCAACCTGAGGATGAAGATAAACCAACCAGTGCAACAGTTCTGGTCCAACCTGAACCAGACACTAATGGGGAGAAAGAAGGGCCAAGAATCCCTCCTGCTTCTCCTCCTCCAACACCATCTCTATTGGCAGCGCTTGTAAGTATAAATCACTTCAGTCAGGTAGAGTTTGAAAAGTTTTTTTTCCCAGGCAAAATTGAAATCAAGAATAGTGAAGCATTTTAAGCATTTTGCCACAAAAATAGTAACAATTCAGCGTGATACTGTAAATGGAACACCTTGTTGTAGGTCAGTAGAACCTGTGGATAATGGAAAACTGGCTGATATAATTTGCTTGGATTATCACATCAGTAATTTAAAGAATGATATAGCTTTAGAATATCTTTGGCTTGCATGCTTAACAGTAAACCCTTACACTTCAGGATGTAAGCCAAGCAATATTCGCTTCGGGTTGGAAAGGAAATTTTCCCATGGGAAATCCATTTAATTACGATATTTCTTGTGCTGTTCTCTGATGCACATGATAACAGTCATGTCAGTGACAGGATGAAGAAAAAGATAAACCAGGAGGCCTATTTGATATAGCAATTCCTCCACTGCTATTTTATAACCTTAGTCTGGGGAATTACAAAATGAAACCCCAGTCACTGCTAAATTGAGCTCAACTGTTACTAGAAATAAACAACTAGATAGCGGCAAGCAGTCTTATACAACAAAATTTAAGGAAGAAACTCCTTGTCTCACAAGTGGAGTAGTTTTATAAGTTAACGCAACATTTTACTGTTCACAAAAAATGTTTATACATCTGAATAGTAAAATGCATAATGCATACACTGGAAGATACTTTTGAGGGGAAAAATTATTTGTATTTTGTTAGACCTGAATGCAACCACTAGGTTTATGCAGGCTATAGTTTAGTATGAGTGAGGTTTCAAAATGGTGTGAGAAGACTTCCCCAGTCTTTTTTTATTTTTTGCACGTTGGAATTTACAGTTCAATACTAAGATGGTTTCGAGAAGTTAAGAACTGAAATTCTATTTGAGATACGTGACCACTTTTGTTGGCCAGGTAGATATGGCACAGCTTTACCTAGAAGGGTTTGTCAGGTGCTACTGAGATCTCCACATCATGTGCATGGAAGTGGGAGCCTTGGTTTCAAGGTGGGCAAGCTCCATCTCGGTCATCAGCGTGCCCCGAGCCCCGCAGATACAAACCCAGCCTCTCCATGCTCTAGGGCAGCGGCTGTCATTCGTTCCCACAAGGTGGAGTAGTTGTAGCACCAGGGCTCCAACGCAGCTTTTCTGTTTGGAGTTCAAAGCAAATTTGCAGTGCACTAAGGCTACTATAGAAAGATAAGGAGCCAGGCAACAAGGTAAAAAGGATTATCCATTTTAATACTCACTATTGTGAAGGAATGCAGTTGCAGTACCCCTGGATCAAGCCTTAAAAACAAAACAAAGAAACAAACCACAGAAAAGCACGAAAGAGCAGGTGCACATTCCTAATTGTATAAACACTAACTTTTAAAAGAGCAAAATTGAGAGGAATAGATCTACTCATTAATATCAGAAACTAGTCCCATTCCAGCTAGGTGAGTTTTGTATATCACATATCTAGAGCAATGATAACTTAAAACAGGCATTCAAAATAAAAATCTAAATAAAACACCATTACTCCACTCCTCTCTTGGAAATAGTAAAACTGTTTTAGTATGCTGAAGATTTGAAAATATTTTAAATAAGGCAAACTTTTGGATAACTGTTACATTCATATTAGTGAGTTCTTCAAAGTATTTTTAAGGGGACTGTTGCAAAAAAGTAACTACATTCTGGTAATGAGGTAACACTCGTATGAGGTGGTGCTCAATACAGCAGTAAAAGGTATTTTCACATAGAAGGCTTAAGTAAAGTATATGCTCTATTTAAGTACTTCTAGTACTTTTTTATCTACGTGCATCCATCTGCATGTAAAAGGGGATGGCAGCTGAATCCCAAACAAGGAAAAAACCTACTCTCCACGAAATACAAGGCAAGATCCATAAGTAGGACAGTCAGGAAATACACCAGCCACCAGTCTGCTGCTGCTTGATGTGAATGCCAGAACGTTCTGGCATTACCCAACACGGGGGAGCTGCTGCTTCTGCCTCATGTTATTCCCTGCTTCTCAGGGCTCGCTTGCCGCTGAAACGAAGAGCGCCAGCCTTACTTCTGCCTTTGACTCCGTGACGGTACCTCCCACTTTGGATCCATGCATTTCTGCATTGTGCTATTAACAGTATCCAGTGAACTGTGGGGACTGCTTCAGAGCTTTTTCTACTAATTGCTTTCTTTGTAATTACTAATACAGCAAATGAGGATATGGAGAATGTGTGACAGTACACCTGTGGCCTTTTCCATTCTTCATTTCACTGCCGTACACACCAAACTTCTTAACCTACCAGTCAAGTCCCTGACATCTTACAAGACTGAAGTAAAGTGCAGCTGAGGAGTTCAGTCTCTCATGTAATATGGGAGATTATTAAGCAGCCAGGACACATTACTCAAAAAAGGAAAGCTGAGACACTTTAATACAGGCTGGTGACCCATGCTTAGAGCACAGTGTTGTGAAAGCTGTAATGCAGTTTGTCCTTAGGTAAAATAAAAGTGGACACAGGCTTGTGAATAAAATATGGACTTTTTTTAAACATGCCCTACTGATTTTTTTTTTTCCTTTTGCTGACTTTTCCACATCAGCCTAATGAATGCTTACTATTATAAGTAGTTATTAGTAAATAATCGGTGCATGCTATGATTCCAATGACCTTGGAATTGGTGGGATTGGTGCACTCTCCCACAATCCTTGCCCTTTCTTACAGTCACAGTGCTGGAATGAAGAAAAACTGCAGTGTTTATTGATGCTGGTGAGCAGCTTGTGTCAGGGTCAGACGCTTTACTAACACATACCAGCCTAGGATTAAATTTACTGTCAGAGTATATTCTTTTACTGTGTAAAATGTAAAAGCATGACAGAAAAAGGTGTGTGGTACTTCCCAGTACCAGTTGTTATTCCCTATCTTCAAATTTTATCAAGCTCAAATGTAATTGAAGGTATTATAAGCATAGTATTTTCATTAATTTAGTTAGACTTCTAGATAAGTCTTAAAAGCTTAAAATAATTCAAAATTGTATGCTGCATTATGGGAATATTATTTTTTATTATTGTTTTTGATGATCACTGGAAGACTGGTATCGTACATTCATAACTTTGCTTGGTCCTGGAGAATTTTCTCTGTTTTTTCCCTCCATTGCATATGGGTGTATCAATTGTTCTTGTCATAATGCATGGTGTTCTACTCTGTCATATTCAAACCAGAGCATTTACTATGCAAAACTCTATTTTAGGGGTGTTCTACACTGTTATGAAGATCTTTATGATGTGTGAAAGCAAAAAATATTACTGAAAAACTGAGTGAGAGAGGGAAATAAATTTCCTCTTTGCAGTTGAAATCTCAGGGCTTAAGTCACTCATGACATTTTCAAAATGTTTCAGAGAAAGAACTCTGTCAGAAAGGCACTGCACCTTGTTCTCTGCAGGTCCCTGCTGAGTCAGGGCTCAAATAAGAGACTGTCACCAATCCAAAATGATAGCAGTCACAGTGCTTAAAAACAGAGCTTGCAGCTATCAAAGTTTGTTTCTTTCCCAGCGGTATTGTCTGATATTTTGTTGAGTTAGATCCTTTGAGTGGTTTCCTCACAATACTCTCAGTGGGAGACAAAAGCCAGACATGAGTAGAAGCTGGTAATTACCATGGTCTCATGTTGCCCCAGGCACCCCTATACAAGAGCTTTAGGACCAGAGCTTAAAAGACCTGGGGAAATTAAAACAAGAAAATTATAGTGGACAGAAGATATTTTACCTTGCATTGTCACACCACTTCAAGATTAATTGAAGTGGAACTACAGGGAGGGGTTTCTTTCTTTACAACCTGGGTAATGTCTCTACATTTTACAGCTGGGGGATTTCAACAGCTGTTACATCTATCCATCAGTTATTCGGATTCCCTGATTGTTTGTGGGGGCCTTTCAACAGCACCGGGGGATGGGAGGGGGAACAACAGCACATTAAGCAAAGAGTACAGTTGTAAAGCAATATAAAGAAGTAAAATGAAGGACTCATTGACAGCTGCAAGATCTGAAACTACTTTTAACTCATTATTTTTTAGGTGACTGGATTTCAAGTTGACAACAAAGCATCCCTTTAAAACTTAAATCTTGTTTCATTTCTGTAAGAGGGCATCCTACTGTGTAAAACTCAGTTCTGTGTGAACTTAGAGTACACTGAACTGCCTGGAAATCACTTAAGACTCTTGTAAATGTCCACTGTGAAAGCATGAAAGCAGCAATGTTCTTATATTGCTTTTATTTGCTTTTACAGCCAGTTTAATGAGCTCTGCTTTTACACCAAGTTCCTGTCATACTGGTTTATAACTTTAGCTGGTGTGATGAGATGTCAGCCTGCTGGAAAATTGCAGGGCCACTCTCTAGACTAGGTACAATACTCTCAGTCCTGAGCAGCTGGGAGACTCCCAGCATATGCACAGCTGAGACAGATACAAAATATGAAGTTTGTATGATTGCTGTATATTTTGCAGGATTCCTGTGCTGCTGACACAGAACCAGCCATTTTAGAAGGTGGCAAGCAGTTTGGTCTTTCAAGGAACAGCCACATTGCAGTTGCATTTGATGACACAAAAGTGAAAAACAGGTATGTTGTTTATTTCATCAATGAGTTTTGATGGAATAGTGTCAAAATAAAATGCCCCTCCTAAGTCTCTCAAAGGTATCTTCCAAAACTATGGACATAATCTGAAAAGATCACATGCCATGAATAATTAATTTCATTAAGCAAATCTAAAAAAGCATTAAACCATGAAATGTAGGCAATTAGGCCCACCTAAATAGCTCTCACAAAAACAATTTACCTCTTTGTTTGTAAAGGTTTGGGCACACACAGATCCCAGACTGATTTGCTAAAAACCAAACAGAGTAATGGAACCAATTTGTGCAACTGACTGCAAAGATGGCTTTTTCAGAGGAAAATAAAAACTAACTGTTCAGTAACTTGACAGTTTCTTGTAATAAGAAGAACTTCTTTCCCCTTTCCTCCAATAGTTAAGATCAATCTTACACAGTAAACAGGAAGAATAACATTACTACCCCCAAAATATAACTCTATATACATATAGCTGTAGACATGCAAAGGAATTCCATGAACTGTTTATAAAAATGCATCTTTTTTTCAATGGATTTGTGAAGCTAGAACTTGTTAGTTGTTTATTTTTGCTCTGTACGCACATGGTCATTAACAAATGTGCCGTATCACAGCACTAAGCAATTTTGCTGCTTATAGTTTCCAAATCCATTAGCCTCACACTCATTTATCCCTATAAAGATGTTGTACCACATATGCTAATTTTAGAAAACTAGGAATGATCCTGGACTGATCATTTTCATGCAGTGATTTTTCATTTACATTATCAGCTGCTTTCAGGTACTGACTTTGCAGCTCAGCTTCAGCAAGGTTAGTGATGTGTTGCCAGTACAACTTTAGCATTAGAAAATATAAATAATTTCTTTGCAGCTTCTTTGCTGAAGAGGAAGTTCTCAACATTACCATTCTGTCCAAAGGGTCATTAGGTTTGCTCAGACACAGCCTCATTTTCTCTTGGGAGAGAACAGAATAAGTGTTTTATATCCTCATTGTAAACTCTTCTGTCTGCATCTTTAAAAGTTTTGCAACCTTTCTTCAGGCAATACAACTCATTAGAAACTCAACATTTGCCAGCTGTCACTACAGCTCTCTCCTCTTTGCGAGCATTATGTGTGTGGATGATGGATAATGCTGCTGGAATTTTACAAGTGCTGGGATTTTCTAGCTGCTACAGCTGCAGCTGAGAATTACATCTCGAAATTCTATGCCAAGATTGTAGTTTTGTATCTCCATAGCAAAGGAACTAATGAATGCTCACATGTCAGGGATCAGACACGTGTGAAATGTAATTTGCATATAACCAAATTATTTTTCTTGAATTCTACTGGACAAGTAAAATTTGCCACTAGCTGTACAAAACTTTTTTTTAGAAAAAACACAAAAAGGTAAAGCAGATGAATTTGTCTAGTGCCTGACTCCAAATATCTTTTCCTTTCTTACTGTTTCTTGTTTGTTTGATTTCTAGGCTTACAATTGAATTTGAAGTCCGAACAACAGCTGATTCTGGCTTGCTGTTTTATATGGCCCGCATCAACCACGCTGATTTCGCTACAGTTCAAATAAAGAATGGTCTGCCTTACTTCAGTTATGATCTAGGGAGTGGAAACACCAGCACAGTGATTTCCAGCAAAATAAATGATGGCCAGTGGCACCAGGTATAATAGTTAGTCTCTAATTCTAAATCATTCTTTGTAATGGTAAGAAGGAACTTTGTTTTGCCTTGAGATATTTGCAAAATGTAGTCCACACAAGCCAAAATTTACAACTAGTATTTTCTGGGGGGGAAAAAATAATCTAGCAAAATTTGTGTCAGATGCACTGGTATATAGAAATTTATCCTTCAGGAAACACGTATTTCTGAACATATTTAAAATATGTGCCATATATAGTAGGGAACTAAAGAAAATGTTCCTGCTTAATAGGGCTTATGTGAGTATCAACTCATGATGATGGAATACATCATTAAAGACCAGTTGTTTCTACATTAATAATGTCATTGTTAAGCCAGAGTGCAGAGAACAAAAAAAAAAAAAAAAAAAAAGAAGAAAAAGAAATAACATGTAAGTAAACCTGCCCTGGATCATTAATTCAATAGGGAATAAATATGATATTCATGGATGTATTTGGCAGTGACTTTATGAGAGGAAGCATTATATGCAATGCCTGTGGCATTTGGATGCTAAGAGAAGGAGTGATATCACAACCATGAAATTTCCTACTTACTGGGCAAAGGACAGCAGACACACAGTATATTCATTAGGTGACGTGCTGGAAGGCACCATTACAGACAGAGAAGCAAAGTATACATGTGACTGTGGGTTGAATTTATATGCTGTAAGTTACATTGAATTTTGTACAGATATTTCGAAATTCAGCATCCACATCTTAGCCCCAAATGAGAAAAAAACCTAATTGCATTTTCTCTTACACTTTAATGGCCTCATTTCTACTCTGTTCTCCAGGAATTTTATTTTCATGACATTTTTAGTCATGAACTTTTTGATGATAGCAACTGCTATACACCAAAGTATTTCATACAGGGGAAAAAAATGAAGCTGTAGTTATCATTTATCTCTTTCATATAATGCCTGGGAGCACTGGCAGCAGACCAAGGTCCCATTCTGCTACTCCCTCTGTACACTCAAAGAGATGCTTTTGCTTCTTTAGCCATTTTCTCTTTATTCTAAGAGAGCTAAGTAGAACATATATTTCTTAATGGAAGATTGTGCTCTTTGGGCCTATAGCTTCACACTCGACAAGAGAGAGTCCCTTTTTCCAGAACCTGTTTCTGCAGCGGAGAATGCAGACAAAGCCACAGTTCCCAAAAAGCAAAAAAAGTTTGAGAAGCAGGAGGAGGGAAGGCAACGCTTTTAGGAAAAGGCCACAGTCTTTGTTTCTGATAAAGCAGTGGATTCTTCTTAAAACAATCCTTTTAGGGACAACCTTTTCTCCATTTGGAATGATTTAGGTTGAAAACATTTCCAATAGTCCGACAGAAGCCACTCATCGCTGCTGCTATCCTGCTATCTGTTTAGGTCCTCTGTAAGAATGTCTGTCCCTAGTTCCTGTCTCACTCACCTAATCTCCCCTCTGCCCAAGGTGTAGTTACCCATCTTAAATTTACAGCTGCCTGTAAACACCAGGCTGAGGCACTCACCTTCAGGCCATCCTTGTCAGTGTTCAGTCATTCCCACTGCATGATAGATAGGCTGCCACACTGGAGCAGTAGCAGCGTGTTAAAGAAAAGCCAAAAAAATGCTGTTTGTCTCTGTTTGCTATTCTGGTGAGCCAACTACTATGCTGTTTAGAAATCTGCTAACATGCATGATGCATTTTGCATTTATTCCTTTTTATGCAGAGCCATTATTATAATGAGTTGTAGAGATTTCAATATAAGCTTTTAGAAAGACAGTGGCCTAGAATTTCCTCAGGTCTTCAGCAACTGCACTCCCTCTGTGCAATTTGCAGTCCATTTGTCTGAGCAGAAACCACAATACCAACAGAACATAGTTGGTATTATATTTACTCTAGCATGAACTATGATCTGAGGCATGTCCAAGCTACTGGAATCATAAACTCAATATTTTCTGCAAACATGTGCTGCTATAAAGATTTGCAACCAGTGACATAAAATTCAGTATTTATTCTGAAGTATTTATCTATTCTCAGTACTTAAAATTGCTGTCTGATTCCAGGAAAAATAATACTGTGCTGTGCCTGTTATAACATAACAATGAAGCATTTTAAAGGAATCTCAAGACTTGCAGTAATTCTAGTAAATAATCGTCATGATACCTCCTGACCCAGATGCAAATAAAACACAGTCAGATGTTGGCACAAAACATTGCTCAGGAGCTTTGTTCCATAAGTGTTATCCATAGCTGCTGCCATGGTACTTTCTGTAATCACTCCTACTACTTTCTTGTGTATTCTTACATATTTTGGACTGTAAGACTAGCTTCAACCTGAAAATGCTTGGTTGTCAGAAAACTATCTGTAATCATATCGCACTTTTGTGTCTTTTTAGATAAAAGTAAGTCGAATGAAGCAAGAAGGAAACCTCATGGTAGATGGAGTTTCCAACAGGACTGTGAGCCCCAAGAAGGCCGATATACTGGATGTTGTAGGAATGCTGTACGTGGGAGGATTGCCCATTAACTACACAACCAGGAGAATTGGTCCAGTAAGCGAATTTGTTTAAGTTATCTTACATGCCTTAAGTATGTTTTGATTGGTGCAAATGTCTTCCCAGTTTTGTTTTGTCTTGCTTTTCCCATCAGACTGCTGAAGAATATGGATAAAATGGACATTAGTGGAGGTGAACAATGTTCTGTTAGTGGAAAGATCTGACTCAGAATCCAGTTAATGCAAAAAAACCCCATTGAAATAGCAGAATTATTTACTGTCTTGGAAAAGCAGAAAGTTCCACACACTTGTATCCATTTGGATCACTGCACAGCATGAGTTCCTGAGTACCACTTGCCCTTTCTCTTGGCTGTAATTAATCTAGCAGCAAATGCCAATAAACAGTGAAAGAATCTCCAAATGCCCAGCTTCCATGATAACATGGAAGATGGCAGAGAGCCCAGAGAAATAAATATCATTTTGTCCTAAATTTTGTAGATTTAACTAGGAGGACTGTATTCCATCACCCAGACCATTTACTGCACCTATCTACATAACTCCATGCCAGTCAGCTAAGTGATGTCCTTCCAACCTCCCAAGATAAATCAGTATCAGGATGGGAGAAAAACCTCTTCCATGCTTTCTTTTGCTCTCTGTGCAGACAGTTCTTTCAAAGCAGAAGCCAGAACCTGAGTGAATTTAATTATAGTAAACAACAAATTCGGCACCTAGCACAGCACAATTCAGACACACAAAAAATGGAATGTCAGTAGGAGCTATGTCTGGGCTCATCCTGGAAAATGGAATGTCAGTAGGAGCTATGTCTGGGCTCATCCTGGGTAGATGCACAGAGTCCATAAAAAGCAGGCAAAACACAAATCTGGTAAGGAAACAAAATAGACTTCCAAAAAAGCTGTTCATGAGTAAATAGCATTATACTGAGATGTTTATGGAATGGAAAATACAAGTCCATGGACAGGCAAGAGTTCCCTTATTTGAGTGGACAAAATAAATACAGAAAAGACTGCATTTCTATACTGTTAATACTATTAATACATGGACTGCTGAAGTCCATGTAATAACTCATGGATAGGGAATGAAGGGGATGAGTAACCACTCTACATCTGAGAGTTATATTCCACAGAGAAAACTGACCTGTAAGATCATGATTCTTAGTAAATAATTGATTGTGCAGAAAGCCCAAATTGAGGCAAATCTAAGTCATTAGGATTTACCAAACCAGATCTGAGGCGCTGAAAACAAAAAGCAATACTTAACTACCCAGAACATATAATTCCTAGTACAATCAATTTATGCTCTTTCAATACATCTGCAATTTACAAATACTCATCTAAGGAGAAAGACAACACTAGGTCCTCACCTATTGCTATTTGTCAGAGGTAATGGAGGGAACCCATGCAGATAAATGGCTCAGTCTGGCAATAACAGTCATGTCAGGTCCTGACAATCTTATGTGCTTTGGGATTTAAATGAAGCTGTGACTTCAAATGTCATGTAAAAACCAATGTTTGCCTTCCAGTCATGCTCAGTAAAATACACTGTGATGTATGAGACAATGTTGTGCTGTAGCTTCATGTGGAGGCTCTGAAGCAAACCAAGTTGAAAGGATGTGTTACCTTAGTCAGGGCTTTCTTCTGTACATATATTAGCCTTTTCATATATTTTCATATATTAGCCTTAGTAATCTATTATGTAACCATAGGTGGTTTGGCTTCTTTTTCAGTGTAGAAGACTGATACCCATTTGTTTAGCTTCAGCAGATGTTACATTTTGAGCACTCAACACTATGCTTTCAGCAAAAGAGGTCCTATTACCTGTTCCCATGCTAAAGTATAACCAGATTTGCTTTTCCATAGGGAAGAGAAAATTGTTGTTAGAGAACATTATCAAATCATCTACAAATCTTGCATTTCTGTGATTTATTCTTGCAGTGAAGGTTTTTTTTGTTTTCTGCCATTCTCTTTTTTGATAACAAGATTTGTTGATCTGGAGATGACTTACTAAGAAATTACAAAAAGGACTACTTATGAAAAGTCTGACAGAAAGCATTGTTCAGCTCAGAATGGAATCTGTTCACTGGTATTGCTCAAGTTCTCATGAACATATTGCACAGGTGTATTTAGCTGTAATAAGCTATATAATTTCACAGTGCATACAGCTTTGATTTACAAGAAAATAAATTCTTGGAAATTCTTTCCAATTACAGAATGTTGCTAGAGGAAGGTAGTATGCAGAGTCAAAACTTCTCTCTGAAGGTGTGCCTTTGTCCTTTTTGTATTTGTATGTATTTCTAGGCTGAATTTTATTCACTGATGTTTACTTTCTTCCTTTCTGCTACACTTTCTACCACTCCTTTCTACTGCACTGCTTATGAATATATCTTCTTTTTCTTCCTCCAAGTACGTGATGTATGATTTTCCTCTGTCTCACTGGTATCAAGGATAGATTTTCCTAACTCTTTAAGTCAAAGATCAAAGCCTCTGTCTGAATCTTAGAACCAAAATGCACCTTCTGCATACCTTGGAGAGAAAAAGGGAGGGCGAGTTCTGCAGGAGATGCCAGTGGCTTTCAGAGGTCCCACTGGGATGCCCTGCTCACACCCAGAACAGCCCCTGCCCCAGGCAGATTCGTGGGTACTCAAACCACCGTTCTAAGTGTGCCCAGACCGCTGGCTGGAGGTCACGATGTGCCCAGTGCAGAAGCCAAACTGAAGCTGCAGTTTGCTACCTTGCACAGGAGCCTCCGTAGACATGAGCACGTTCCCTGCCTCCACCTGCCTCTCCAGCCAACTGAGTGGCCCTGATCACTGCAGTCAACAGCCTTCACACAGGGGCTTTGTTCATTGTAGTAGTAATGTTACCTGCATTACCTCTGTCTTACTGTGCAACATTAGGCCAACAGTAAAGTGATTAAAGGAAGGGAAAAAAGAAAACCCACCCAGTAAAATTACCAGCAGTTCAAAGAACTATAGCCACTATCTTCATCTACTTGCAAACCCCATAACCTAGTCAATTAAAAAGGCAAAATATAGGCCATTAAATTCCTGCATTGCTGATGTAATTTTCTATGTTTCATTATGTGGTGTATTACTTTATATCCCCTCCAGTAAGCCAAATAGATGTGACTCAGATCACATCCCTGAAAAGTAATGTAATTCATCCTCAGCATGATTAAGAGTAGATTCCAATTACAATCAGATATTAAGTATTAGGCACATAAAATTCAAGTTTTATTCAGCTCCATAAATCCAGGAGTGAAGCAGAGAAAATGCAGTCATTGATAGCATACTTTAGGCTTGCTTCTCGTAGTTTTACATTTTGTTTGAAATATTGACTGCAGGTCCTCCATAGCATTGATGGCTGCATCAGGAATTTTAAAATGACAGAATCACCTGTTGACCTGGATAATCCAACTTCCAGCTTCAATGTTGGGAAATGTTTTGTCACTGCACAGAAGGGAACGTACTTCGATGGAACAGGCTTTGCCAAAGCAGGTATATGTACAATAATTCTGGTGATAGTCAAAGAACAGAGAAAGAGGAGATTCTGCTTTCGAAAGCTCCCAGCTGGCTAGTCCCAGTCCATCTAACTCCTGTTGGCTGGAGGCAAAGTGAGGCCAGTATTGAAACTCTTGCTGATCATTTTTAGTTATCTTGCCCAAGGAGAAACTGTGTGACTTCCTAGCGAGGTCTTGCACTAAGCACAGTTGTTTACATGGTTTCACATGAAATGGAGTGTGTTAACAATACCGAGTTGGTTACTTTGCCTTATTCTCAGCACAATTTGTGTGATGATTGTTAGGAATAATATTAATATTATATATATATATAATATAATATAGTGTTAGATGCTTATCTTCATTTTATTGTGCTTCCCCTTTTCTCTCTAAGTTGGTGCATACAGAGTGGGAACAGATCTGCTCGTGGAATTTGAATTCCGTACAACACGAATGAACGGTGTTCTCCTAGGAGTCAGCAGCCAGAAAATGGATGGGCTTGGCATTGAATTAGTTGGTGGAAAAGTGAGTAGCAAAGCAGTTTTGTTTCTTCATAAACTGGCTTTAGACAGCACAGGTAGTTTAAATGCAAAGTTACTACCCCAATCTCAAGATGTCTCAAACAATAGCAGGGTTCTCAAAGGAGAGCAACACTTGCACCTTTCCATACATCTAGAGGATCTAACATTTTTAAAAGATAATTTAAAAGATTCTGTAATACTTGAGTCTCCTAAAACTGCAATTAGGTCTTAAACTAGTGACCATATAAGAAGTTTTGAGGAAAGGCTTTGTCATTAATAATACTATTTTTTCTTGGATATCTTTTGATTCACAGTCTGGAAAACCAGTCATTGTTCTGTCACTATAAATATTTTAGAGGGGTGTAAAGCACCCTAAAACTAAGACAAAAAAAAATAAGGGAAAATAACAACTTAGACAGCAATTTTCCATATTTCTACTTGTGTTTATTTCAGTGATAGAACCCAGATCACAGAGGGACAGCAATCCACATAGTCCTTGGTGCATACAGTCAAACCATGTTGAGTTCAAACAAAACAAACAAACAAAAGCAACTGAACCGTGTTGAAAACTTGCTGATGTCCATGCCGTGCTTTTCAGGTGATGTTTCACGTTGACAATGGTGCAGGCCGATTCTCTGCTGTCTATGAGCCTGATGCACCAGGCAGTTTGTGTGATGGACAGTGGCACAAGGTTCTTGCCAACAAGATCAAACACCGCTTGGAGCTGACTGTGGATGGCAGACAGGTGGAGACCGACAGCCCAAACAGGGCCTCGACCTCGGCGGACACAAACGACCCTCTCTTTGTTGGAGGCTATCCTGGTGAGCATGCAAGACACAAATTATGCTTTACTTAGGCTCCAGTAATGCTGCCTTGGTAATGGCTTAAATGCAAGTAGGACTAGTGTGCTAAAGATGATTGATAAGACAGGCTGAGTTTGTATCAGTTGGCGTGGATGTTCATTTCTGCATTCAGCTGCATTTCAGAACAAGAAGTTCTGCAACAAGAGACTCACAGATACCCCTGCCCTGTTTCAAAAGTAGGCACTGTCACAGAGAATTAGACAGATTTTCTGCCTTCTGCTGCTCACACACACACAGCCTCTCTCTTAAAACTTCCTGTTTAGTAATAGCACCATAGTTGCAATAGTAACAGCATATTTAAATTTAACTGAGGAACATCAAATCTTAACCAAAGAAAGTACAGTAACCAAAGGAACATCAAATCTTAACCAAAGAAAGTACCCCCCCTGAGGGGGCAGGGCAGTGCATGTGTAAATCAGCCTGTAAAACCTGAGGAATAAGAACAGCTTCCACACAGAGGTGAGAAGACACCTTCACTTTCTAATTAGAGCCTTTGCTTGTGGTCTGCTGGTTTTTAAAGGAAAAAAACCCACATAATCTACATTTCCTAATCAGTATTCTGGAAGCCCTCAAGAGAAATTGTTTTATGCAGAGGTAATTGAACAGTATCAAGAATTGGGCTGCGTTCTGCAGCTGGCTTCATCTTCCACTAAGCTGATAATGAATTCTAGTATTCATCTCTTCATAGACAGTCAATAAATTTTCTAACAGCAGTTTACTTTCTGAAAATACAGTTAATATCTTTGCAAAGTACCAATTTTGTTGCATTTGTAATAAATATTCCATATAGCTTGCAAGCCAAAACAAAAAAGCAAAGTATGTTTGCAGTATGTGTCTGCTCCAGTGCATACTGAGGTCAAAGACAAGACACCTCTGAGTCAGTTAATTCCTAAATTATTTTTTGGAAGTTGTTTTTTCACCCATTTTTATGAGTGATACAGTGCATCTAAAAAGTCTTCTCTCCCAAGCTTTGGAACATTTAAAAAATTGTCCTTGGCAGTGACATATGGGAGTTGAACTTTAGTCACAATAACTATCAATAAAGACCAACGACTTTGGGACTAAAGGAAAACGGTTTTGTGGCAGCCTTTTTATAACAAAACAAGATTCTAGCATAGGAGCCAGCACTGAAGAAACACTGCAGATGGAGTTACTATCTCGTCTGGACTGCATGGCAAGAGAGACGCAAATCGCAGTAACACTGCAATCTGTACAAAACAAACCTACTCTTACCTCATGTTGAAGGGATATTCGTGAGTTCAGCCACATGGCAAGCTATGAAATGATTTAATAAACCTACTGCATGTGTAAACACTCTTCTTTTTCTGCCTAGTCTAGCTCATCCAGGATTTGTTTTAACATTCCCAATACTTAGCTGCATCACAAATTTGAAGCACACAATCATGGGATTTTGTAAAATTAGTAAGTGTTTGTAATTTCCAGCCCTCTTGAAGCTGCATAAATAGAGCAAAACAGTTGTCAACCAGCTAGAATTAATTAGCTGATGGAGTATTTTCTATGTAGAGAAAATTTTCACCACCATAGTGTGAACAAGAATAAAGATTCCTGGGTACCCATAGAAGCTAGCATTCATCTGCTGGTATCACTCTTCCCCATGGAAAGAGTGCACAGAGAGACAGATGGATTCATCCATTTCTGTGAAACAGAATAATGCTGTGGCCAGACAGTCTCTACAACTATAAAGTAACTTCTACAATTCACTTTTAAGAACACTGAGAAACAAGTTGTGCCACAAATTTCAAGCAGTTGAGTGAAATATTTCCAGCTTCCCAGTCAAACCACTTTCACTTCCATCCCCTCCTTCATTGGTGGAATAGATATACTCCAACTCCTGGCTTTACTGTCAGCAAGGAAAAAAAAAGAATACTTGAAAACTATCAAAACTGGTCTGTAAATGACATCTGAAATCCATCCTGAGGAACTGGCTTCTTTGTGACATTAGGACTGAGAATTGCATCCATTTTGGCCCATTTTTTTCCCTTCTATTGTTCTGTGGATAAAACGCTGAATATCTGCAGAGCATCACATGTGTATTGTCCACCATTTATAGGTAGCAAGCTGCATGCATGGGTTACAATGGTAGTCTATATGTGTTCAGATTCTGCCACTGTCATAGTAGGACAGAAAAAGAAAGGAAGTGTGGATTGTTATCTAACATAAGCATTCATCACCTTTGCTCATAATGTTTGTAGTTTTCTTCACAATGAATATATACAGCAAATAAAACATTCATATATTGCTGGGGACATCTGTCCTCGTGCAGGACTCAAAGAACAAAATTAAGTATCAACTCAAACATAATTCCTTTCTAATTTCTTTCCTTCCTTCAGATGGTGTTACCCAGTTTGGGCTGACGACTAATATCCGTTTCAAAGGATGTATTCGATTTCTGAAGCTCACCAAGGGTACTGCAAAACCTCAAGAGATTAACTTTAGCAAAGCTTTGGAGCTGAAGGGTGTCCAGCCAGTGTCATGCCCTGCAGACTGATGGTTGCTCAGCCAGAATGGGTCTGTTTATATAAGCACCTCAGATTGAAAGAAAAAAATCTATATCCTCATTGCATTCATAATAAAATGTCTTTGTGCAAGTATTTGAGTAGTGTTTGTGGTATATTCCAATGGCTATTTCAATGTACCTTCCAGAAATGCATGAAAAAATAATTCCTGACCCCCATCCCCTTCATTAAGGGATTTTTTTAATTTTAATCTGTCTCTTTCGTTATAGCTTGAAATGGAAACGTTCATTCTTGTGATGAGTGAGAGTATATATTATGCATGTTGTTCCTTTTCTATGGAACACAGAATCACAAAATATCTCAAGTTGGAAGGGAACCATAAGGAAGGATCACCAAATCCAACTCTTTGAAATGCTCACTAAATGCTTTTGGTGAGGTAGATCTCTAAACTTGTATTCCTTTACAATTCTAAATACAATGCACTCGTGGGCATACACAACCTTATCCTTCATTAGCATATTAACTTGCTTCAAAAATTTATGTTTTGGTCACATCCAAGAGTTTTTACAAAACTTTTCTGATCATATTTCCCATGAAGTTTCACTGAGAAATTTTATGTGGTCTGTATGGCTGCTGTCATGCTATTGCTGTGGAACCAAGAAAGAAGAAGAATAAAAGTTTTTGTACTTAGTTAGCTTATTTGGGATAATTGATGAAAATATGTTGCACCTAAAATCCCTGCTCTATCACTTGGACACCATTGATTTTTACAGAGGTTATATTGTTTGGTGTTGGGACCTTGAGTCTCTGATGGAGGGAGTTGAACTGGGTTGTATTACTTACCTTGAAATACAGTTTTAATGATCCATAATTAATAAAGTTCAACATTGCTGCTCTCTCCCACATGATATGTTACACATAGCAAAAAAATCACACACCAGTTTTCTAAAGGAAGATGAAATCTTGACACTTGGAGCAGAATAAAGGTGAAGCAAGAAAACTCCATAGATTACTAGTGCAACACCTACTACTGATCTCTGCTGTTATCTATTAATGGAATTCTTACCATAAAAGCAGCTTCCAAAGTTCAACTTTGCTGCTTCTGCCTGATGTTGTCAGTTTGTAAGGAATATTGAATGCAGAAGCCACCCCAAATCTTCCTTGAATAAAATTTATAGTGTTATGTGGATAGCAGTTTCAATATAGATGGAGAGAGGAAAGTTGCTTCCTAGATTCTCACTGAAATGCCAAATCCTAGTGGTTATCCTCATGCTTTGTCTGTTTTAGAGGACTGTGAAATCATCACTGAAGTTTTCTGTGGATTATTTCAAGTTTTTAAAGTGCAGTTTTGCAAAGGCTGTGGTCGGACATGCAGAACAGCTGCTGCAGGAATGTAAAAAAACCTACCTATGCAAAAGAAGAAATAATAACAGAAAAACCCCTGGCAGTAAGGTAGCACAACCATGCGATTAAATGAAAAAGGTTTTTTAAAATAATATTTTTCTGCCCATAAAGAGCCTTGAATACACGTTTTCAGAAATTCTGACATAGTAAAAGAAAGGCAGCTGCAAAATTTGTGCATAGGCTAGCTGCAAAATTTCTGCTTGCCAGTGAGCACTCCTGCAGGAGTGCTTTGTATCTTACAAAAGGCCTTTTTGGCATACAATGTTTCTTTAAACTGACATTGAAGGGGAAAAAAAAAAAGCCTTTACGCTGGGAAAGTGTATTAAAGAGATCTAAATAAATATGTATACTGGCACTCTAACCATTTGGGGAATCTACATTGATCAGATAGACCTGAAGAAAAACCATCTAACTCCTGTGAAGTCTTCAAGTAATTGCCTTCAGCAAATATTCTAGTTTTAGTTGCAAGTGGCCTTTAATGTTAAGAAACAGTTAATGGCTGCTCAGTTTTACCCATGTTCAAAGTGCTAAGAATTAGTAAAGCATGCATTTGTCTCTGAAAAAGCCTAATTATCGGACATGTACTGTCCTCAACTTCTACATGGTTGTGCTTTTAACAAGCACACTGTAAAATATTCATGCATTTCTCTGTTATTCTTTATGCCTCATGTATTTGCCTATTCTCATGCCTATAATGTTTCAGGGTAGTTTGAGCAGCTCAAGAAGAGCAGGCTGGAACACTTCAAATGCAGTTGAGTATTTCCAAAAGTCTTAAAAAAATATGAACAAAGGAAGCCCCAAGACAATGTTATTGTTATGGATGTCTCACAACACACAACAGCCGATTGTTGGCCCATCACACTACCTAGGCACACTTCCTAGCCTCTAGATTCTAGTCAACATGTTGAATTATTTTTTAACCCAAAGTTGCTTACAAAGGTTTTGGAGCTGGTTTTGGGGGTTTTTTTGAGGGTGGGCTTGAAGACACAAGGGAAATTTGAACAACCGAGCCCAGAGCTCTGTGAGTTAAACCATGCCCAGCCTCAGAGGCAGGAAATTGCCACTGCTCTGCCCAGTGCTGCATCAGCAATGGTCTTTCACATAAATATGTCTTTGCCTTCAAAACAATTACTGGAGTTTCTATATAAAAGAAGTGGAATGGGAAAAAAGAAAAAGAGAAGCCTTTATGTTCTTATGTTCTGTTGAATTATTTCTCTCTTGCGTGACTTTCCAGGAATGTGTGGGACACAGGAAAAACAATGAAACAATGCAGATTATTACATTTCTTGAACTTTCAAGTGGAAAAAAAAATCAACCATCTGCTGTCCTCTGCTAAAGGAAATACACTCAGTAGGCTGAAACAACAGCTACTTCAGCAAATAGACAAGCTAAAAGGAAACAGAAAAACCTGACTAATTTGTTTTCATAGATCAGTGAGTGGATGCACCAAGTACTGTTAGTAAAGTTTTCTGTCTTTGAAGATGAAGCAGTGCATCTGGGAATGATCCTAGTTCCCCATTACTCCCTTTTGCCATTCCAGAGATTAATAGATTGTCATATTCCAGATAAAGACTAAAACTGCCTGAAACCAGCAGGTTGTGAGCTTCAGAGCCATATGCAGCTGCTGGAGATTATGCCACTGCTGACTGTGCAATACCTCTCCAATTCAAGATTGAAAACTAAGACACATTTACAAGGCACAAGTATTTGAAACCTTATTTTGGTGGGTATTTTGCATACAGATGTTTTTACTACCATTTTCTTCCCCCCTCACACTTTAAATACTCTGTTGCTAAACTTCAAAACAAAAAACTCACATCCAGGTGTTTTTAAATTGTTTTAAAATTGATCTTATTGAGGGTAGTCACTTTTAGGCATTTATGACAAGCAGTTACTCTGAAAGAAACAAATTCCTCATCATTTAGGCCAACTGCTATGTTGAAAAAGGTTGTGTTTTCAATTTTAAATACAAGCAGTTCTCAAACTCTTTGCAAAGAATAATTTCCTTTTTCATTCTATTAAATCATACTTACAGCTCTTTATAGAAACTTGTAAAGAGAATATGTTTCTGGTTTATTATTTTTCTTTAGAATGCGCAAGAAGAACTTAAAATACTAAAAAAACCTAAACCATTTCTCCCATCTCTCTTTTATCATAGAAACCACCAGGAATATCTGTTCTAAGCCTTCCCTTTTTCAGATTCTGGGCAGCAGATACCTGCTGAAGGGTTTCTCAGTATGTGCAAGTAAAAATTTTCATTGACTTGTTTCTGACCAATAAGAAAAGTGTATTCCATACCTTTCATAAGAACACATTTACTGAAAGACCACCAGAAGTTCCCAATCCCCACATACACACCAGTTTTTAAACTTTTAAGAAGAACTTGCAGTTTTCAACTAAGATTTTATGAAAGCAAATAAAACTCTTCTGAAAATATTCTCAATGGATTTTTAACCTTTTCTTTCTTTTCATCATCTGCATTTCCTAATGACAAAAGTTTACCAGTTCTTCAGTCATTCATCAAGTCTTGGAGCTGAAGAGCTGAACGTCTGCTGCAAATATATAGAAAGGATTATCACTTTCACCATTTCATGCTTGAACATGAAACACAAAGACCTTCTGGACACAAAGACCTTTTCTTAATATTTTCTTAAATACACTGCTAATGTGTCATGCCATGAAATTGAAACAAGACCCCAAATTATTCAGGTTATATATTTTTTTATATATATATATATTTCTTAGGTTATATATTATATATATAATATATATATATATTCTTCATACTCAAGAGTACAAATATTTTCTTCATGAAATCTCAGATAATTCCCAATATGATCCATCCATTTCAACTCAAGAAAAAAACCTTTCCTGTTCAAATTTAGTGGGCAACATAGCATAAAATGACAGCACTTCAGAAACTAAAATATCTAATTTAAGCAAAGAAAGAAAACCCTAGGGAAAAATCTCCAGCAGTCAGTGCTCTCACACGTGTTTAATGCTCCCACAGGACCAACATCATTCTTTAGCCCAAGTCTAACACCCCTCTCTTAGTTTTCACTTGATTATGGACTTGACTCTTCACTTATTTTGAAGAGTGCACAAAACTCTGCTAATGTCCCTTCCTTTTACCCCATCTTTTTTTAAAAGTAAGTTTGAGTACAAAATTAAACTGATGCTTCCTGCCTGCCCAGCATTTATCTATCACTCTGTAATGAAGATAATAATGAAAGTAGGTGTCTAGAATTTCGAAGACTATTTTTTATGATATACACTATTACGAAAAGTTCTGCAAGGCTGAATAATCTGCTGTGACATCTCCCCTTTCAAACATAATTCATTTTGACAACCTTGGTTCTTCTAGTTGGCGTGAGCAAGGAAGGATGACTGGCAGTTGAGGCCCTAGAGTAGCTACATTTCCTGTGGTTTTCTTCATTATGATTCTGTACTGGAATACAACATGAATTTGATTTAAACAGCCAAAGGCCTCACTCTTTCACTGAGTTTCATGTCAACAGAATGGCTCTCTGGGAGATGAAAAACTGCCCATCTCTCTGAACTGAGGGAATGAAGCACGTACAGTGACATGGTCTCCTATGACCCCAGAGGCAGAGGGTTAGGTAGAATAAAGCAGAACCCTTTTCTGCACAACTTTGAATTATATGAAGTTAGAGTCATCTTAAGCACTGAAATGCCTGGAGGCATAGACTGGCCTAAGACAGCAGAGGTTG